GTTTCATGATTTCACCTCCAAACAATCTATAGAGGTCCGTAGGGAGTTGTCCATATGTTTAGTACCAGCCTCTAATTGAGTAGCTACAGACATGACACCCAAATGAATGCGGATATTGTTCTGTGACTGCTCATTGTGTTGGCAGGCATTGCCAAAGTTGCTTAATTAAACCAACAGCCCACGATAGAGGGTAGAATAAAGCACAGAGAAGCCGTCCACATCAGCAACACAGAGTAAAGAGCTAATTAGTGGAATCGGTTGTTATAGGTTTGCAATGAAACCTGCCTGCTCTCTATGGTAACCCTTTAGCACCACATTTAATAGAGCAAAAGCTGTCATATAAAGACCTGGTCGTGTAAATATCTGGGGAAATTAGTGAACATGGAGTTACATTTTCCTCCTCTCGTGGTATACACTGTACTTGATACCAGTAATGACCGCAGTGACTCTCCCAGCGGTGCCACTTGAGAGGCCACTCCCCCCCCTCCTTGCTCTCAGTGTAGCAGCAGCCCAAGGCTTCTTATTAACCAGTGAGATGGTCAGTTCTTACAGTGAGTTCTACAGCATTTGGCAAAGGTTAACACAGCCTGAATCTAAGGAGCACACACAAGCGTTACAGCAGCGAAATGTCAAAGCAATTACTGTCAGGTTGCAAAAAGGTGAAAGAGTGAGAGATTGTGTGGCATTTGTGAGCCAAGCAGCGAAAGACGGGGGGAGAGAAACTGCAGCAAGCTCTTTTGAAATCTGTCTAATCTTTATTTAATCTCTCCCAGCCACTGTAATCTAATTTGAAACCACATTACCCAGCAAAGGGTACGTGCACAGACACATTGACATTAAATCCTTCCATGCATTAACATAAGAAAAGTACAGAACTCGTGGATACCTCTCTATGACAACCTTGTCTTTTCACTGCATTTCAGAGGATACAGAAACAGACAAACTCAGACAAAAGAGCTTACAGTCATAGCTTTATCATTAGCTTCAGACTTGGTAAAGGTCAGGACAGTGTGGTGGTAATTTATAAAGATAAACACATAAGAATCCAGCTTTTGGTACCTTACATCAAGCAACCACTGCAGAGCACATGAGAGAAACCAGACGCTATCTACAGGACATGATCAGGCAAACTGCTGTACTATGATAAAGGTCCGTCCATTGAAAACCAAACTATGAAAATCACATTTATGGGCATCACCAAATGTCCAGTATTGAAACTGGACAGAGCCATGTAGTTGCAAAAACACAACTATGCAATATCTTGGTGTATGCAGTAGTATCATCATTTCCTTTGAAGCTCCTGTGGGGAGTTTGTAGCTGGTTACACACACAGAAATCAATATTATATCACAGTGCCTGTGAATGGCTGCAGAAGCAAACAAGATTGTCTGCAACAAGATTAATATTTCCTTTTTTTCTTTTTGGCTTTTTTATTCTATGTTAATGCTTAAAGCTGCAGGGAGGGCATGCGGTAAAGTGAGTCACAGCAGCTTATCTTAAAAGAGTCTAACTGACTTTTACAACAGAGCAGGGTGAGTTTTCATCAGAAAAAAAACATTGCAGGTGCCTTTTTTTTTCACAAAAGGAACCAAATTTGACACAAACAAAAAAATTCTGACAGAGATTTTAAATAAAGCAGTGGATATTCTATTATATTGTTGTATTTTGAAATATCTTTTGATAAATAAAAGTAAGCACCCATAAATGTTTTCCTTTTAAGAAGTCTAAAGAAAATTTTCAAGTTTAAAATGTTTAAAGAGCTGGTAAGGTTTTAATAATGTTAATGAAATAGGCTGAAATTTGTTTAAGTGCCCTTTTATTCTATACAAATTCAAGCAAGACCAATAGCAATGAGATGGACAGTTTATTAAATGTAAATTTAGATGTCTTAATTAAGTGAGAAGGTGAGAGATGTCAGAGAAGCGGTGAGAGAAACAGACCTGTTTTTATTTCAACATTAAAAAATAACAATAAAAGATACAGTTGGCCGCTAAAAGTCGATAGTATGTAATTAATTCATCAGATGTTGATATGACGAGATAACCAGCTTTGTCCACAGGGAGCACCAAAATTGACACAAACTCTCTACATGCTCCCGTTAGGTTAAATTATCCAGAGGAGCAACCTCTTACTGTCTTGTTACGCCGATGACACTCTGCTCTTTCTTCTTTTAGACCAAATAGAGCTGACCTCCCTAACAGATTGTCTCGGCAGTATTAAAACCTGGATTTTCTATCCTCTCCTACAGCTCCACAAACAGCAGCTGTTAAAATCATTGCTGCCAAACTTCTGACTGACTCCAGGAAGTACAATCACATTAGTGCAGTTTCAGCCTCTCTTGAATGGCCTCCAGTTCGCTCTAGGATTGATTAAGGCTTGTGTTGTTTGTTTGAAAAGCCCTGAATAGACTGACCCCACCACATGTATCTGACCTCTTGAGCTCTTATACACTATCAGGCTTCTTAGATCATCTAACACGGGCTTTCTGGTGGTCTCAAGTTCTCTACTCCAGTGTGGATCAGCCATCCTTGATTGAGTCTGCCCTTGTTGTTCAAGCCTTGCATCAATTTACATCCATATATTCTTATCCTTATTTATGTGGTCTCTTAAAGGACTGAAAGCCACTACACCCTGCACTCAAACAACACTATCCATTTGATTGTTCCGTGAATCAGAACCGAACTGGGTAAAAAGCGTTCAGTTTTGCTTCCACTTCAGACTGACCTGAAATTGTCGGAATTAATTTTGCTGGGAGCATTTCGTTCAATCTTACGTGACATGACCTGATCTGTGTTTATTTCCCTCAAGCTTTTATTTATTGTTCATTTTAGGTATTGTACAGCATTTTAGTCAGCTGCTGCAGTTTTTGAACACACTATAAATCTCTTGGACTTGGCTTGACTTGATTTATCTCCTAGAAACCAAGGGAGTGGTAATGTCACAATCAGGATACACATGCAAGCCGCTGTCGCGACTGAGCTGGACACCTCTATGGCAACCTATTTTCACCATTGCTATCTCTATATGCACTGTGCTCACAATGTGTCATCTGTATGTCTATTTATTTTCATGGAAATGTGCACAAATACAAAACCCAATTCCATTGGAGTTGGGAAATTGTGATTAACGTAAATAAAAACAGAATACAATGATTTGCAAATCTTTTTCAACCTATATTCAACTGAATACGCTACAAAGACAAGATATTTAATGTTCAACTCATAAACTTTATTTTTTTTTGGAAATAATCATTAACTTTGGAATTTGATGGCAGCAACACAAAGAAGTTGGGAAAGGTGGCAAAAAATACTGAGAAATTTGAGGAATGCTCATCAAACACCTATCTGGTACATCCCACAGGTGAGCAGGCTAATTAGGAACAGGTGGGTGCCATGGTTGGGTATAAAAGCAGCTTCCCCAAAAATTCTCGGTCATTCACAAGCAAGGATGGGGCGAGGTTCACCACTTTGTGAACAACTGTGTGAGCAAATAGTCGAACAGTTTAAGAACAAAGTGTCTCAAAGTACAATTGCAAGGAATTTAGGGATTTCAACATCGACGGTCCATAATATCATCAAAAGGTTCAGAGAATCTGGAGAAATCACTGCACATAAGCGGCATGGCCAGAAACCAACATTGAATGCCCCTGACCTTTGATCCCTCAGGTGGCACTGTATCAAAAATCGACATCAATGTGTAAAGGATATCACCACATGGGCTCAGGAACACTTCAGAAAACCACTGTCAGTAAATACAGTTCATCGCTACATCTGTAAGTGCAAGATTAAACTCTACTATGCAAAGCCAAAGCCATTTATCAACAACATCCAGAAACGCCACCGGCTTCTCTGGGCCTGAGCTCATCTAAGATGGACTGATGCAAAGTGGAAAAGTCTTCTGTGGTCTGACGAGTCCACACTTCAAATTGTTTTTGGAAATAGTGGACGTTGTGTCCTCCGGGCCAAGGTGGAAAAGAACCAACCCGACTGTTATCGACACAAAGTTCAAAAGCCAGCATCTGTGATGGTATGAGGGTGCATTAGTGCCCAAGGCGTGGGTAACTTACACATCTGTAAAGGCAACATTAATGCTGAAAGATACATACAAGTTTTGGAGCGACATATGCTGCCAACCATGTAACGTCTTTTTCATGAACGCCCCTGCTTATTCCAGCAAGACAATGCCAAGCCACATTCTGCACGTGTTACAACAGCGTGGCTTCGCATTAAAAGAGTGTGGGTACTCGACTGGCCTGCCTGCAGTCCAGACCTGTCTCCCATTGAAAATGAGTGGTGCATTATGAAGCGTAAAATACGACAACGGAGACCCCGGACTGTTGAACAACTGAAGCTGTACATCCAGCAAGAATAGGAAAGAATTCCACCTTCAAAGCTTCAACAATTAGTCTCCTCAGTTCCCAAACGTTTATTAAGTGTTGTTAAAAGGAAAGGTGATGTAGCACATTGGTAAACATGCCCCTGTCCCAACTGCTTTGGCATGTGTTGCAGCCATGAAATTCTGAGTTAATGCAAAAAAAAAAAAAAAAAAAGTTTATGAGTTTGAACATTAAATATCTTGTCTTTGTAGTGTATTCAATTGAATATCGGTTGAATAGATTTGCAAATCATTGTATTCTGTTTTTATTTACGTTTATCACAATTTCCCAACTTCAATGGAATTGGGTTTTGTACAAGGTTAAATAGTGGAGAGGGACAAATCTATGCTTTGCACTGGCCCTTGAAGAAATCTGAGCTTAAAAAAGTAACAGTGCTGACCCTGTTTAATGGCCCGATGTTTTCATTTCTGGCCAAATTAATTTGCAATTAAAAAGTGATCAAATAGCTATTAAATCAGGGACTACTTTGGAGCTCTGGTCCTCTAAGCTGCAGCACATGATGCAGACTTAGACTGGATTTTCAGAAGGAGATGTAACACTGTCATGCACCCACGAATCACAGGATGGATGTTGTTTGCACTCTGAATGAAAGCCCCTCCTCTTTATGTAACACACGCACGCACACACTCTGAGGTAGACTGTGTTATGATAGATAACATACGATGATCAGGGTGAGACACTGTTGGTGCTCGGTAGACTTTACGCATGCTCAGACGTTATCATCAGTCTCTCTCTCCTTCTCCCTCTCCCTCCTTCTCTCATCGGACAAGCCGAGGAGGAGCGTCTGAATCACTGACCAGAGAGAGAGGGAGATGGATGGGCGGCAGGTCGCCATAAAACAAACGGTTTCCTCCTGCAGAGCGAGGTGAGGCGACCGCAGGTGTCGGCGTGCGGCCGGGCGCGCTAAGGTGTCCTTGAAGAGGAGAAGGAAGAGGAGAAAAGGAGAAGAGGAGAAGAGGAGAGCTGTGAGGGAAGGAAAAGAAGGACTAGATGACATGTCCATAGAGAGGTGATGGAGCTTTGAGGATGCGCTGTAGATGACTAACCGAGAGTGAAGTTCAACCGGCCACTTAAAAAAGAGGGAAAGCAGGTGAGTTGACTCATGGGAGCATTTTCTACAACCATTAATAACACACCTGGCGTTTTATTGACAAGACCACGTGACAAATCAACTAATCGACTAATTAGTGAGGTATCAATCAGCCGGGGTTCAATGATTGAGCTGCCGGTGCCAATCTGGAAGCGTGCGTATAGAGTGGAGGTACACGAGTGCGCGCCTGTCTCCCGTTCAGGGATTCGTCATGGGTCACGGGTCGGGCTGTCAGTGGTCGTAACGACATAATAACACATACTGGAGAGAGAAGAGAGAGAGAGGAGGAAAAAAAACACACAATCTGTCTGGGGTGGGGATCGAACCAGCGACACTGTAGGTGCAGCAGCCGCGCAGTGTCAAGACAAGCGGAGACATTATGTTTAGTGATGTAAAACGACGGTTTAATTGGATCTGAATGCAGCGCAGCCCTTCTGGTCCCCGTCTGTGTCCCTTCGTGCGTGTGTGTGTGTGTCTGTGTCTGTGTGTGTGTGTCCCAACCCTCTGGCGTCACATGGGCGCATCACCAAGGAACCGAGATAACCTTGAAAAAAACATCTGCCTGAACACACAGACACACACCCACTTTGCATAACACACTCCCTGACTGATAGAGTAACATGTACAACCTTAAAACACCGAACACACACTCTTTATTTACCTCTATACCAATACATTATGTAGTGTATTTGCTGTATTAACTTTCACTTTGAATAATTCAGCTGTAATAGGTTGGCTGCAGCACAGTTCAGGCTGTTTAATAGATGCACCTCATGATATTGATTTTAAAAGCATCTAAGTTGTTTAAGTATTAATAAGATGTGTATGCGCGTATATTTGTCAGGAAGACAGTTAACAGTCTCTTTCTGCTGCTTCGGTGTCGGCTCATAGTAGCAGCTCACTTTGAGGTTGTGTAAGGTGTGAAAAAGCTTTCCAGAGCAGCAGCAGCAGCATTGCAGAGGTAGCCCGAACAGTAAATATTAACTGGCCGAGAAGTCAGACGGGAGAATCTGGATGTTTTTCTGCCCTTTGTGGTTTCTTAAAGCAGCAGATTGAGTGTATTGTAGCCCTCCGTGACCGGATCATCTCAGATGTCAACCGTGCAAACAAATGCCTGCAGTGATTTTTACATGTCCACTGAGCTGTGAAGTTGTTAAATCAACATGCACTTTCATCTAACCCAGATTCATGCCGTGAAGACAAAGTAAATATTCCATCTGAGGTGGCAGGTGAAACATTTTTGATCTTCAAAATTCAACCGTTTAACAGTCTGTAATCACAAAGCAAACAGGTGTTAAAAAAATAAAAAGCCTTCACACATGAGCCTCCCAGCTGTTACAATTTGCAAAAGGGCAAACCCGGCTGATTCATAGCAAAACTCTACATCTCCAGGGAGAGTAAAGGCCACATGTACTGCCACAAATTTACAGCCTCCCCGCTCCTACCAAATCAAAAAGGCTGCGCCACCGAGGATGTGAGGAACAAAAGTGAGCTGGCAAAATTACAGACTTCTGCAGAGCCAGATCATCAACCCAGACCGTAACTCATCAAGGGGGTAAAAACATGTCTCCTGAAAGGCTGTTCTTAAGATCTGGAATCATGTATCAGTCTAATGGGGTTTGATTTTCTGAAATTTGCTAAGTAGTTATTCAACTTCTTATTTTTCAGTGTGGGTTTTCGATTCCATCAGATCCACAGGCAGCAAATCTCTCATCACTTAACTGGCAGAAATTTGGTCTTGAGGTGAAGTGTTGCTTAAAAATAAATCTTTTTGAGTTTAGTGACTTTTCTTTTAACGCCAATGAGCCAAAAGCATTTTTGCTCTAATGTGAAATGCCTTAACAGCCCTATTTGTTTTGCTAGTCTGCAATAATGGTAATTATCCCCAGTGTGGGATTTTTCACAGCAAAAGGGGCTGACATCTATGGAATTGCCATGATATTAAATTGGCAATCACATCGTTTTTACTTTCCTTGATCAATTGCATTCAGTATAAAGGATCCATTTCTATCAGCCAGTCTTTATTTGCATAGCAGTGATTCAAAACAAGTGCTATCTCAAAGGATCATGATCAGACAGTACTCTTCTGTTATTCATATAAATCCACCTCGAGAAAAGCACTTTTCAACATTTAGTAAGTAACCTTGGCAGAGAAAAAACTTAGCCTATAGAGACAGAAACCTCAACCAGACGTATGAAGAAAATAATAGCTCATAGTCATAATACAGACTCCTGAGTCCAGCTCAAACACCACTGTGCCTATGTAAAGCCTCAGAATACATGTGAGCAGACAGTTTGGCATGTCCCCAATTTACTCAAAGTGTGGTTCAAATGCAAACTGACTCTTGAATTGATCATGTAGCTGAAGCATGCGGCTTCAGAGTTAAGTAGGTTCAGGTGCAATGGCTGTCCTAGATTTAGTGTCAGATGGACAGTTTATTGTACAGCTCTGAAAAACTGGCGAATGTCGTCTTTGGGGGTAGAAATACAGCACGGTAAAAAAAAAAAAAAAAAAAGCTGTTTTTCTGTTCTCCTTCTGTTATTTAACTTTTTGAATGTCTTTTTTGTTTGTAATTCTACATACTGTTACCACTGCACCCACTTCTACAGCTTTAAGTGGGCCTGTATGCTCCCGTATGCAGTGCCACCATGGGACTGTTTTTACATACATCGATGGAACTTCTCTTGCTCCAATAAGCATCTTCAATAGCACCTCAAATAGCCTAAAATATATTATCAGTATGTAACTCTGGAGTCTTTTTGCAGGTGTTACACGATGCTTACTTGTCTTTTAAGGCTGGAGAGAAACAACAGATTTATGAAAACTTGCAAGTCTCTGCAGCATTGGATAAAAGAGTATAATGATTGGATTAGAGGGAAGTGATGCAGGGATGCAGAGGTTCATTGTTTGTGTAACACTGTGAGGTAGTTTCTTCAATTATGGATGTATCTTCTGCTATACTAACTCAACAGCAATGAGGGGAGTACTGGTACTTTTTCCATACTGTGTGTCAATTTGCACACAGAGGTTGGTTTTCTTTTTAATACAACTAAGAAAAAATATTAGCTTCAAGGTGCCTTTGGGGAAATAACTGAGCACTGTGCTCCCATTGCCTTTGCATGAATAAACATTATGTCATGTGAGAGTATTCCCAGTTTGTGGAGGAAGCGGTGAACTGCTGAGTGTTTTACAACCTGAAATGCAGCAGCGGTTTTGTGCTGTGTGGCACCTGCAGGACCAGATTGCTGCAGAGAGCTGTTACTACATGGGTTATAAACCAAGTCATCTGTGCAGCAGGAACTTAAAAAGACAGAAAAGAAGAAGAAACAGAAAGAAAGAGCAGAGGGAGATTTTTGGGACTGATCTTCTGGAGTCAAATCATGTATGTTGGTTACTTACGTAAGAGCAAATACCTTTATACTTAAGCTGACTAAGAAATATCTAAACTTAGAAACAGGAGAGGAAAAGACAAACGCAGAAAAAGCAGATCCAGATTGATGGAAAGCAAATGAGGCAGGAAGTACTCACTTATGTAACTGTCATTGCCAACAAACTCAACCCCCAGTGAAGGTCATGTTATCTACAGAGACCAGAGGTGGTGATAATGGCATTGCTAATCCCTCATAATGTCTCCTGTGGTTCTGCAAATATGAACTCGATGTGAACCTTCACCACATAGAAAAAAAAACCGATTAACCCAGTGATTACCTAGACAGCTAAAGCCTGTGCGGAGTCCCTGCCAAAGACAGGGGCGCATGGGAAGTTGTGAGTCACTGCTATTATTATCTCGGATATGAAAGATATATGAGAGATCTTGAAGGAGGAAGACGAGATGGGATCTGCTGAAGAGTGTGTGAGTAAAATATGTATCCAACGTGGCTCTAAAAGTGTCTTTTCTTTTCCTTCCAGGTGTCTGTTGTCGTTTCAAAATGGAGTCCACTCACCTCCTGAGTGGCTCTAAGAAGAGAGTCAAGATCCACCCTCACACCGTCACAGCCAAATACGCCACGCACACCCCCTTCTCCCCCCAACCCGGAGTGCACCAACACTTCCCTCAACCAGGGGATGAAGGCTACGATGACGCTCCCTCTTTTGAGGACTTTGGCTCCTTCCTGGAGGAGACGTCAGACAGGAAACGTCTAACGGAAGGCAAGAGGTGGCCTTTGACTCTCTTTAGCTCTAAAGACAAGGACACGGCCAGTAGACCTCAGACTGCTGCTGCTGGAGGAGGAGGGGAGACAAGTGATGGGGGAGTAAAAGCAGCAAAAGGGTCTGGGAGAGGAGTCGGGGAGCAGCTGGCCAGTTTCGGAGAAGCTTCTGTGTCTGCTTCTCGGCTAACGTGGGTTGGCTTGCTTGGTGCGGCGTTGGCTCATGGTTGCCTGATTGTTCTGACCCGTCTCGCCACTGAACGCTACAGCCTGGGCCCCCTTTTCTTGCTTATGGTGCGGTCCATCGTGCAGCTCGTCTCTTTGGCTGTACCGCTGCACAGAGGAGAGAACCCTTTTGGACCGGATGGCTATCGTATACGTCTGCTCTGTTACGGCATCGCCTACTCTCTCTCCCTCTGCTGTGCCTACGCGTCCCTAACATTTGTCTCTCCGGGAAATGGCACAACAACCTGGCGCTTGGCAACCACAGGGCTGTCGGCCATTTTGGCTTTCCTGCTCCTGGAGGAGAGGCTGGGGTTGGCGGATGGGATCACCATAGCTGCAGGACTTTGCGGTTTGGGGCTTGTGTTGCTCCCCACGGTAGACGAGAACAATTCAGATTCACCGACCGATCCAGTTGTGTTCTGGAAGGGAGCGTTCGGGTGGTCCCTCTCTGCTCTCGCAGGGCTGTGGATGGCTCTGGCGTTGGTTGGGTATCGCTCCCTGAAGGAGAGGGTGGGAGTGGGCACAGCTTTGTTCACAGTCAGCTGGACAGGCTGCCTGCTCTCCCCTGCCACCTTGATACTTCTTCAAGAGGGATGGTCCTGGCCTATGAGCGCTGAAGCTTGGGGCGTCATCCTGGGCCTGGTTGCCTGCTCTGTAGCAGCCTTCCTTGGGATGACGCACGCCCTCACCCGGCTCCACCCGGCTCTGGTGTCTGCCTCACAGAGCCTGGAGATACCTGTCGCCATGCTGCTCCATCTGGCCGTGCTGCCTTTGGCTCCAAGTGCGCCGGAGGTCGTTGGGAACGTGATGGTCATACTGAGTGTGGGCTGGCTGGTGGCGATGAAGCTGCTTCCTTCTCGTGGGGCAGGGCGCCGCCAGAGGGAGGAGTATGAGGAGATCCTGGACTCGCCGATCAAATAGACTTCTTTTCTCACCTCTTCACTCCTTTCCCCCCACACCCCCTCTTTCATGAGATTGTTTCTGTTGTACATAAAAGACTGCTAAATGTTTACTGGAGCCTGATCTATTTTGTATTGTCCTTCTGCTTTTGGGAAAGTGCCAATGATGTGTTGTGTGTCGTTGTGATATCGTGACGTGACATTAAAATCTCTCTGAGGAATGCTTGTGGCCACTTGTAATCAGTGTTTCACCATTTAAAGACTGTGTACATGAGTATATAAGCTACATTTATACGAGGGAAATGTCAGTTACTGTTACCCAGCTGAGGGTTGGCCGGGGATGGATGCTATTTATTTGGCTGCAGGCTACTGGCGAGGGAGAGGCGCAGGGGATGGGAGGCAAAAGAGGGGAGCAATGGAAGATAAATGGGAGCGGAGGGGGGAGATGATTGGATTGGCACAGAGATAAGAAGCAGGAGGGAAAGAAGAGTAATGGCAGATGACGAAACGGATGAAAGAGAAGGAAGCCAGGACGGAAAGGGGAAGTTGGGTGATTATTTTGCTGCTCTGACCAGCTGTCTGATGAAAACACTTTTGTACGTCGGGAACAGTCATTATGTCTAATAACTACCTGCCAGACACATAATCACCTACACTCTTCTTATCCTCACCATTAGCTTCCATTTTGTCTTTTTCCTCGTCCTCCCTATGTGCCATCATTACACAAGCGAAGCTGTCATTCACCGAAATGTGCACACATACACCGAACAGATGGAGACCTTCTATGAAAACAGGTGTATTCTAATTGAGTCTGAGTGTGTATGTGTTTACTTGTTGCTACATCTTGATGCTCCTCTGCATGTTGCTGAAAACATTTAAAAATAGGCACGAAAAATCTCTCTGATTTTCCTGGAAGTCTCCAACTTGCTTTGGCCTCAAGCAAACATGGGCACAAGTACGCATCCAATGTGGTTGTGAGTCTTTCATCAATGAAAATACTCCTGTTATATATCATCAGACTGGCAGAGTGAAACCCACAAACTGTTCAAATGTTCTTTTCCGGTTTAATTGAATAGTTACTTGAACTGAGGTATTCTTATTAGATACAGGTCAGCTGTTACCTTACACAAATGTGAGAGCAGCCTGAGGAACTGTTGAGCCCCGTCCATCTCTGATTAGTTGAAGGTGGAGTAACATTGTGTCCTGCAATCCAGGCAACAGCAACAGAACTGATGAGCTCGAACCACGAAGTAACTTAAACCAGAAGCAATAGTAATGAAAGCAACAAGGTTAAAAAGCTGTGAGCCTCATTTTAAAAAGGAGAGCTAAACATGGACAGACATGTTAAAGGTACAGTGTGTAGTTTTAGTGGCATTTAGCAGAGCAGACTTGGTAAGAGTGGAACATAACATCTGTAGTTACATGTAAATTAGTGCATAATCACCTAGGTACTCAAAAATCTTTGATCGTTATGAACAGGGCGGCAGTAGCTCAGGAGGTAGAGAGGTCGGCCAATAACTGGAAAGTTGGCAGTTTGAACCCCGCCCTATCCCTAGTCTGACCTAACCCACCTTGCTCCCAGTGTGTGTGTCCTCCACTGGTATATGATTGTGAGTGTTGTGTGGTGGTGGTCGGGGGGCCATAGGTGCAAACTGGCAGCCACATCCAGCCTACGTCCTGTAGCACAGAATGGACAAATTAGTAACACATGCATTTTTATATTTAGTGAATGTAATAATTTTTCAGACAGACTTAATTGATTGTAAAAGGTTGACAAATGGAGGATCATACTTGTCAGGCAATCACAGGAGCTTATTGTCCTCAAAAGCTACTGTCCGTTCAGCAAAGGAGTACTTCAATCTAGAAATTGAGTGCTAGATTTTGCCTTTTATTTCCATTTCTACACACTGTACTATTAACATTAACATTTCTCCAGTTGTTTTTTTAGTAGTATGAGTAAATCACCTTTAAATCAAAAAATGTGTTCAATATTCTTAGCAGGTAATAATATCCCTTACACAACATATGGAGATAGTTGTAGTCACTTTGTCTTCTCTTTAATTTTTTTGACCAAAATCCTGTTTTCTTACCTGCTTTATTTCCTCTCTCGTCCCAAATAAAACTTAATAAAACACAAGTTTAAACACTTCATGATCAAATAAAGAGAGGATCTGGAACAAGAGACCAGCGTGAAAACACACACACACGGAAAGTACCACCTTTAAACACCATTCAGTGTGTGGTTTATAACAATGAGGCGAGTGTGTGGCTGCAGGACTGATGGGCGGCACTGTAATAGCTCTGGCAGGCTTTCATTAATCATAAACACTCCGAGCATCGTAAGTCGCTGCCTCTAAGCAGCTAACGAGGAGGTGGGGCCTGTCTACAATTAAACACAGGCCAAAACCTCTGACACACTTCTTTGCGGTTGTGGTGATTTGCAGACATGCCCGCAACAACACAAACACAGAGGTGTAAAACCTAATATGCGCAGGAAAGGGTAGAGGACACACTCTGACTCAGACAAATGAGAGTGTAAACATGTGCATAAACCTGTAGCTCTAAACATGAGCTGCGTGGGAGGAGGGAGGAGACCTTTCCACAAGGCTGATTGGGTTGTTTCAAAAAGTTTTATTTATTATAGCAAAACCACAACATTTATGTGGAACATCTAAATTCATTGTCAACAGAGATAAACAAGCTCACATAGAAAACAGGAGATTAAAAAGTGCAAAATCATCATCGCTGAAAAGTTCGCCATCACCGTCAAACATTTGTTCCTTCCCCCTATGTGTCTCCTCTGTTCTTCCTCGATGTCCCTGCCTGTTCAATCACTCTGCTTAGCTGCAGGTGAACCTTCTGTAGCTCTGTTGCTATAGCAACCAGGGCCTTTTCCATTGAAGCCATGTCAAGCGGTGAAGTCACTTCCTGCTCTTTAAGGCCAGATGGGAATGGCTTCACCCCCAAACTGAACGCTGCACCTAAACCTCCAGGTCTCTGCGTGGGTTGGTGTCCCACCCTGCTGTCTGCCGCTCCTGATGCCATCACTCTGAGGCCGCTTGCTTCCTCCAAGAGCTTCAGGCGGGCGTTCCCCTCATGGCTACTGTGCAGGAGCTGCTGCAAAGTAGCGTTAAGCCTGCTCTCTTTCTGTGCTTCCTCCTCCCTCAGCTCCAGCAAGCCTTTTTGCAGCCTGGCATTCACTTGCTCTGCTTGCTTGCTGCACGCTGACTCCAGGCTGGGTAGACACTGCTGGCATGTCCCCTGGGACGGCTTGTTCACCTGTGTTCTGAGGGAGTGCACACCGCCACAGCATTGTTCCAGAGACTCCAGGAGCATGTTCTGCCTCATGTGGGAGTCCTCCAGTGCGATGAAGAGTTTGTCCCAGCGGGAGAAATCTGCAACCTGGCATGGAGTTGGAGTTTCTCCTGCAGACACAAAACATGGATGCATCAATTATACAGTCCTATACCTAAAGCAGGATTTTTCATAGTAAACATAGGCAAAAAAAACATGTCAATTATTCATTTATATCTGCTGAAACAGCTGCTATTCAAATTCATTTCAGATGTAAATGTAAAAAAAAACAGGCAAACTGGGAACAAGATCAGTAAACTAAATACTAGTAAACATGCTTGAAAAACACAATATTCTGCAGAAACTATGCTGTTATATTTTGCTTTTTGGCAACTGTAGGCTCAGTTCTATTCATAAATCATGAATAGGAGACAGCCTGTTTATTGCTTGTTGGGAACAAGGGATCTAAAATATGGATAACGAGGGTTAAATGTTTCCTCGGTGCAGGGGGTGATTTCCAGTTTCTGTTGTTTGGTTTGGCTATTGTTATTCCTTAAAGATGAAAGATGAAATAAAACAAAATGTGTTTACCATTTGTCTTTGGCAGATATTGGAGAATTTTCCCCCCATAAGGGTTTATTTGTGTCACACCATTTTAGTTACTCAGAACACACGAACTCTTTGCCAGTCACAGTTCTTTAACAACAAATTGAAACTCTGTAGTTATTTAAAAAAGTTTAATATCATATACATCATTTTAAAAGCAGAATAGTACAAAACATGAAAAGCTTACATTTCATCCTAAACATACCACAACACCCCATCACACCAACATCCAACTTGACGTGCTGTTGTCTAATGTTAGCAATTATTTGTTGTCTCTAATTTACAGCTTTTTAAAATTTTTGTTATGTTATTAAAGATACTATTAAACATGTTGTTTTTTCTTGGAGGCTTATGTAGTATCAGGAAAAAGTTAATATGACTGAGAACTTAGTTTTTTTCCTATTTTTTAGAGAACAGGAGTGGACCAAAGATAGAGCCTTGGGGGACACCATCCCTAATGAGTAAATCCATGTATGGCGGTATTTTAATCACACTGCATACAGTTTGATGAACTCTACTGGCTTAGAGGAATCTGGCATTACAGCTGAGGAAAACTTCTCCACAATGAGCCATCTGTTCATACAAGCTGGTAGCCAAATAGACAAAAGGACAAAAACAAACAAACAAAACTCACCCTCCTGCTGGTCCTGTGAGATCTCGTTTTCGTAGTCGTCCACGTAGTTTCCTTCATACTCAATTTCATTCACGCACAGGGATGAACACACAAAGCCAAGCACGCACAGCACATGCCAGGCTCTAGAAGCGTGCATGATGTAGCTCAAATACTTTGCTTTTTAAAGTATCGGATGTGTTTGCAACCCAGTTTCCCAGCTGCCTTTCTTTACTGTGTGTGCAAAGCTCTTCATACTGAGCCAACCACCGAGGGTGCAGAGTTTATAAGGATGGAAGAAGGAGGGAAGTCGAGGAGGGTGGGACAGAGGTGGGGGTGCTGTAGAGGTTGGGTGAGTAATGCTTCAGTGGAGGTAGTGTGTCAAAACTCAAACAGAGTGGGAAATTGGGGCATTATGGGGAAGGAGAATTATAGGGGCACAGGGAAAGCTGGGGTGACGAGAAAGGGATTGAGAGAGAAGGAAAACAAGAAACAGGGCGATGCAAGACCTACAGATGTACGTATTTGTTTCTGTCACTGAAAATGACTGTTAATGTGTATATAAATGATATGGATTGATTGATTGACTTATTTCTTTCAATTAATCAGAGGAAACTTAACAATAGTGTCTCTCTTCAGGGGTTACATCCGTCCAGTCAGCTGTTCTAGTCCCTTCCCTTAGCAAAGAGTTCCCAGCTGACTAATGAACCAAAATCACATCACAAAACTTCATCTATTAGGCCAAAGCAAATATGAGGTTTTTGTGACGTACTGAGTGTTGAGACATTTAAAAGTCTATTTCTCAGCCATTGGAGAAAGCATTAATCAGTATTCAGAGTGACTCCACCACCGAGAGTCTGTCATCTCTTTGAATTAGCACAAATTGAGTCTTGAGAGAAGAAAAAGATGGATTAAAATTTGACAGTCAGGCCCTTTTTGGGATGATGTGATGAATTCACTTTAGAAATATGTCTTTTAAAGGATGCAGCTCCTGAAATTGGGTCTTTCTTCTGCTTTTTTCTTCACCCTAAGACCCTGGCTGTCAGCACGAGGTTGAAATAACACCTCATAGATTCAGTATGCGATGTTAGATAAAATAAATCCCCTCTGACATTTTTCAAATATTTGCTCTGATTAAAGTTTTAATATCAAGGTCAGCTTTTTTTCTTTGGACTACAATACTTGAATTACAGTTCAGCCTTGAAGATTCTGCTCAATAGGTAACTGTGTTTGATGGTGAAAAGAAATCTAGATGAATCAGAGTGGGAGTTTGTTTTAAAATATACAGAGGATGAGAAAACACATCCTGGATGTCTTTGTACTGATAGAAAAACCACATTTTATTTGTACTGTAACATTATAAAGATACAGTATGTAGGCTTTACCAATAAATACAATACTCACATTTTGAAATGATTTCCTGGTGTGACATCTTTAATATCCACTGATCCTCGAGAAGATCGTTTTTCCTGTCAACAGAAGAGGCTTACTATTGTTGGAGCTTCATTCTTAAATCCTCCGCTGACATATGTATGTTTTTCCGTGGGATGTTTCAGTCCACACTGTCTTTGAGCCTGTCTGTCTCTTTAATGTCTGTGCTGGTGAGTCAGGGTCACTCCTTCCTCTGTGCATCAACAACAAATCCCTTAATATTAAGAAACACAGCAGAATCTGGATCATATTTCCAGCCTGCAGTGAGTTTGTTTTCCTTTTTTCTATTGTGATTGTTCCTGTGTTGTACTTCCAATTTTGCATGAAGGCCATGATTGTGCATTTAACCTTGTAGATGAAACACTAAATGTTATGAGCCAGGGTTTAACAAAAGGGAAAAGACCAAAATGCAGCTAAAAAAATAAATTCATTTAAAAATAACGAAACGTAAAGCAATAAAAACTTACTTTAAAATCTCCAAAAAGGCAAAATCCAACTCAAGACACTGGGGCAGACATATACACACATCAACATACATACACAATAAACCAACAAGGACAGAGGGGAAGAGAGGGACTATATACACTGTGGGAAACGAGCAACAGGTGTGGCTAACGAGCAACAGGTGAGGCTAACGAGACACAGGTGAAACTCATTGATGATTAACAAAAGGAGGGAAAACTAAGGAGGTAAAACCAGACTAAAAACGCAAGGAATAAACTTCTACAAAATAAAACAGGAAACACTGAAAGCTAAAGAATAAAACTCAGGGGGAAACAGGGTCAAACACAAAGAAAATACACTCAGATAACAAAACAAGGGGAAAACTAAATCAACAGAACATATCATGACACTAAGCCAGGTAAAAGAAGAAGCTACTGGACACTGAGCCGGGGTAAACGACCTTACACTTTAAGCAGAAAATTCTGGTCAACAGGTTTTGGGGTTACACAGCAGATGTAGGACATGTGAAGGCCGGAGGAAAAGGCTTGACCTCTCTACTCTCTATAGACCTCAAGAATGAAGCTACCTGCTGTCGTCAGCATGTCTGGTGGTAGCAGGGATGACTCTTCTTGTTTGGCAGGCTGTAATTGTAACAGAGGGACTAATTGGGATGGTAGCTGGCAGATTTATTTTAGGGAAAGAGGAAGAGATGTGTCGAGGCAGAGACAGAAAGGATCAGTGAGGGAGGGCACAGAGGAAATTTGTTTATTTCTGTCCTCTTAGCAGGGAAATCCCATACTTTAGTTTTATCTGCTTTTTTCCCTCCCCCAATTTGACGAATCCACTAAAATACAAGCATCTCAATTTACAGGGAGGACATAAAATGTCTTATTTGTGCATGATGGATGCAGCTGGTGCTCTCATTTTGTCCTCATTAGCGTCCATAAGAGTTATCCCTCTTCATAGGTCATTTTTCTATTGATGTCATCATATGACTTCATGAAAACATATATCAGCAACCACCAGACGCTGCCCGCCGCCCCCACCTGCACACCACACCTACAGTTAAGCTGTCACACAAAATGCTCCCAGCTGGCAGTGAGGGGGCGGACTGATGAGACATGACAGATTGGCAAAAAAAATAAGAGCGAAAAGAGAGATAGAGAGTGAGGATGGAAGTTGAATTTAAAGAGCGTGAGTGTTCATTCATTGTGTGATAAGATTAATTCATGTCAGACCAGAGAAAACAGATGAGAGCAGATCCTGTTGTGTTGTTTTGGTCCTGGATCCAAGGGAAAGTGGGACAATGGGTGTTGTCAGCAGAAGTTAAAAACAGACAGTTTGAGGCAGCAACAGGACTTTCCATAAGAACAAACCACACTCTAACACTAACACAGCGAAGGCAGCCAACACAGAGCAGTTTTACGAGAACTGGGTGTATCCTTTTTTTCATCCCCAGGATGAAGGAAGGGGAGGGAAGGACACAATGGATATACGACTGAAATAAAGCACACTATAAATAATACAGCCATTGTAAGAATATACCCGATGTATAATATTACTTTATGTTAGCAACATAACATAGTGAGCAGTGATTAGGTTGATTTAGTGTTTTATTATAAAAAAACTGGCTGTCCTGAAGAGCTCAGGTCAAACTGATCCACTGCTCTGACAGGAGTTCCCCAAGTCTCTATGCTTGGACATCTTTTCTTTGTGTAAAATGACGTTTTTATACTTTTTTCAGGATTTTGAAAACAAAAGTTGATTTAGAATTGTTAGACATGAGCAAAGTTTCAGATTGCAAGATTAATGTGTGTTATAGTAATCCTCATATGGGACTACGGGACAACCTCCTTAACCCGTTAATGCCTTTTGTATCATATTTGATACATACTTTTATATACTTCTATCAAATCAATATGATCTACAAATTACTAAAAAAAAACACCTGAATACAGTCTGATAAATGATAAAAATGTCCTCTTGTAGTTTATCAGTTTCCAAAAACATGTAACTTATCAAACGAGATTAATAAATATATTTGTTAAATTTTAAGGACATTTAGATTTTTTTGGTTTTCAGTAGTAAGTGAAATCAACATTTCAGCTCCAAAAAAGGGCTACAAGGGTAAGTTTATCTATTCTACAAAAGAGAATCAACTTTTGGTATGGCAACAGTGAAGAAGGCCTCCAGAATGCTGAGTTGTGGAGTGCGGCTTAAATAAAGCATCTCAAACAGGCTAAAATTAAGGTTTTCAAAGAGCAGCCTGAAATATATTGAGAATTTGCTGAACTGTAAATCATGTAAAGCTGCTCAGAAGTTACAGAAGGACGATATAAAGACCAAATACAGGCATAACACCGCATCTTTGATTAGTGAAAGTGTTAAAACTCAAGTGAAAGATATAAGAGATATTAAAGGCCATTTATTGCAAACTATAAGACCTTTTCATAAAATCGTCTGTGCCTTGTAAACACAGCAAGGATCAAAACCAGATACAACTGCAAACATCCAAATTGCTTTTATCCGCTTCTGCTGAACTCACCCATGTCAGCCAGACCTGCAAAACATCATTTCAGCTTCCTTCACAACCACACCAGCGCAGAAAATGACTAGGTTCAGGGAGCTGCTATCTCTGATAAACAGACTGCAGAGCGGATATTACAAAAATAAGTTTGGAACATAGCAGGGACTCGCTGTATCAGTGTGGAGGAAAGACACTCATGAGCAGAGAGGGACAGATTGAGGAGAGTATTCTTGTTGGGCTGAGTCATAGGAAAGCAACAGGAACTAAAACACTATTTAATCTGTCTTTAAGCGCTGGCCGTGCCTCCTGTGAGGCCCTGCTGAAACGTAGAGCTGATATAGTGGTGTGATAGAAGTCTTTATGGTGTTATTGGACTGAGGGCCTCCCGGCTGTGCTCAGATCAATATCACATAACCAGCGTTTAATCAATCTAATCTGTTTGTAGGGCCTCAGACAGGAAGGAGAGGCAGAAGTGGGAGCAAAATACACACACTTACAGTGTTTTTAAAGCACTAATTAAGTGTGTGTGTGCATGTGGTGAGGTTGTGGCAAATGTCATACACCACCAGATCTTATTACCCCGTCAATAACTGTAATCGCACTACATTCAGTGATGCAAGCCAAGCCTCAATGAGTCAGCATTGTCTGAAATAACACGAGACTTGGCCTAAGACTAAAAAGAAATTAAAAGATTTATGAGTTAGTGTGTGAAATAAGGTCATGATTTTTGACTTGTATTAGAGAATAGATACAGCAAGAACCAGAACACAAAGAGAGTACAAAAACAGAGTAGAAACGTGACATAGGCTGACATGAAATCACTGTTTGCATATTTATTTCCACATATATAAAGTAAAAGTCCAACCAGTGGTGACATCAGCTCAACGTACAACATTTGACTCAGTTATGACTGTTTTTTCTCTTTCAGTATAAAACTGGCAGCAGCTACAATAGTGAAGTGTTTCTGTCTGTACACACACATCTTTCTGTACTGGGACACAAGTGTGGCACATAGAGCAGGTTGTGATTTCATCAGAAGGGTTAGTGCTACATTAATGCTTGTTTCCATCAAAGGTCCCCAGAGTGGACCCACACCACAGTCGAGCAGGGCTGCCCTGACAGAGAAAATGAACAACATCTGGACATGGAAACTTCTATCCATTTCACCTAACGGGGGCTTTAAGGGGGTAAGAGGGTAGAAGTAAGTTTATGATTTAACTGTGCGCGGAGGGTAACACCCAGAGAACGTATGAGGAAACGTGTCCTTCACCATGCTGCGGAATAAAGATCCCGTTCAGCTCGGCGTTTCTGTCACCTCGCGGGGCTCCCCGACACACGTAAGTGACATGTTTCGTATGGAAAAATGACCTCAACTTTAAGCCGGCGCGGAGTCACACAAGCGTTATAGGTACAGGTGAGCTGTAAACATACATATGAGACACACACTCGCACGTTAATTTCTGCCCTTACGAACACAAAAATACACACATACAGTTGGCACAAAGCCTCATCAGCTCAATGTAGCTGAATGAAACGTTTTAGATTTGGTTAGTAACAGTCAGCGAAGGCTCACCTCCCAGCCAGGTGCTAGGAAGAATTAACGAGTCAGCATTACGTACATCGCCACAAGAGGGGACTGATACTGATAACACTCAATTCTACAAGCGCAAATCATTGTGGCACTATAAAACTCTCAGAACTTTTACATACACTTCACAAAGTTGACCCTGTGGAATAAATTACCTTTTTTTTCTTATACATATCAAGCTAGGACTGTTTTCTTAATCTACTTCTTTCTAATACAGACTCTGTTTTCACACATAGGATGTTTTTTCTAACTGGTCTTAATCTGCCAACGCTTCACTCCAGCTGGCACGTCTCTAATGAACCACAGCCTGACTGAATGATTATAACTCCTGGACATCTTCCCCGTTACTGATGGGTGGTTGGCTTGTAGTTTCATTGATTGTCTCGGGTTCGGGATCTACGCCATTGGCAGCCAAGTTCACAACATCCGTGCCATTGGTTGTAACGCTCTCACTTCCCGCTGCGTTCGCTGCTTGAGATGTGTTTGAAGCTTCGCTGAGCTCAGAGGGTTGGGATTCATCACCATCGGTCGTTTCAGCTGTTGCTTCATCGCCCTGTGGGGGTTCTGGGATCTGATCCGTCGGTGGCCTTTGTGAATTTGAAGCACCGTGATCAGATGCTTGGGTGGCGGATGCACTCAGGCTGGATGTCTGGCCATTCGTCGAGAAAGTGTTGTTGTTATTGTTCTTGTTGGTCTGATCAGATGGCTGCGTGTTTGCAGAAGATTCTGTCGTTGTCCCTTCAGCTCCTGATAGCGGATTTACTGTCCACGAGTCCTGGTCGAAGTCTGGAATTTGGTGTACTTCTACAGGAATTGGAGTGATGTGATTTAACCCGACGGGCTCATTAGCTACATGATTGCTTGTTGATGGCTGATGGCCTGCATTACTAATCTCAGACTGCCAGTTATTGGAGCAGAGGACTGCTGGGATGCTGCAAACAGAAAGACACTCATGACCAAGCCGTTAATGAGAAAAATGAATTCACTGTGAAAGATATGCTCTGTTGGTTCGGGTTTTATAGGGGACCAGATGTCCTGAGTGTTTAAATTACATGTTTGTAGTAAAATTTGGTGCCTTTTGCCAAATAGGTTACAGAACTGCATATAAAACGACTTCCATTTTGCATTGCATAGTGATATTTGGCTTCTGGATATATGTTTTTAAATTTTTTGTTTTTTCATAAATTTTCCCTTTGTATTTGAGAAAACAAGGTCTGTCACCTCAGTTAAAGATTTAAAAATCTCAATTTAACACAAAAAAACAACAACACCTGTTTGTAGTTGTAGGGCCTGTGTCCACTAGCAGCATTCTATTACATTGTAAGGGCCTATTTCTATACAACTAAGCTTTCTCGAAGTACTCAGCAGAAAATAGTTGAAATTTTGACTTAATGATCATTTTAAATCCAAAAAAAGGGCAGAACTTGAGAACAATAAGATTTTGTTTTTTCTGTTACTCTAGAAAAAGCTAAATCTGACTTTCTACATCAATATAGTTATACAAAGATGAAATATTTAAGGGTTTGGAACGACACAAACATACCTGGCTAGCTGTTTTTGAAGCTCCTGAGCGTGTTGGCTGCACTGGTCAAAGTAACAGGCCTGAACTTCAACAAAGTCAGTCAAGGTTCGCATGTGATTGGTCTGGAAAAAACAACAACAATCAAATATACAAGAATGACACAAAGGAGATGGGTAAACATAATGAGAGATCGATATGACAAAAATGTCAGGGAAATGACAAACAAATCAATAGTGCAGGACACTGTTTGTGAGCGGCATCCAGAGTAGGAGGTGTAACGCCTGGTTCACACAGGAAGCGCCGCGCGCGGAACGGAAGCGCTTGGCTGTTCACACAGAAAGTGTTTTCTGCTGCGCTCTGACACGCCGGTCAGACATCGACTGAGCCCGGCAGTGCTCGGCCGTTTCCGTCTGCCCTCAGTTTTCCACACTTACGAGCGCTTTAAAAATGGGTTTATCAATATTTATTTACGTTTTTATTTCGTCATACATAAATTAAATATTGGCAGCATCTTCAAGTATTGTTTAAAATTATTATATAGGGGTAAACGACGAATAAATTGGGGAGTCTGTTGACTCCGTTGTATGTATAGCCTTGTTAGCTCGAGGCTATTGACTGTATCGTAATAAAGTCCCCCTCCTTTGTCTCAATAACATCACTGAATCTCTGCAGCTCTCCCTCCGTGTGTGTGTGTGTGTGTGTGTGTGGTGTGTGTGTGTGTGTGTGTGTGTGTGTTCATCGGTAAAAAAATAGACCAACAAGCAACACCGTAAATCCTTTTCTAATTTATTGAAATTTACTTTATTTTGAAAATTGACCGGATTCTCTCGCATCTCCTTCCTGACTTCCTGTCTGGTCCGATCTGCTCTATTGAGCTTTACATCGGCACGCGCGGCTCGCGCCAAAAATAGAGAGAAGCGGAGCAGCCGCGCTCCAGAGCGCGAGCCGTTCCGCGCGCGGAAGCGCCGCACGCGAGCTGTGTGAACAGTCTCATAGGTTAACATGGGCGCCGATCTGAAACTCTGTGCGCGGCGCTTCCAGTGTGAACCAGGCGTAAGACACCTTTGTGCATGAAGGGTGTCCTTACCTTCAGCACTGTGCAGTTTCAATGTGGCGCTTTATGGTACCAAGTGTTGACACCATCCATAGCTGCCAGTATTATGGTTAAGACATCGCAGGTTTAATGATACAAAAGGTCGCCAAAGTCTGTGTTTGTTTGTGTAGACATACGTGAGTGTTGCTGATTCCTTCCACAACTCTTCTTGTAATTTCCGACTGCCGATCGAACAGACTCTGACAAATCCTCAGCTCCATCTCTGCCTGAGCACACAAACGAAACACAGTCATCTATTCTGGTCTTTCTGTGTACTGTTTTCTTATTTTCTCAAATTTTCTCATCAGCAAAAACTTAATCCTTAAACAGCTTAAGAGTAAAAGAAAGCAATTACTGCAACAAGCAGGACCATGTTTAATACTATAACTGTAGTCTCCTTCTACAGCAGCATGACAAATATTTATACCAGCTTCTGTGTGCATGCAAAGATAAACTTACCTGAGAGATCTCCTGAGCCCACATCTGATTAGATGAGAGAGACAAAGGAGGACAAATGACTCATAAGAACAAAACAACAATTTCAGCTGCGTCCCATGTCACCTTGAGTCTCACTGACCTTCAGCCATTTAACCCGCAGAAAGCTGAACATGTAGGAGACATGAGCTATGTAGTCATCGTCCAGCGGGTTTGCGTTCAGGTTCTGACAGAGGCACAGGAGAGCAAGGAGCAGGAATGAGATCATACTACAATTATGTATGCTGTGCAAGGTTTAACAAAGGTATGATGAATAGATTGAAGTGGGAGATAAATGTGTTCACAAGTTATAATGTTTCTGAATAAGTAAAGCTCAAGATATCGTAACTCACTCTGGCCTCTCTGTCGGCTTCATGAGCTTTCCTCAGTCTGGTATTAGCTATATCCAAGTCCAGACGCTTGTTCAACAACATCCTGCGCTCAGTCTAGAGGACAAAAATCACACTTCTTCTGAATCATGTCCAGTACAGAAATAGTCGAAGCAAGATGAACAGAAAGATAGAGATTAGAAACATAATTACAGACAAGTCTCTCACAAACATGCACAAAACTTCTGATGATTTCCTGATTTTTTTTTCCATGTCCGATCAGAAACAGACAATTTTTTTCATCTCAGATCAGGAAAATTCACCTCTAGTTTCTCTGCAACACACTTAAATTTTGATGATAATGGTCTTTAACTCCAACATGTAAAAATACAACTCTCAAAATATTGGAAAATTTAATTTCTTCTTTAGGTAAAGTACTTTTTCAACAGAATAAATATGTTGCATCTCTTGGTTCGGTTCATAAAATACAACCACAATCAATTGAAAGACTGCTGACTTGACAGTTGTCAAGAAGACGATAATATTCACTGTCTATATGGAGGGTAAGCCACACACAATAATGGCTTAAAAGGCTGGCTGTTGACAAAGAGCTCTGTTAAAGCACATTAATGGAAAGATGGCTGAAAGGGAAAAAAGTGACATACAACAGGGAAGACTGCAGACTTAAGAGGATTATAATTCAAGAAATTTGGAGTGGAGAGGAGATGTACGTCCATGTCATGCTTCCATCTTTAGACAAGCTTTATGCAGATGCTGATTTCCCTACCCTGCAAGGTGTCAAAACTACAACTAATCGGTTTGCTGGCCATGATGTTATTGAGCTTAAATGGTCGGCCAACTCGCTTGACCTGAGAAGTTCTGTGAAGTACTGTCAAGAGGAAGAAGAGAAACATCTGACCCAAAAAAAAAAAAAACAGACAAGCTAAGGGCCAAATCAACCTGGGCTCCAATAACACCTAAAGCTGATCGCCTATATGCCGTACTACAATGACATGGCAGTTCACGGTAAAGACAGGTTTAACATTTCTTTATTTGAATCCTTTGTAAATCAATTTCAGGATATATTTTATGGATTCAAGATACAACATTTCTGACCAACAATGACATTGATGAGGTGTGTGAAAAGAGTGCTACCTGTATGGCTTTATACTCCCCTTCAGAGAAACTTCTCAGTGGGGTGAGAAAGTGGATGTTGGTGCTTTGGACAAACTGCCGCTCTGCTTCGCCAAGTTGCTTCTGAGTCTCCCCACACTTGAGCATAGCTGTACCTGAACACATAAAAGCACTGCCGTCTGAAAAGAGCACAGACTTACCCAAATTACTGACAATACTATAATCCACATGAATGAATAATCACCATAAGGGGTGCTGGATCCAATCTCCATCCCTGCCTGGATCATCATATCCCCCAGAACCTCATGAGCACGAGGTCGAGGTGGGACGCTCCACTCCAGCTGCTCATACAGACGGTCTTCTAACCGCGCTCCTGTTCATTGAGGATAGAAAGAAGCTCATCTCAGGTTTAAGATGTTTTTATTCAGTACTGTATTCTTCAAAGACAAGCACTGAAAACAGAAACTTTAAAAGATAATGTGAAACAAAACAGAGGCAACTGCTTGCACACCACAGCTCTTTGCTAAAAGCTCTTACAGCGCACCTAAAGTAAGCAATAATTATTCTCAAGAGAGACCACTACCCGTTGGCCATATATAAACAAGACATAGGGCTCTATTTTCGTTCGCGCCGGTGAGGCGGCGGAGGGCGGCGAGCCCCGCGCAGTTGTATTTTCGTCTGGCGGAGCCCAGCGTAAGGCAAGTTTGGTATTTTCGTGGACTGAGTCGCATGGAGGCGAGCCGAGACCCGCCAAGCTGGGCGTGGTGGCGTGGCAGGGGGAGGTGTTGACAGAATCAGCTGGCGCAGTGACATTTTCGTGCTCGCCACCGGCGTGTAACGTGCGCTGAAAGCTCGCCGATTCAAACCTGGTCAGCTTTCAGCGCAAGGCGGAACGCAGCTGGTCTTGTAGTATTTTGGTAGACCGGCGGCGTATCGACATACGTCACTGATGCCTCACCGGCAGGTTTCCACAGTGTCAGGCACATTTCAGTGCAATAAATAATCATCAACAACTATTAATCTGAGTCAGCACATACATTTAGATCTATATCGATATATTCTGATCTATATCTGATCTGATGAGCGCGTTTGGCACGCGTTTGGCACGCGTTTGGGCACACAACCTGACCGAATCAATACAGCTGAAACTGCATCAAATTAAATTAAATATCTAGTAAATAAACACACATGATGAAGTTAACAAGATATGTAATGTGTCTCCCTCCTTTTCTTTCTTCCTCTTATTTCTCGCACAGCTCGACCTGGACACGTCTCCGTGTCCTCTGTCCGTCTTGCTGCAGCTGCTGCGGCTGAACAGATGATTTGTTTCAGTGCTCAGATGCGTTATCTACTTTAAGCCGACATACGGATATTATAATATTCAGTTTTGTGGGCCAAATTTATTTTATATGCCAACATCTATGAAAGAAAGAGCCAGGCCACGGAGCGCGATGCGTCATTTACGCACAGATGGTTCCGATTTTAATGCCATTTTTGGAGTTTATGTTGTGATCTGTGCGCTAAACCCACCTTTGTCACGTGAGGTTTGAATATATGCAACTTTATGTGAGTGTCTTTTTTGTGGAAAAGGGTGTTTGTCTTACCAGTGGGTCCAACATTACGCACACCAAATCTATCTGTGCTCAGATGAGAGAGTGTGGAGGACACTTGTTGAGCAGCTGCCCTCTGTCGCCATCGTGTGGCATAGCTGTCTTCAGACATCTCTTGATCTCTTTGACTACTTCATGAAAATAGTAATACGCCTCGCCGGTGGCGGATTTAAAGGCAAGGAGAGGAGCTTATGTGATTGGTGAAAACAGGTCTCGGCTGTGTTAAACCCCTATACGCCCTCTCTCCTCCCCTTCTATGATTTATGCTGCCGGGAGGAGCTGAGTTAGGGAGGGGGTATACTTACGCCGGGCTGCGCGGCTCACCAAAATACCAAAATGTGCTTGGGAACGCCTTGTCAGCGCGGCGGATCTGATTGACTCTGCGCTTGCGGCACGTCTCCGGCGAGGCACCAAAATAGAGCCCCTAATCTGCAAATATACCCTTGGTGCTGAATAAACGCTGAAGATTATCATTTCTGGCGGCTAAATGCTTCCTCTGCTTTACAGGGAACAGACCACCTACACTTGTGATTATATTAGCAGAGGTAATAGAATATAACAAGCAAAAGAAAAACCATCTCTTTTAATTTGAAGACACCATTACAGTTAAAGCAAACAGAACTGTAATACTGCGTCCCGGAGGAAAAGAAGCAGAGTCACTCAGTGGTTTATGCCAGCCTTAATGGGCAGTGCCTGGTTGTTTGTATGCTCGAAACAGACTGATTGGAGGCAGGCAAGAGGAGGATGACTGTGTGTTTATCAGGACATTCATTTCAGCCTCTTATTATGTACAGGTCAACATTTATTTCCAATCACTACATCAAGGCAATCATAGTTTTGTCTCTAACTAGTATATCTGCATATATTTCAAGATGTTGTGCATCCCTGCAAACCAACAGAATGAGTGTAACTATGACTGTCTTGATAATATAGCGTGCCAAAAAGAAGTGGTCTCCTATGGTCAACTTACCCCGTGTATGGGCCGTGTCCTTAAGTCACGACCCACTTTTATAGAATTCAAACAAAGAAAATTATTTTTTTACTTTGAAAAAACTTTAAAGACTCTAATCTTTAACATAAATCTGCTTGTTTTATTGAGTAAAGTGCATTTCAAAGCACATGAAGGGCACAACACGAGGACGACAACTACTGAAGTTTCGTGTGCAAAAAATATCAAATAACTAATAGATATCTCATATTTCTTTTACCATTTCCAAGCAACAGGGGGTGGCTCAACTTACCCCACTCTCCCCTATTCAATGAGTCAATGCTAGGACTCCTTATAATAAGAAGAAATTACTTAGTTTAGTGGCCATGTTATATCATTAAATAGATATATACAGTCTCTTACCTGGGCTCGGTTGCAGTAAAACCTCAGTCTGGGAGATTATCTGGTCGGTCCAGGTCTTGGTAGCGTCTGCCCGGGCAAGAAGCTCCTCCAGTTCCGGATCCAACTGTGTCTTTTCTGCCTGGCCAAGACTCTCCCCCGTGTACTGGAGAAGTATAGAGCAGAATTTCATTTTAACCACTATTAAAATAAAGATTTATATGTCTAATTATTTTACAAAAGACGCCCTGGTCCAGCTGGTTTGAGTTACATTGACGTAAAGGACGTTAATTACGTCGATGTCAGAAGTACATGACGATAGAATAACTATAACACCGCCACCATACGCGGTTTAATTCAGTAAAAAAACAACAATAAAACATATTTTCAGTGTATTAAAAGTATTTCTCAGTTATTTTCAAGGTTAATTTTACCTGAACAGCACGGTTGATGAACTGTCCAGCATCTACAGCCAGCCGCGTCAAATCCATGATAGCTCCCCCAAGGTCGCGCGCTGTCTTCGGCGGTCCAACAAAACCTTAACGGTCCAGTAGGACTATACCAGTCCCGGTGACCACAAACAAGTCCCAGCTAACGTCGCCATGACTCTGACCGCTGTTTGACAGATTATACAGCCTGTAAACACCGAGCTGCACAGAAGAGAGGACGGCGCAAGTGTTTACAAGCACCTGCCTGTCTTTATCTGTTTATCCACCTACCATCCTGTACGTGCTCCTCCGGACAGGGTGGAAGCTTTCACTGCTGGGTTAAAGACAAGACCAGTTTGGCGTAATGGTCAAATTTTAACACAAGAATGGCTGAACAGCAGCAGTCCTTATTTATGTGCAGTTATCAGTTCTTATTAGGACTTTAAATGCTCCAAATACTGGATAAACCACAACCAAGTAACAGTGTCAGTAATGTAAAATACCAGCAATAACAGCTAAATACCTTTTAGGAGCCACGTTTTCTTAAATGTCTTTAAATTGGACTAAAAATAATGGGAAAATAGTCATAAATTCAGTGAAAACGACCCATATTTCCGGCGTTGACTTTCAAAATAAAAGCACTGACATGTCAATTTAACGTCCAAACTAATTGGTTCCTTTCTGCCTTTTAAAAAATGAATTTCCATTTGTTACTTATCATCAAAAAGAAACCAAAGAACCATCTTTGACAGCCCAAATCCCAACATTATGTCCGTAATAAGACTGCTGCAGGTTATTGCAATCTTATTTTTCAAAGAGGAAGCTGTAGACCCGTCTCTAATACAAGACATAATCCATGCACCGTCAAAATAAACAAAACCCGTTTAAAGTCATCCTCAATAATGGACAGCATCCAATCCAAGTCCCGTCAAAGGTCTGGACTTTATCCAAAAGCGAGCTGTAAAAGCAGCCATGCGTTGACCACGAGGAGAAAAGTAATGACAAAAAATACAGTGACCTTTTGAGAGTCCGCGTTCATGGCTGCGCTGCAAAAACAGACTCATAAAAAAAAACCTTCTTTGCACTATCTCTACTCCGTCCTCTTCAGCCTCCCAAGGCTTTGCACTGAACTGTAATTGCTGCTCTGTAAAAAAAGAAAAGGTGAGCCGAATGGACCTCTGGGTATGTGCAAGAGGAGAGAAACACACAGAGAGGGGATTAAAACAATCTCACAGCTAAAGAGAGGCTAAGGAGGGTTAAGAGATTAGAAGACACATTTACCTACAAACACAAATCTGCAGAACACATCCTTTATTACAACCAAATGTTAGGGAAATGCAACAAATATCTCTCATTTCCAGAAAACAGGAAACTCATTCAGAACATTTTAAGTGCTTGAACAAAAACAAAAAAAAAGCATTAAAGGGAACTTTTTTTTTTTTAACATTCAACGATTTGGGAACCTTTTTGTTTCTACTCGCCAGCTGGGAACACTTCAAGGCACCTTGTTTTTATTTTAAAGGTAAGGCCCCCAGCCGAGGTACATCTGACAGAGCAGTTTGTCATCTGTAGCTTCCTGTATGAGGTAGTGGACGTGCCCCTCTATTGACAGAGGGAGACCCAGCACTTTGTTCCTGCTCTTTATTACTCCCTGCAGACGCTGCTCGATGTCACACACGTGGGTTTTGGCCTAAGCAGAGAGTCAGAGAGGGATATAAAATATTATTTAGCAAATATGGCATTCAATACCATCTGCTTTGAATGCATGGAAAATAGACTTCTATAAACACCTTTTCATTGACTATCTCTCCTGTTTCGTTGGCTTGAGTTTTAGAGAGCCCTTTTCCTTGTTTGCTCCACTCCACCAGCGGGTCATGAAGGAATGTCTTCAGAACACTTGGAGAGAAAATTAACAGGAAAGTTTGAATATTGAATACTTTGTAGGGAAAGATTCAAAGCAAAATTGTAACTGGAAATCTAACCACAGCAAGCATGTTTTAGGGTGCCATCATCCCACATAGTCTAATATCATGTGGATTAACAGCGCATTGATTTAGATTTATGTTAATATATGCTTTGCTCATGAAACAAACCTTTGAGGAATCTTTGAATAACATCAATCAATCAATCAATCAGTCTTTATTTATATACCACTTTTCATACACAACCATGTAGTACAAAGTGCTTTACACACAAAAAAGAATAAAAGACACAAAGAATACCCAAATCTACCCCAGCCCAAGATTAAAAGGACACCCAAATCTACCCCAGCCTAACCCTTCATTCCCACCCACGATATAAATGCAACAGAAACAGTATTCAAATGCATAAACTTAAAAAGGGCTTGATTAAGGAAACACTGGAGGTTTAGGTCAAAATCTAAAAATGAAGTAACATGAAGTTTAAGAAATAATAAATATAATGAAATAAAAGTAACCGTGAAAGATACTAATATAAGAGCACCAAAATAGCTCAATAAAAGATGATCCTGTCATTAAAACTAGAGAGAGATAAATGCTAAAACACTTAAAGTTAATGATATAAATTTAGTTAAAAGCAAGACTAAAAGGGTACGTTTTAAGTTTACGCTGTTCCATAGACAGGGGCCATAGTAACAAAAAGATGCCTCACCGTATGTCTTGGTTTTAACAAATATGGTATTTAATTTTGAATTGTAATATGTTTGTACCTCATCAGTGGCTCCCTCTGGTCCCTCATCAGTCTCAGGGTGACCTCACAGGCTTGTCTGAAGAGACCCTCAGTGCCCATAGGCCCCATGGCGTGGACCATGTTTTGGGTCAGACGAAAAGGAACCACCTCAGGCACGTCAAACGTCTCGCCCTAGTGGAAAAACATGAAAAAAAAACTTAGGAAAAAAGAACTGAAAAAGTTGTATAATGGTTTCAGCATTTCTTCAGGATCAATCTATAAGATTTCTAGGATTGTTATTCTCGATAAAAGTACGATTTGCGATAATTTGAGACAAATACAAACCTTGTTGAAGAGGCAGTTGAAGTCAACATGAACACACTCTCCAGTGAAGGAGTCAAAGAGGATATTTTCTCCGTGTCGGTCTCCCAGACCCAGAATGTAACCCACCATGGACATCACAGCAGTGGAGCGACAGTACGCAGAGCGGCTGCTGTACCTGTAAAAACACACAAAAAACGTTTGTAGAGTTATTCTAAATTTAGTTTTTCACTCAGCCTTCAAAACATGACAGAACCTCTGAACTCTCATGCAGTTACTTATACAAACACACATCAAAAATCTGGATTGCTTTTAAAGCAGTGTCCCTCTTCAGAGGAATCATAAAGAAATTGCTGAGTCGGGTTGTACCATGATGTGGGGTCAGGGAAGGTCAGGAGGAACCACTCGTGGAATACTGGGGTGTGTCGAGCACACAGCACCTCCTTGTGAATTCGTAACTTCTCCTCCAAGGGAGCCGTCTTTGGTAGAATAAGTTTCCTGAGCTCTTTTCCTGACAGGTAGATGCCTTTGACACAACCACACATGAAACCAAATTAAATACTATCACCACAAAGATGTTTTTATTTCCTACTGTTCTTCTGTTTTATCTATTCAGGACGATACCTCTCTCCTTGTACAGTTTAGTGAGGATGTGCCGAAGTCCGGCGGTGTTGTTGACCCACTCTATGATGCCGCACTCCTCATTGAGGGGGATGACAGCGTAGGTACGGATGTGCAGCTCTCTCCGCCTTGACTCAGCATCTTTACGAAGGCACTACAAACACGCAGAGTGAATAAACACACATTTTTACTTTGGAGTATCTGGCAATTTATGAAGAATGAGGCAAAAATAAGATCACAAGCATAAGGTGTACCCATGTATGAATTTACTACACTTGTTTCAACTAAGTACTTTAAAATATACTACAGCTCCATATGCTGATGTACTAAATGTGAAATATTTTACTTATATATTTTATATTATATATACTTATGTAGCAATCAAGACAACCCTGGATGTGAAACCCACACATTCCTTACAGGAAAGTTTCCTTATCTGGTCCCAGGAAACAGGATATAAATCTTTCCAGACGTGTTTGCCCTTTCAGGTTAAATAAGTGACCCAACCGGAGGTTGACTAAATCTCTGACTCTTCAGGATTGGTCAGTTCGGCGAACAGAGACAGAGTTTTTTATTACCTTTCAAACTGACTCCATTTGCTGACCATCTAAATAAACATTAACGTCTCAACCCAGATCTCCCATTTGAGGTTTAGCGTCTTAAAGTGTGTGAACATACGGACCCCAGGATAAGGGGGGACACTGACCTCCAGACCTCGGTCGTAAAACCCTGCTCGACCATACACTGATAAAGACTGCATTCCTTTGGTGAAAGAATACAAATGACTGATCATGACATCTTATGCATTCAGCAATGTACTAATCTGTCTAATCATGAAATTTGTGTTAAAATGAGATGTTTCCCGTTTTTCTATGTGCTTCAGAAGCCAAGTTATCTTATCTGACAGAATAAATCCTTATTCTTTAGTTCTTTAGACCAACAGCTTTTCAGACTGTTTCATGAACTTTTAAGAGTTAAATTTATTGACTATGAATCCTAAGTTTACTCTAAGTAACAGAAATAGTGTAGAAATGTTTGGTTTATATTTTAGTTATTTATTTAGTATCTTAACCATTAGGTGGTTATAATGTCACTGAATAATCTGAATGTGAGTATTTAGAATCCATTATTAATCATGATGACGTTCATTCACATGTGTTTACTCTTTTGTTGTTCACAGTTTCTATGTGTTACTATCTGTTTCATTTCAGAGTAATTTAGCATGTTCAATGTGATACTTAAAACATAATGAGAATGTTTGATGTGATCCTACACTTCATTCATATGTGTTTAGTATCAAATTATTTATCATGAAACCAAGCATTCAATGATATTAATCATAGTGAGTGAGTATCAGATCTGACTCTTTTACCAGCCAAAAGAATAAGTTAGATCAAATAATCAGAGACCCGATGACCCCTCCTCTTTCTCCTCAGACACTCCCAGTGTGAGAAGATAAAACCAGTGGAGTGGGGTTGCTCACTCTCTTTTCTCTTATCTCTCTTACTCTCTCTTATGCTTCTGCTCTTCTGCTGACTCTCTTGTCCCCGGCTCTTATGCCCCTTCTCTTCTGCCCACACCCTTCTGTGGTGCGTTTCTTTATTTTCTCTTAGAACTTTTTCTTAGTCTTCTAAGTTTTACGCCACGTGTTGATTCACGTTGATTTTTCTTTAACATCGTCTTAGTTCAAGTTTTGAAACTTCAACTTTTTGTGCACATAGCAATTCAAGATTAAGCCTTTGATTGATTTTTCTTTAATTTCGCGAAGCCATTTTTGAAAGTTTTCTCTGCTCTTCGAGCCTCGTTTTTCTGAGTTTTCTGCGTGATTTCAAAGTCACCTCTGAACGCAACCCAGCAGGCCCAGGTCATCCTCTGTGCCAGAGTTTTTGAGTGAGACCAAAGAAGTACCCAAACGAGCATCCACAGGATCCACAGGCGCTGGCTTTGCTTCGGGCCCGAGTGCTGCAACTCCTGGCTCATCCTTCGGCTGACTTCAGTCGTCTTCTGAGCTGAACCGCTCGAACCGCCAGTAGCCCCGGACCTTCGGAACCTGCTCCATCTTCTCCAAGGACCAGTCTCACTTAAGTATGCAAACCTCCAGAGCTTCAAAGAGGGCTGGTGCTGTCTCCTGCGTTCAACTCAGATATCCTCTTATTCTGGTAATCTTAGATTCCTCCAAATCCACATCCGAGTTTATCTCGACGCCAAAGTTAGTGTAGGTTAATATGTTAGCGCATATTCACTCACTATCATTAACTTTAGTGCTCCTAGCCTGACTCAGAATCTTTATTTATTCACCTATTATTATTTTATCCTCATTATCTTATCATCATTTATTGCATGTTTGTTGTACCATCATTTATCTTGTAATAAACAGATCATTATTTTTCTAAGTTCCTGTCTGTTAGTGTTCTTCCAGAAGTGGAGTCCCTGAAATTAGAATTTCGACTTAAGATATGAGACTGATTAATTAAGACTGATTAATTAAGACTGATTAATTAGAACTGACTTGATGTTTGATTTCTGAATTAAACTTTTGTTTTCTTTATTTTCCCACCATTAAGGGTGGGTGGTGCCCCTTTCAACGAGTGCATAAATGTCATAATTTGAGATTATTAATCTTCAGACATTTATTATAAATTCCAATCGCTACAGTACTATTTTGGTACGGCCTTGTGAGGCTCATTTCAACCGCTACATATATTTTGTTGCGACCGTGTGAGGCTCATTCCAAATCACTACACTTATATATATTTATTTATATATGTGTCCATTTCCATTCACTTACTTAAATATAAGAGATTAAAAAACTGTATAAGTAAACTTTGTGAGTGTCATTAACTGGAGTGTGTCTAAATTCTTCATTTTATCTCACACACCTTGTTGATGAGGCAGTTAAACTCCATGAGTCTGCAGTCTTTCCTAAGGTCATCTTTGGGTTTACACATCATGGTGTAGCTCCGCCCATCTGACCCCCTCAGACTGATCTTCTTAGGCTTCTGTAAAGAGGCCAAGATCTCCACCTACAAACACACAAACACTAACAAGTTAAGTTTTCAGGTTAAGTTTCATAACGAACTGTGTGACTGCCGTCTTGACAAGAATAAACTCTGCTTCTTACGCAGTCTTCAAAGCCATCCAGGTAGGCCCAGTGTCCAGGGAAGGCGTCATGCTGTGTGTTTGCCCCTCCAGTAGAGGGCAGCGTGGGGATGAGGACTGACTGCAGCGGGATCAGGATCTGGCTGAAGGTCTGTTCCTCCACCAAGCGTTTTAGCATCTTGAAGTGAACGCCCATGCTGAGGGTGGTGCTGTTCCCGTCCACCTGAGAGACAGATCCACACATAAACCCGCTACTGTCTTGTCTACAGACAGTCTGTGATGGTCCAGACTGAATCATTTTGGGTCCACACTTCATCTTAAAATCAAGTATGATGTTAAGGAAAACAGAGCAGTAATCCTTACAAGTATTACAGACTTGTCATATTTAGATTAAGACAACAAACTTTGACAGAAACCACCCAGGTACAATAAGCAGAGTCTGTGTCTATGTGTGTACCTGCTTGTTGCAGAGCTCCAGCAGCTTGTCAGTCAGTCTGTTTGCATCCCCGATGAATTTCTCTAGGGACGGTTTGAGACTGATGGCTTTCTTAAGGATCTGATTACAGCGATTCATCCGCATGGGGTAGGAGGACTGAAATAACAACAAACACACAGCTATGAAAGCACAAAGTGTGAGGTTAGATGTTTGAGAGAGCATCTAACTTACAAGTTTATAATATGTGATGTTAAACAAACTTCCCTTATGAATTTTTCTAACAATGCCTTATAAAATTAAACTCCACAGATTCAGGATATGAGGCCCTGATTGGAACTGTCCATCTACCTTGCAGACAGCTGTCATGAGCCACATAGCCTGTTGAGGATATGCCAGAAAGACTTTGGCAACTATGGTCATGAGGACGTTAAAGACCTCGTCGCTGGAGTGACACACTCTGGAGATGAGCTGGGAGAAGGCGGTCAGGAACTGGTACGGTGCCAGAGTGGCACAGTGCTCGCTGACCACCGTGTTGATTTTCCCCAGCTCCTGTCGCATCTGTCTGTCCGCTCGCCCAGCTGTTATGGAGGGAAATGTAATTTTAGTGATAAAGAAGGAAATATCTGGAAGTAAGTCTGACACAACCCTTCAGACCAGCCTTTCTCAAATGTCATTTCACGGTTGTCAGAGATATGGGTTTCGACCTTGTCATGTTGATTTCCTCCCTTATTTGTGGTGCTGTCTTTTGCTGATCTCTCTTACTGGTGACAATGCTATCCTCTGCTTTTGTAGTGACTCTCTTTCATCCAGGTAATTTTCTATCATCATAACTGCAGGTTCCTCTAGTCTCTTCAGAGTGTAGTGGACTCCTTTGTTAAACACCTTTAGGCGTTTTGCAATTTCTCTTTCTGTGAATCCTTCTTTCCTCAGTGTACAAATATGTACTTTTGTTTCTTTACTCAGTTGCTTCTTTCTTCCCATTTTTGCGGTAGTTTGAACACAGTTGAGATTTATTAGGATTTTCGTATGCAGACTCTCAAAAGCCAAAAAGTTGAAGTGAATAATCCAACTGTGATTTGTTTTTTTGCTTTTGCACTGAAGTTGTGACTCTTGCAAATGTTTTCAGCCCTAAAACTAAGCCCTTATTATCTTTTGCTGACATATATTTAGCAATGGTCTATTAACATCAAGGTATATCTAAAGGTAAATGGAGTAAAATTGTGCATTTCCATGAAAGCAACATCTGATCATGGAGTAAATACATCCCGAAATACATAAAACTCATGCTGGATTAAAAAAAAAAAAGCATTGTGAACAAGAACTTGAAGTTACTCCCAACTGTTCGGCCTGTAATGGCCTTGCTTCTAAACTTTTGGCCTGTAGTGTTACTGCTCTGGCCACCCACCTTTCTCACACTCACACACTTTGGCTCCAAAATCGAGCCAGAGAGACAACATTCGAGGCATAGCCTGGTAGATGTACTGGTTCCCAAACTGTAAGGCTCTGAAGAGGGATAGAGTCACAGTGTAGTGATTAATACATCCACAGAGACATGAAGTTGCTTCAGTCTTAAAAGTAAAAGTAAAACAACTTACTTTCCGAAGTACATGACTATGTATCTGATGAGGTTGCCTTGTTTTTCCAGCTTGTTGTCAGTCACCATCGGCATCACTTTGTCGTAGTACTTGGCCAGGTAAAAGTTTCCATCCTCCCACTCAGGCAGAAGGTTGGTCACATCCTAAAACACGCATACCATTTAGAACCCTTAAACATATGATTTTATTCACTGAAGGTCAACCTTTTAGTCTTTAGTAGCTGTTTCTTTGTTTATATTGCCTTTTCTTTGTGTGAAAAGATGCTGATTCACTCACTGTAAACCAAATCTCATCAAGCTAAACTCTACTTGCACATGAAACGTAAACGAGCAGCAGCTTCAGGAAAAGAAGGAAAGGAAATAGATGCTAATGATCTAACAATCCATAAAAAATTTAAAAAGTTGCAGCAGGATCATTGAGCTAGAGTTACTAAATAATTAATGAAGCAATACCCCACTTTTGCAACCAGGGAGTTATCTCATAACTTTGCTTTTCAGGGTGAGCAGAACTTTACTCCATAATTGCTTCTGCAGAGTGCATCCTTAAACTCAGCCGTGAATGAAGCGGATAAACCTTTGCATACCTGCGCACAGAATTCCCGTGCACATTACCTTGTATGCCTTCATGATGGCGTTGGACTCGAAGTTCGCCGTCTCCTCCATGAAGCGCCCCACCAGCAGCATGGCTTTGCCTTTGGTTTGAAGGCTGCGAGGGTCTGTGAGCGGCTGGTCGTCAGGGAAACACTGAGCCACGCCTTTCTGCAGGACGATCAGGGCCTGGTGTACGTCGCCCTGACAACAAAACAACACAAAGTTTTGTATTATGCTTCGTGCACTGTTTCATCAGTATCTATTTTAGATTGCACATTATGTTTAGCTTATATGAGTGTTATACTGCAATACAGTTCAGATGTTTTTATTGTACAAGCTGTTTAAAACCAATCGCTCCCGGTGGGAATAATAAAGTTGTCTGACTTGGACTGAATGTGACAGGTTTATTGTTGGTTTTACCTTGGACCACAGCCACTTGGCCTTCTCAGTGACCAGCTCAGCCAGGTGTGTGTTCTCTGCGTTCAGCAGGGCGTTGAAAGCGGTCTGATGGTGTCCCGCCTTCCTGGCCACCCTTGCACTTTGCAGCCAGCACTCACCGACCAGCTCTTTGCTCACAGCCCTGCAGAGCAAGCACAAGGACAAAGCTGTGATTTACATCCATTTTGGTAACACTTTCTTTTACGGTACACTTATTACCAGATAATCAACCGGTAATTACCTAGTAACAACATGAAATTATCTGGTAATTACATGATAACTACTAAGTCAATACTGTCTAGCTACCAGGTAGGTAACCTTCCATCATCATACAAATTTGAAGCTGAATTGCTCTGGTATTTCCAGGATTTTCTCCGCTTCCTGGAACCTCAATTTTTTTTTAATGGTTTCATCTCATGTGAGGGCTCACGTAGCTTTTATTTAAGATCTGAGGAATAAATTAAACACGCGAGAATTCGTCTACATCCTTACTGTGTCCCCAGGCTGAGCAAGGCCCGTCGTAAGGCAAGGACCGGCTCCTTGGCCCTGAAGGAATTCTGGGTCATCTCTAGCCGATCAGACCAATGAGGAGGCAGCTGACTGAGGCTGGGTGTGGAGCTTTCTCTCTGTTTCTGCAGCTCGGTGAATGTGTGCTCCAACTCGCTGAGCATGTGAAGCCTGGCCAGAAAAAAAGGAACATTTGTTTTTTTGGGGGGAGTAGGAAAACACTCTCCCAAAAATCTGAAAATAGGCAGCGAAAATGCTGACACACACACAAACAGACCTGACGATGTATTCATGTCCTCTCTGGTAAGTTCCACATTCATAACTGGCAGCAGAAAGTGGGACAACCTGTTCCTTCCTCACCACCTTTAGCTTCTCATAGAAAGTTTCAGCGTCCTGTTTTTTAGCTGCAAGGAGCAACTGGCCGAGTCGCACACCCCAGGTGCTGGACTGAGTGTCTGGAGACGTGATAGCAGCGCAACAGAAACATTTTTGTGTTTAAGTTTGATTCTGCTAAAAAACAAATAAACAAACAAGGACACTATTTTTACCTGAACTTAAATAATCTTCAAGTAGGTCCCATTTTCCGAGCTTCCAGGCCGCCTCCACCCTGTAGGTGTTCAGCTCAGACTTCCACTGGTGTCTAAACGTGTAAAGTTAAAGATATACAGTCATCGCTTACTGCTAAATATATAAGAAAGTGTGTAAACAAAATGATGGCTTACTTGTTGGCCAGCACTCCATTGACCTGAGTGATGACTGTTGACAGCTGTCCCAGGCCGAGCATAGAGGTCATCACCCCATGATAGTGACCGATCTGTGAGGGACCAGAGAAAAGATGAGATAGGGAGACAGATTCAACAACAGATGACAATATAGTTATTTTTGTCCCTATACTGGCAAAAATCTGGAGCGTTATTGTAATTGAGTAGTCTTTTTGTAGGGTGACCATATGTCCTCTTTTACTCAGACATGTCCTCTTTTTTCGGGGCTTTCTGGGTTTGTCCGGGAAGTTTATAAAATCCTTTAAATGTCTGCAGTTTCGTATGTAAATTTTGTGTTTGTGTCATGTGGACTTACTGGGTTCGAAGCACGTAAAAGACACTTAATGCAACCCGAAAAACTCTCAAAATTAACTTCGTGCGACTCTGTGACTCCGCCCCCACTTAGTCGTGTCCTCTTTTTGGGAAGTCAGAATATGGTCACCCTACTTTTTGTGTACTTGAATCCTCTGTAGTATTTTAATTTACGACATTTAAACACAGAAAAAAGTCTTCTTTATTCATTGATTTAAAATAGTTTTACATCTTGTTTCATCGAGAAAATTTTGCTTTCTTTGTTTATATTCTTTAAACCCTGATTCTTTGGCACAGCCAGCCATCCATAACTGAAATGTACAGAAACCAACTACAAAGTGCAAAACAGACAAAAGTCACAGCAAGAATATTCAAGAACTTCACCCTGGATTTGTGCAGAATCAAAATTACCTGACAGAGTATTTCTGTTAGTGATTAGAATAAGTTTAGGACAGTATGTTTTTGCATTGTTTGGGGTCTTACCACTGTTTGTTAAAAGTACTAATTACTTAAGGTACATTTTTAGTACAGAAACCTTTACTTGACTAGATTAACACAGCGGTAGTTTAACTTCTACTTAAGTAAAATGCTGTATAAGTAACTGTATTTTTACTCAAGTACAATATTATAGTACTTTTCCTGCCCTGTCAAAGATATACAGTAGATCCAATGTCTATGTATATGTACTTGCAATATTAATGATGTGTGTGCACCTGGTCTGACTCCAGCTGAATGGCCCTGTCATAACAGGCTGTTGCATCTCGGAGAAGGCCGATGCTCTCGTGCTCCAGTATCTGTTCCCGTAGCGACGGCTCCTCTCTCCTGAGGGCATTGACCCCTCTCACCCCGTCAGGCTCATGCATGGCAGCGTACAACGTCTGCAGCAGGAAATCATTACAAGAGTGCTGAGAGAGCCTCCACAAGACAGCAACACCGATTAACTTTATTTTTCAGTCAATTTTCACAGTTAGAGATCTGCGGTACACGCTCATGAAACCTTTATCTACTATGTGATTTTTTTTATTTTAGATTTTAGGAGATGACACTTCAGTGAAGAGATCAAACTTTCCTCTGACCTGTAAGAAGGTGAGATGGTCCTGGACGTTTTCTTTGTTTTCTAGGATGTATGCCTCAAAGTGCATGAGGGCCCGAGTGTACGCCTTAGACCGTAGAGAGGCCTTGGCCAGAACGTCCTGTGGGATACCCTTCAGGAAGTTTATCACACGCTGGTAATCCCCACTCTCTGCAGAAAAAAAACACATTCTGTTGGTTTAACCATGAGTGTGAATTGAGCTAGCAAAACAGGTGTGACAAAGAAAGCTTTATCTGCAGGTGATTTGACCATTTCTGAAGTGTTGGAACCGAAAGTATTTCTCAAAAGTGACTGACCATTTTTGGGTTTGGAGTAGAGGATGTGTCGGCTCCACTGTGTGAGGTGAGACAACATGCTGAACACCGTCTGCATGCCGAGCTGTGAAAGGCTGGAGGCTGTCTCCTGACTGCGCCCGCCTCCTCCCACTCCGTCGCCCTCTGTCAGCACCGCCAGCATCTCCTCGGTTACCTGGAGGGAGGAGATTAATTACTGCTAATGAACGAAAAAAAAAGTATATATCAAAAGTAACCGAGATGTGTGTGCCCACCTCTCTTTGCTCCGCAGGCGTGCAGCCCAGCAGCATGTAGCGCAGAATATGAGGCAGCAGGTAGATTGTCACTTTGTAGTCGTGTTTGATGATGAAGCTGCAGCAGGTGAAGACTCTGCTGGCCAGCTCATGCCTCACCTGAAACGCATAATGAGTGAATGTGGCGCCAAAACGTCTAGATACAGATTCCATAACAAAAAGGCGGATTGGTCCTTGAGGTAAGAATGTGTTTTGACCCATAGACTGTATAGACGATGGACAACTTGGTTCCGCCTGTACACGGATTTGACGCCAAAAAGCTCTCGATATTTCCGCAATTTTTCTCCACTTCCTGAAACCAGCGCTGCGCAGTAGCGTTGTACGCATTCGGCGGGAGAGTCGCCGAGAGCCGCTGTGATGACACCCAGCTCAAACAGCATATCCCCCATAGGCTGTATCAGGTGTCGATTATAAAAAAACGAACCCCCGAATAATTTTTAAAAATGGAGCTGCACAGAAAAAAACAGGACAGGAGGCGGGATTTATGACCTATACTGCAGCCCGTCATTAGAGGGTGCTGTTCTCAGAGTGGCTTCACCCAGCGAGGAGGCAGACGGCGTCCATTCTATATACAGTCTATGGTTTGACCCCTTTTAAGAAAACGAAATCTGCTTACTTTGCTGATGAGATATCCGGCCCAGGTTGCAGACCAGTCAGAGAATTTGCTGCCTCTTTTGCTTAAGTACACCGGCTTCTTCAGTTTGGACCAGTTCACCTCCTTCTGGCTGCTCTTATACCTGAAGATAGAGAGTGACGAGAGCTCAACGACTGAACAGGACAGAGGGTTAGAGCTCTTGTCTTTGAGTGCATACCTGCTGTTGAGATGTGGTTCGAGTATTTCCTGAATGTGCTCTGGGAATCTCCTCCACAGACGCCGTCCTGTTGAGTCTGTTCGACCCTCACGACACTCAAAGATGGAGAGCAGCTCCTGCAGTGCACATGATGGGAAATTTAAGCCTCAGATAGATGATGCTGATGCTGGATTTACAAATTTAGTGCTTGTAAAGTCTGAGTTCAGCACCTGAATTGCATACGCAGCCGAGTCTTGGGCTCTCACGTCATCAGCGTACGCCAGAAACGTCCTGGTCAGCTCTGTCAGGAGATCGTATGCAAAGTTTGGATCATCAACGCCACTCTGGTGAAAGGAAAAAGAAAAAAATACGGCACTAAATTTTCACATTCAAGATGTGCATCCAGGTAAAAAGATCTCAGGTGTGCTGGTATTAGCTTACCACAAAAGTGTTGCGATCTCCGTGGGTGTGGGTATGTGACAGATCCAGACGTCCAGGGTCCACGGCCCCCAGCTCTCCCAAACACTCCCCGCAGAGCAGCCTGGCCTCGGGGGACGAGTCTTGGCAGCCCTTCAGCAGCACCGACACCAGGCTGGAGATGACCGGCTCCACCGCCTCACTCGCACAAACCTGCCGCAGCAGCCACTCCTGCAGTCCGTGACACCAAAGAAACACTCAGAGAAGTTTTTATGGTGCTGTAACTAATCCAGGACAGACTGGAAGCTGCAGGAATATGAGATGTTTTACAGCAGAGTGTGTGAAAGTGTAGTAAAATTGATCAGTGTCTGCATTTTACTGCATGGTGTCCTTATAATTAACAGTTCAGGTGAAGTAATCGATACTCACTTCACACCGGAAAAAGAGCAGAGTGTACTGAATTGATTTAGCAAAAAATTCAATTGAAACTTGCAAACAAGAGCTTGAACTCTGCCCAACACTTTGTGTGTCTGTGTGTGTTATTGTGGTGTTATCCTACCTGGTTGCTGTGCATCATGTCTCTGAGGCTGGTCAGTGCGTGAATCCTGACGTCCATGTTTTCATGTTGAACAGCCCTCATGGAGAGCTGCAGAGCTGCAGCCAGGTCGCTGCTTCTGGCTGTCAGCTTCAAGACAAAGAATTACAACTTTTACCTCCACAGCTCATAGATATCAATCTTGACACCACTGACTTGCATGTAATAAAAAAATATGTCCCTCACTGACCTTCTTGGAGTTCTGCAGGACTGTGTGGATGTCTTTCAGCTCAGGATGGTCGGGCAGAAAATAAATCTCATGGAGGTAATCTTTGACTTCTTCCCTGTAGGAAATCAACTGAATTCAGACTCGATGGTCTTATTTTGCTTTCACAGGTCACAGAGGCATCTGTATTTTTTCCAGTTTGTTTCATAACAGCATCAAAAGTCCTCACTAGAGCTTTAAGGCAGGAAAGCATCATCATAGGGCTGGGCGATTAGGCCTCAAATCAATATCACGATATATTGAGCAGTTCACCTCGATAATGTTAAATGGATGATAGCTACTCCACAAGTTGCTCACCCCCTCTAGAGTATGACACGGGTGCGGATTTTCACTCCTGTCCCGTCATACTCCCTGAGAAAAAATCCCGTCCCCTCCCTATCCCGGACCAGAGTAAAAAAAAAAATCCTGTCCTGTCCCACCCCTAACCCGCTCCCACTAAAATTACTCCCACTCCTGTCCTGCTCCCGTTTGAAAAAAAAACAAAAATGTTGAAAAAACGTTGCATTTTTTATTTTAGAATTACCTAAAAAATTTTAGGTAAAAGTGACAGTCGAGTCGGAGTCGGAGCGACTGCCGGCGAGCCGCTCCGAGTCGCTTTTCACTTCCAGTGGTGGCAGGAAGTCAAACCACTGTTGTAGTTCTTTTGTGTTGCTAGCGCGGTCGAGAGTGTTGGCTCTCACTGAGAGATGACTACAAAAATGGACGCATCTGTTCATCTGGTTGTTTAACATGGCTGAAAATCATCATCTATTAATGTTGTTCCCGCTCCTGCTCACTCCCGTTGTTTTTTTTTCCCGTCCCGATCACGGGATTAATAAAAAAATGACTCCCATCCCAAAACCAACTTTTATTTACACACCCAATATACTGACCTGGGCAAAATGACGTCTGTTATTGTTGTAAAATTGGTATTGGTAAATTTTCGATTTATCGCCCAGCCCTACATCATCATTTGTTTGGTTTGGAGGTGAGCTTCCTTCACAGGCAATGTTTGATTTGTTACCTGTTGTCCAGTATCAAGAAGCGGATGATAGCAGCAGTTTCTTTGGGTTGTAGAGGGATCAGAGGGAGCAGTGCAACGATAACATGACTCAGTAAAGGGCCGAGGTGTGCCGGCTCCACACTCTTCACAAAGCATTCCCACGTCCTGTTAGAAAACAATATTAAAAAGATGATTCAAGGAAGAGTTTGAGCTGATAACACATGATCTAAAAGCTGCAATAACTGTATGATATGAACTTTCTTTGTACAGTTTAAGTGTGTGTGTGTGTGTGTGTGGACTGACTGGCAGCAGAGCAGAGGGAAGTCCTCTCTGTATCTGAGCCCCGTGCGGAGCGTCGTCATCATCTTCACTCTCACTGAGCTGATGTGTTTGGAGCCCATGAGTCTCATCAGAGCCATCACGCTGGTCAACACCTGCAAAGAAAAGTAAGCAGCTTTCATTTCACAAGATTAAAATAAATGTCTAAATATCAGTTGAGGTGTAGTCCTCGTCAGTGGATCACACACCAGCTTCTTGCGCTCTTTCTCTCCTGCGCTGGAGCTCAGCAGCTGCATGTTGAAGAAAGCGAGAATTCCCAGTAGCTTTGGCTGCAGGTAGTCGGCCTGTCATGGTGACAGAAAAAATAAAGAGGAATGTTGACAAAAGAGGAAAATTGTTAAACAATTTGCTCTTAGTTTGGATCAGGGTTTTTACAGTCATGTACACTCAACCAGAATCCAAAATAAAGATGCATTTTTGTAACAGCTGTCAAATCTTTTTTCAACAAATACATGATGATGATGATGGTCCTAAGCCTGTTTAATGACCCGCTCCGATGAAAATTATGTTTTTCTTTCTTTTAATATGTTCATTTGGCATTTTTCTGACGCTACAGGACACATCATGAGAAAACTTCTGAGTATTTCTGCTCTCAAATCGCTGTGAATCTCTGGCAGACCCAAACAGCAGGTTCAGAAACAGTGAGATTTCATATGTAACCAATCCAAGCTGAGATCCAAAATGAGTGTGCAGAGCAGCGCTGTCTCCGCCCACGACTCAGAGGCAAATCGCTAATGAGCTACTAGAGCTCTGCAGAAGAAAAGCCCTTGAAAACGACACAGGTAACGTGATTTTTGGTAAAAACTTCATAATCACCATTTAAAGACCACTGAGAATACTTTTAGTAGTAAAAAACAAAACGATCGGAGTGGGACTTTAAAAAGCTCTTGGGATTTATTTACTGTCCCATGACTGTTTTTCATTTTCAAGTACGCAAATTGAACCCAAAATAACGATTGTGAACCATCTTTTAATTAAAAACAGAAGATAACACTGTAACATGTACCATCCGCTCTGGGGTGGTGATGTCTCTCGGACCCTGGTACGGGTCGTCATTGGAAGCAAAGGAAGCCAGGATTGCCAGACCATTAAACACCTGCAGAGAAACGTCAAAGGTTAATGCTGAGAAACATGTACACAGGCAGAGAGTACAGAATATAAAGGCTTCAAATCTTAGGGATCATTTATGTTCATGTATGAGTGGACCTGCTGGTAGTGTTCTCCCAGGCGCAGCAGCAGCTCGTTGTGGAGACCCTGAAAGTCCTGTCTCAGCAGAGAGCCCAGTTCGATATCTGTCTCCCTCTTAATTAAAGAAACAAGGAAAATACGATAGAAGATAAACTTGTTTTCAATAATGTTTGTCAGACAAAGTCCTGCCACATAGCTGGTCTCAAACCCTGCCAAAGTTTTCCGTTTGATCAAAACTCTTCAATTTTTTCATGATTTTATTCAGTTTTGCCAAAAATTGATATAATCCAACGATAACATCTGTTTTTTATTATCCTTAGTATAATTTCTTTCCACATCTAGGGTTTCGCTTCGATTTCGCATTTCTCTGTTGCTGACAGCAGGTCTTGCCTAACTCCTTTAACTTTGTTTAAAAGCGCAGATAAACACAGTCGGATTAATACCTGAAGGTAGTGGAAAGCCCTCTCTAGCTCCTCCTTTGTACAGGAACAGACCAGATGACTGAAGATGTACTTGAAGTTGTTGATCAGAATCTCTCTCCTGTTTGCCTTCAGCTCATTGGCCAAAGTACGGATGAGGGCGGAACCAGTGGTGCTCGCTTTGGCGGCCAGGTAGGGCAGAAGCACCTGAAGGGTCTTCTAAAAAAACACCAAAAACACCAAACAGGAGTGTTTCAAAACCCACACAAATAAATGTTGAATCTGAATCTGTCCTTTTAGGCATTTCACATACGGTGAGGAAACGGTGGAGGTCTGGGAAATCGAAAGCGTTCGCAATCTGAGCCAGGATATCCAGAGCCAGCTCCCTCTGATTGGCTGATTCGCTGCCCTGATCTGGTGTGCTCCTCAAGGCTGATTCGTGACGTGAATGGAGGGACTCCACCAGGAACTAAACACGGGAAAGAAGAGCTGATTCAGACCAGAACTTTTCACCTAGAAAAACAAACTTTGAGCTGATATCATGTTGACAACCTTTTAGGACAACAACGGTTCTCTTTACTTGAAATTATTTGCATAAAATACAATTTTATAGAAGTTTTCCGGTTTTATAAAAAGGAATATAAAGATCTCAGACCTGGCAGATGGAGTTCTTGTACTGGCTGAAGAGGGTCTGAAGTTTGAGACCTTTGGCAGTAGCCAGAGCTCTGATCTGAGTGTACGCAGCCACTGACACCGAGGACGACTTGGAGAGCAGACAGTGGAGCAGCCGCAGCAGAGAGAACGACACCAGACTTCCCTGAGACGCTCTTAAAAGGAGAGGCAGATAAAACTAATAATCTCTTCATGTAAAAGCAGACGTTAGGAACATTTAGAGACAAGAAAAAAGGGTCTGGACAAGAATTCAAAAAGGGACCACGGTCTAGCGTGGTTCACAAAGATTTCACGTACCTCCCGATCTCTCCAGTTGTAAGGATGAGAGTGTTGCGCAGATCGTCATCACGGTTGTTTCTGGCGTTGTTGAATGCCCCTTGCAGGCTGGTAACCAGGAGCTTGGATGACATGAATCGAGATTATTATGCATGCTTTCCTCAGTTAACCCCTACAAGATGATGTCCTTGTAAAACGCGCAGATGTCTGAGTCTTACCTCATCTAAAGCGCCCTGCTCAGAGTTTCTAGCGGTCTCTGTCAGCAGGAAACGAACTGATTGGCTGAACTGTATTCGGATCGCGGAATCTGAATCCTCCATGAGACCAATCAGAGCGCAGAGAACCGCCCTGGAGTCGCTGTCTCCACTAGACAGATTGACATGCTGGCAGAGGTGAGGCAGAGCGTCGAGAAAAGCTGAGAGAATCAAACACGAGACGATTTACGTCATGGCGGCTCATGACGTGTGTTATTGAATCTCATTATGAAGAAAAACACCAGACTCATATCTCAAAGCACCTTGTTTGACACAACTTGGAGTTTGCCGTCCGAGCAGTGGCAGGAAAGGTCTCACAACGTTCGCCCTAAGGGATGGACAATTGTTCCCAGTGTGCTCTGCTGCAAGGGTGAGTTGGTGGCAGAGCATTTTAGGAGGATGAGTGGAGTCTGTGTGGGAGACGCCGAGCTGGGAGAGCTCAGACTGGATACAGCTCAGCTGACCGACGATCCTGGCAAGCTCCTTCTTCACCTGATCTGAACCGTCCTCCAGTCTGGAACTGTGGATGATCAAACATATAAAACGAGATCAAAATGGAATATATATAAAAAATACAATTAAGTACGCTAAGTGTTAAATATATGAGCTTACAGCGGGGTAGTGCCGATGAGATCGTGGTGTGTGTTGCCCAGGTGGTGAAGAAGAAGAGGGAAAGCTCTGACTGCTGCCGCTCTCACCACCTCATCTTGACTCTGAAGTGATTTGGAAAACACACACTCACGCCACTTCATGCACACGCCACGATGAAGGAGGGCCAGCAGAGACACAGAGTCTGCTCGGAGCTCAGGCGCTGGAAGGACACACAAGCACGTCAGTCAGATGATTTCATCTTACCTCTGAATCAGTCGGGTTAAGATGTAAAGCTCCACTAATATGAAAAATCCACTTTTAGGTGACAAAATTTCATTCTCTCCCTCTCAAATGGGCAGATGGAAAAGCAGGGCGGTTATGACGACATAGCCGCATAGGCCTCTCTTACATATTGGTGGCACCGCCCCCCAGAATCATTAGCCCAGCCCACTAAATCTTCTTCGCTGAGGTAGCATCCACCACTACAGTGACCATGTCGAAGCTACGACACAGCTCATTATCATTTAAAGGTACAGGCGCAGAATCGGCCCGTTCTCAGTGGAGCTTAATAAAAGGGGGGGTACAGGCTGGCTGATATCCACAAATAAACCAGTGTTTTAGACAACAAACTTCCAATTTACTAATGTGCGACCTCTGGGACCGATTTAAACTTGATGAAAAATGCCATAATAGGAGACCTTTAAAAACAAAGCAGCCACAGGTGAGCAGTACTCACAGTAACAGAAGGTGAGTCTGTCCGCTAAAGCAGGCAGCCAGGATGGGAAACCTGAACTTCGATAGGCTGAGACAAACTTGTTCTCACAGACCCAGGGAAGAGACAGCAGAGCACAAACTTGTCGATGGAGCTCATCTTCAATGCGACCGTTCACTGCACAAACACACACACACACAGAGTTTAAAACAGACAGTTATGGGATCATATAGTGTCCTCCAATGTAGTGTGGGTTTGTTTGCTTTTGTGAACGCACAAACAATCATGTCAACATCACAAACAATAAAGGACTGATAAGGATGAGAGCAAAGTGTGTGTTTTTGAGTCTACTCATCCGTACCTGTCAGGTAGAGGATAGAGTCCAGGACCCCAACAGTCGTCTTGTAGGCGGACTTAAAGTAGTCCTGGTTTGAGATAGGTTGAGCGCCTCCTTCTAACACAGACTGACAGTGTTTCAGCACCCTGCCAAGAGTCTCAGCAGGTACCCAGAGAAGAGGCGACACACTGCCAAAATGATAACCCGAGAGAGAGAGCGAATGCAATTGAGATTAGAAAAAGTCTTTTTTTATGGTTAGAGGATCGAGTGGGAGAATGTGTTCACGTCTGTGTTTACCTGGTGGGAGAGGAGCAGCAGGCTGCCAGGTGCAGGATCAGGCCCAGACCCTCCAGAGCGGAGAGAGTCTGTTCTGTTTGAGTTCCAACAGAGTCTGAGTTCAACAGGGTCTGCAGTTCCTCCAGCCGGCTGTTCACCACAGCCCAGACCTCACTGCTGACACGCATGTCCACCTCGCTTCAAGATACAGAGAGCATCATCATGTTAGGACTGAAAATCTGCAGAATGGATGTGAGACACTGTTTGACGAGCATACACTCACAACCCCCATTAGAAGTGGTGAACATTTGCATTGAGAGAACCAGTTTTAGGAGAAAAAAAAAGTTCACTGCAATCCACTGCAGCGGGGTGATCATAAATGTTCTTCCTTGAGCTGCGTCACCCCGCTTTAGTCTGTGATGGACTGTCCTGAGGTCTTGCTACAAACAAGCGGCTGCTTGATGAGAGTAGGTGAGTTGTGTTTAGTCTCTTTGTTAAACAAATTAGTCAAAGTTAAAAAAATGTTCGGTGGCTCATGCTGTGGCTGGGACCCTATATGTACTGTTGATGAAGTTAGGTGCTGTTCTGAGCATTATTTGTGGCTATAGAGTGGCGTTTTGGTTAAGGTTTGTGCGTGGCTCCTCAGACCGCTGTGTATTGCTATCGTGCGGTCGTTACTAAAGTTAGTATAATTAGAGAAGCAAGCAGTCGGCAATATTCATCTCTCGAGGGGATGTCTAACTCAGTGTTACAGTGTGTTTGACCCTAAATTAGTTTTACGCCGGAATATTCCTTTAACTACATTTAACAGGTGTGTTCTGCCCTGTTTAGCGCACAGCTGTGACTGCATTTTGAACTCACCCTGCTGATGTTTTTGTGTTTTTGGTGGCAGATTTGCAGGATTTCTTGGCAGGAGTCTCTCCATCTTCTGATTTCTGCATCACCAAACCAACCTCAGCCTTTAGTGCAGCTTGTAGGAACCCCTCTGCACACTGGGAAACACAAACACAATGGATGACATACAGGTGACAAGGAACAAAAAACACGATTTTAAAAAATACGGAGCAAAAGCTTACCTCGGCTTGGTTTTCAGTTCCAACACTTCCTGCCAGCGCCCTGCAGACCTCTGTGACCCTCTGCCTTCTTAAGGGTGCAGCGCTTTCATAAACTACTGCAACAGACAGCAAGAAGCTAAACAGCAAACAGAGAGACTCCGTAACCTCCGTCCCAAACTTGACACCAGACCCTCCAAGAGTACAAACACACTCAAACATCTGTGAGAGGTGGATGGGCTCAAAACGGGAGTGAGAGGACTGGAACACACAGCGAGTCAGGAGTAGCAGCTCTCCTTCATAGGGAGCGTTTTCATCCGAGTTTGTGTTTGCTGTGTATGTGGGGGAGTGTGTTTCCAACAAATGGAGGTAGGCCGCGAAGAACTCGTAACCCTGGATCTCAGGAAACCCTCCCAGCTCTACCAGCCGCCTCAGCATCACCATGGAGAGCCTCTTCAGTCTGGTGTTACCGTTTGCAAGGAAAGAACAGGCGGTCTCCCAGGCGGTGCCGAGATCACGACGGGAAATGACTCCTCTCAGGGAGTCGGTTAAGACGCCGATTGTCACTGCACTTAAGGTCTCAAGGGCAGCAGGCGAGGAGACACTGAGAGGAGAGGGGGTGAGGTATGAGGAGGCACGATCAGGTGAGATACTGAAGCATTCGAGTGTTGCAGGCCATCGGTTTCGAGTGTGTCCTGATCCGGACAGAGATGTTATATGAAAGTTCAAGATGACGCTGAGGTCCTGTGCTAAAAAAATGAACTCCTGAGTGAGGCGAGTGGAGATGAACGGCGCCCTGACTCTCAGGGTATGAAGCAAAGAGCACAACGTGGCGGAGACGCGGCCATGGATGACGTCACAGTCAGGAGCTGCCGCCACACGAAGCAAACGCACCGCCACCCACATACTGAAGTCTGAAACAAGTGGGAGACGAGGGGACAGGAAGGGAAAGAAAAGCATAAAGACATTACGAACAAAGAAATCTTTTTTTTCATTGTTTCAATTTAAGGGAGAAAAAGGAGCTTTTTAAGAGCATCATACCGGTACAGCTCTGAGTGGTATCTGGATACTCTGCAGGCCGGCAGGAGGGATTGGCAAACATCAGGGAGGAGGATTTGATGATATGCTGCACAAAATCAAGCAGCATCACACAAGCCGGCTCTGAACTCGACTTCTTGTGATGCCTTAAAGCAACTGGAGAAACACAGATAGAAGATGAGAAAAACAATTGCACGGCACAACACCTGCGGCGCCTGCGCATTTCTACCCTTTAAGCCGGGAGCGCGGATACGTCATTTTGTAACATTCTGTAGTTGTTCAATCATTCCTGGAGTCATGGCGAATCAAATCATCATACCCGTCTGCCCCTGATTGGCTAATACAGCTTAATAAAGCGAACGGATTCATGCTCGGATCTTGCTACGTGCTTTGTGAGGAAAGTAAATGATGACGAGGCAGAGAGCAGCTTCGGAGGAGATATTAAGTGCTTTGGCTCACACTACCAGCGATTTCTCATGACTTTGGGTGAGCACAGAGATGAACACACTGTCAGACACTACTTTATTTTTTTTTAGTTTTTAGAGCTGCTTTTGTACTGGCTGTACTATGTTTTTTTCCTAAGTCTGAGTCCTTGACTTACCCACATCCACATCAGTCAGAATCCTGTCAATGAACTGACAGAGGATCTGTCGAGGTTTCTGCACCGCCTGCTCGTACTCTGCAGCACCGGCACTGTGAACATCAACACAGCCCAAAACCATTAATGCAAACACACAACAGCCTGTGGGTTGTCATTTACTAGACTAGTTTGCTTGTTGAAAAAAAAAACACTTTAAAATCCAAAGTATCAGAGTCCTGATAGTTAGCCTAGCCGACTTCAGGCTGTTACTCACCTAGCTAGCTCCTGAAGAGCCGGTATCATCGCAGACATCTCCAGTCCCTCCATTTTACTGCCACTTCGCGAGTCCCTATCAATACAACGTCGTCAAATCATAACTTAAATAATATTTCAACTTATTTCAACCACAAACCCCCTCCATCTCTCATCCATCCTGTTGACGCTTTCGAAAACTTTCGCTCCAAAATGACGTCGTCGTTGTTTTGGTACGGCAACAACACAGGGTCAAAAAGCCTATGGAGAAAAGCGAAAGTCAAATAGCGCCCTCTGGCTGGAGTCCTTGTGTATCACTTACCCGTCAGTAAAATAAAAGAAAACTGGTTCAGGAACTATTCCGTGTCGAATAACTATACTGCTAGTGTAACCTTCCTCCTGTGTTAGCTTTTACTACACAGCCACTATGTTAAGGGTCGGTCTTGACCTGTGTCTTAAATCAGCTGTAAATTACACTAAAAACAATTCTCTTTCATCCAATTTGGTTCTCATCTCTAGGTTACCTTGTTAGGCTTCATTATCCATGAGAATGTTGATTATAAAAGTTTTTGTAGTGGTCCTCTGGGCCTTTCTTTGTCAGTATACCCCTCATACAGACATCTATACTGAACTGATCTCACATGTCTGGACATGCCTGACGATTTTTGAGCAGGGAAAAACATGGCAAAATGAGAATTTCTAAAATCTCACATGATTGGAAGTGGATCTGACTGTCAGTGTGGTGCCTGTCAATGCACATATGATTTTAGTTTTTGCTGTAATTATTAGATGTTAATCTAACCAGGTCAACAGCCACCCTAACATGACAAGTGCCATAATTTTAATACGAGCATTTTATAATTCAGTCAATTAATTTTTTTTATTTTTATTTTGTTGATACAGAGTTTCCTGTTAAAGTCAAAAAGTATTGATGCAAAAAAGCTCATTAAGTGGTTCTTTGAAGCATTTAAAATCAAAAACAGGTCGGTGCAGACCCTAACACAAGAGGAGGGGTAAAGTCAGTTAATAAACAGTATAAAAATGCTTTCAGCTTTATAACCAAGATTTTTGTAAACACTTCCCCCTCTTTATGCTTGTACATAGCTAATTTCCTAAACACTCTGCCCATTTCTATTATTCTGCACTTTTTATGAACTGTCACAATTTCTTACTTATTCTTATTGACTCCTAATACTTTTCTCCTAGTATTAATATTTGTATTTTCAAACGCTAGTGTAATTCTGCAGAGTAGATTTTTCATGTTTACTGACCTCATAATTGACACATAAATCTAGAAATAACATACAACACTCAGGAACCATGCAGTGCTTTTAAAAGATCCTTTTTTAATAATTAAATATCATATGCAACATTCAATGCAAAACATTTATATTCATAAGCTTTTTACTTTCTGATTCATCTCTCTCTTCTGCTGTTTTCTTTTCCGGTCATATAGCAGAACATTTCAACAAACGTAATGTCCTATTACACAAAATAAAGCAAGAGAACAATGAGGAGCTTTTTCTGTAAAATCACTCATGACAAACAAATGCAGGGGCACTCGTCAGTGAGAAAAAATCCATTTCAGCTTTCAGCAGGTTTATTGTTTTCATGTAAGAATAAAGAAAATAAAGGATTTTTTTGCTCTCTGTGGTGATAGCAGAAATGAAGAGAAAATATAATGCTGAGAAACAGACGGGGGGAGAGTGCTGGGAGAAAAACGTGTTTATTTGTTGATGGTTCCAGGTGGTTTGTTCATGTTTGTTTTTTTAGCGGTTGGCCTTTTTCAGACCGTGGCCCATGAGGCAGGCAAACAGCGTCAGCACCATCTTGGGATTCACTTCTACCAGATCGTCTGGCAGGGCGTAGACACGAGCTCCGATTTTACGAGCCACTGAGAGTGCATACCTGAGAGAGGAGGACAGGAAGCAGAGGGAGTTAGGGAACGATCATCTAAAGAGAAATTCAGAAATTCTCAAGAAAGAATATATTGATATTTCATCTTTTACTTGGCATTTTCGAGTTTTTCACCCGGCGTCAGAATCCCCCTCTCTCCTCTGTTTACCATCTCCCACTTGACAGTCCCGGGAGCAATGACATCGATCAGATCGATCACAGGCAGACTGGTGCTGATCCGCAGGTCCTGCAGTCAACCAAAGAAAACAGGGTCAAACGCAAACACAGCCTTGTGTATATACACACTAACAAACCATGCACTTTTACACACCTTGAAGCTGCTGATTTGTGTGTCCTTGTCCTTGTGTGTGCGTTTCTGGCCTAAAGTAGTGTTGACCCAGTTGAGGATGATCTCATCTCGAACTTTCTCTCCATCACCCAGATCTGACAAAACACGCACTGTGTATCTGGAGGATGACAAACCAGTATTTCAAGCAACTCTTTATCTAATCCAGTCACATAAATTTAAAGAGGACAGCTTGTCTTTATCAAACAATATAAACAACAAGGCATGCCACATACCTTCTCATCAGCTGCCAGACCAGAGCCAGGGTGTGCAGCGGATTCCCCTCATTCAGGTTTTGTCCTCCGATACCAACCAAAGAGAAGTGAGCCACTTCCCTGCCCAGATTCACAGCGTAGTTACAGTTTTCCAACTAGAAATCAGAAGAAAAACATTGTTTGGTCTGTTTTATTTACACACAGACTTGTTTTTTTTCTCTGCTCTCCAGCTGTAAGGACATTCACACACCCTCTTCATATTGGCTCCCAGGTACGGATAAGGTGGCATGTTGACTTTCTTCCAGTTTACAGGCACGTTAATCTTCTCGTAAAGCTGCAGGATGATCAAACCATCCATCAGGTCACTGTAGAAGAGTAAATATAGAGAAATGAAGGCGATGCTTCAGGAGTTTCAGGAGGGGTAAAAATCCCAATTTTTAAGCTATGTCACTGAAAAATTGGTTCTAAATTCGCATTAACAATTATCTAAAAATGTGTTTTAGATTGACATTTTCAAGACTTAACACACACATTATTGGTTGAGTTCTGTTTATTCTAAAAACTTTCATTAAGACCTTTTTATAAAAAGCAACACACATCTAGCAGTAAGTATAGCACAAGCAAGTATCCAGAGAGGAAGGATCAGTATCAGTAAGCTTGACTAATGACTTGAAGTCAAAAATTGACACAGGTGCTGACGTGCAGTGCTAGAGGCGTTGCAGAAGCTTATTTAGAAAAATATTTATGAACGCCATTATCACCCACAGCAACAGCAACAACAGAGATAATCTTCAAGGCTCCTAATTAACCTTAATATCATGGTGGTAATCAAGCATCAGAATCATTTAGTGTGGAGCGGTTCATACAAAAGAGCAGGGTCTGCAACTTTATAAAAATGCAAAAGGGAGGAAACTTTGAAGCAAACTTGCTTATAAAGATCAAAATCCCAAAATATGGAAAAATATATGCATAATTGACAAAACACATAATTTGAATTAAGTTGTATGATTTAATGTTTTAACCTGATTTTAAACTATGGATTAAAGCTCCTGTGTGTGACTTTTCAGTGACAATTTTAACTCTCCCCTTCTCTATTAGCTGACCTTAAAGGGATATTCTGATGTAAAATTAATTTAAGGTCAAACACACCATAACTCCAAGTTAGACACCACCTCATGAGATGAATGTTGCCAATTGCTTGCTTCTCTAGTTTTACCAACTCTAGTAACAACCGCACGATAGCAATACGCAGCGGTCTGAGGAGCCATCAACAACATGTTCTTCCTTGAGCTGCATCACCCCGCTGCAGTCAGTCGATGGACTGATCTGAAGTCTCGCTACAAACAAGCGGAGAGTAGGTGAGTTGTGTTTGGTCTCTTTGCTAAAGAAATCAGGCAAAGTTAAAAAGATGTTTGGTGGCTAGTTCTGTAGCTGGGACCCTATATGTACTGTCGATGAAGTTAGGTGCTGTTCTTAGCATTATTTGTGTCTATAGAGTAGCGTTATGGTTGAGGTTTGTTTATGGCTCCTCAGACCGCTGTGTATTGCTATTGTGCGGTCGTTACTAAAGTTGGTATAACTAGAGAAGCAAGGGGTCGGCAACATTCATCTCTCGAGTGGGTGTCTAACTCAGTGTTACGGTGTGTTTGACCCTTAAACCTGTAAATGTCTATCCAGTGTTTCCCCGCTCTGCTTACCTTATTTAGTCAAATGAATCAATCAATGAAAATCTTTAACCAGGACAATGTATAATAAAACCTGTTACAGTCGACTGGAGTCAATCATTAAGACTTGCATCTACCCCCCCTCAGTGGTCACAGGTATCAATTATTACAACACACAGTAAACATAGTCTGTCTTGTTGCTGTTTGTGGGTCATAAAGGGGCGTCTCTTCAAATTTCAGTCTGTTTCATAACCAGCATTAAAAACCACGTTTACATGATTTTTGGACGACAAACGTCCTGCCCATCCTGGTGAATGTTAAGTAAACATCCCCTCCCTTGATAAAGATAATCCACCCTGATGCCAAACTGGTGACTTACCTGTACAGGTAGTTGACATACGGAGAAACGCCCAGAGAGTTCATCCAGTTCCTGAAGGTTTTCTCTTCTTTGGTTTCAGCTGGAATGAAATGATGAATATGAAATGATTAACACCGTCACGTTTTCTGGCAGCTGCTCCCACATGGTTAGAATCACCTGATAAGAATGTTTCATGTTGAACAGTAAACACAGATTTATTGCTGCCATAACTCCTCACACCCTGCAGATTTTATTTCTTGGACTCTTTATTGGGCTAGCACTCATCCAGCCACATTATAGTGCACATTCAGTGTGTCTGCATGGTGTCTTACCCTCAAGATGTTCATTCTCCAGGCCGTTGCTGATGTGGGTCCTCTGCAGACCTGGATGCCTGTTGTACAGGTTGGCCACAAAAGCCATGTTGAGTTTGCTGTTTCCAGACGTGACGTCGTGAGGCGAAACGAACTGCCTGCAGTCCAGGCGAGCCGCTTGTTGCAGCATCAGCTCAGCCCGTCTGTCCAGATCGTACACCTTCAGACACACAGAAATAAAGCACAAATGCACGAGAAGAGAAATCGACAAAGTCTGGGAATGGAAAGTTACATTTCTATGTTTATATGCGGACAAACTGACTCACATTGAGGCCGCTCATGTCGATTTTGACGCTCTTTTTGAAGTCCTTCTGTTCATTCTGAGCGATCTGGTCCAGCAGGTAGAAGTAGGCTTGTGAGTCCTGCCATGACACAGTACAAGAGGCGGTTACACATCTGTATCTGTGATAAAAGACTGTGTTTGTGCGTTCAGTTTGATCTGAAGAGGACCTTAATGTCGTCACTGAAGTTGTTGATGGTTTTTGTCCCTGCGTTTCTCAGGTGGTAGTTGACCCAGCGGAGGAGCAGCTCCTCAGGGGAGAGAGACATCAGGCGGTCCAGATGTTCGCCATCTGCCAGGAGGCCTATCAGACCTGGAGAAACATATCTTTAATTAAACAGGCTCATTTACAGGCCTTTGATCGCTCCATGTGGAGGTTCTGCAAAGATTTCTTCCTGAGGTTTCTGATTCTGCTCGGCTAAGCTTCAAACTTCTCCAAATGTAGAACAAAACCATGCGGTCGACCGCGCTAATCTTTTAAGTCACTGTAGTTGTGCGTGTTTGTGCTGACCTTCGTTCCTGCTGATTTCAATGTCAGCAAAAAGGCCAACTTTGATAATCTGCCAGCACAGTCCAAGGACCAGATGGGGTTTCCCGGCCATCAGATCATGGGCGTCAATGTTCACCACCATGCAGCCAATTGCTGAAGCTGAGTTCAGAGCAAGGATGAGATTCTCCTACAAGTGCAAATAAAGTTGTAAATCAACACTTTGGTTATAGCTCAGAAGTATAGATTTTTATAGCCAAACAGCATAAATCACCCATTGTGTTGTTTTAACAGCTTGGAGAAGTAACAGTCCTAAATCTGCCAAATAATAACTCACTCAGACACCAAATGTGGCTCTGGGGTTCACAGTCTTTAAAATACGGATGTTTGAATGGATTAAAATGACTCTAGTTAAAAAAAAAAATCACAAGACTTTGACTTCTCTACTTTCTTTTTCTGCAGCAATTAGAGAATCACATAAAAAAGCACATACAGGAAGTGTGCAGTGTAAAGTTAATGTATTACAAGCTCTTTTATACAGTCCAGCATGATTTTACAGCCAGTCTTTGGTTTTATAAGACCAGAATCAAAGTGTTAATGTTTTATTGGACATTTCATACATTGCCAGATTAACCGTTTTGTTCGTCATTGTCTTTTTTTGCTTTCATTGGATGGGACACTGTAAGACAGTCAGCGAGTGCAGGAAACAGAGAGTCAGAGAAGACACGTAATAAAGGGTCATGACCTGGAGTTGAACAGCAACTACTTTCATGACAGCTCTAACCCCTAACACAGCTCTAAGTGGGGCACACTTGAACCGCAAGGCCAGAGCTGGCCCAAGACATAAGCAAACTAAGTGCCCTCAAGAGCAATAAATAAATATGTATAATAATATTTTTATTTTTTGCATGTATGAGTGATGCTTCCTGTATGATCAAATATATATATTATTGTAAAAATAAAATAAAGTAAAAACATCTTAGTGCTGCTGCTAATGTAGGCCTATGATTGTTACAACTGATATGTCAAAGCTCTGCTACCATTATGTGCTTTCTGCTGTGCAATGTGCAGTGAGCATCACAAGCACAGGTAGTTGTGGAGCAAAACAATGTCGCAAAAAAAGACATAGTTTTGAGGATAAAGGTATATAAGATAAAGGTATGTTTGCATGTCACGGAATGTTAATCAAAGAGTTTTGTGAAGGTGTGTGAATGATCAACAATCAATATTACTGGCAGAAGTAGAGGCCCCCAAAATCAAATTTTGCTCAGGGCCCCATCAAGGCTTGGGCCGGCCAAGTCCTGACCTCCAAAGTCCTCCGGGTCATTTATGGCTTCAGGGTAAACTTGGCGCACTACAGTTTCAGTAACTCAAAAGCTAAAGCTTGGCTACTCGGTCCATCCATTGCAGATGTGATTTCTGCTAAACCCCATTTGTGTCACTTTGTGTAAACACTTCAGTTGCTTTAACAAATACCCAAGTTGTTCATTCTTTTCTGATGACACATGATAATCCACAGAGCGCATCCCAGGCTGACCTTAAACCCCCGGTTAAATATTCACGATTTAAATCAATGCAGCTTAACTTGTGAGCAAATCAGAGGAAGTAAAATCTCTCCTGATATCCCTCACAGCTTTGGAAAAAGTGGTAAGATAATCTTTAAAACCATCATAAAACCAGGAAGGGAGGAACCAAGCCAAGAAGAGATATACTCACTGTCATTTTGAAGGTGGTGAGTTTCTTTGTGTTGATGACTCTTTCGTCGATGGTGTCGGGCTGAGACAGGTTGATCATTTTGCTGAAAGAGAACAGAGATTGTGAGCTGATATCTTACACTTTTCCTGTTGTTATTTCAGATCTGTATCACATATTTGTCTGTCATGGGATAAAACGCTCAATGAGATTAAAACTCAGGAGAAGCAGGAGGAGGGGGTAATCTTTATAAAACTAGAACAAATGAGATCATCCCATTCCCGCTTTAGCCTCAGTTTTAGCAGAAATAACACAAAGATAATCCCCACTATCACTGTCATACAATGTTTTAGTGAACGTCAACATTGTGCTGTGTTACCCTTTCGAAGAAGGAGTTGATTTAAGGGTCCATATCTCATTTTTATATTTTTTTTTATTGGCAAAAAATCAAAAATCATCTTAAAGACAGACAGTAAAACTTGATAATACTGACTACATGGATGTGATTAACTACACACTTTTCTGATGTTACTATTATTATTATTATCTACAGTTTTTATTGGGAAATTCTGTGTTTGTGTATGTTTGTTACCATAACAGGATGCCATCACGGACGGAGGCAAAGAGACTTCCATCCTCTGGGTTCATTGGCAGCAGATGTTGACAGTCCGCATCTTTCGCCAAAGCTTTGTTGATCCAGTTAACAAACGCCACCTTCTCCTCATCTAACACACACACACACAATGAATGTATTACCGTGTTTTCCAGAGTATAAGTCGCACCAGCCAAAAAATGCATAACGAAATAGAAAAAACATATACTGTTATCAGTTGCATTTTTTGGGGGGGGGTTTATTTTACAAAATCCAAGTCAAAAAGAATATGCTCCTACTTTACAGCCAATTTCCAACCCAAGTAACTATTTTCCTAATGAGTTTATAGTCTTGCGTCTTACAAATTCTCTAATACAGTGTTCATTTCCTAAATTATGGCCCAAGTAACAATCAAAAAGACAATAAAGCTGGGTATCTAAGAGGACATGGCTGCCCTATGATTGATAGGTTATCAAGTCAAAATATTTAGCTTCCAACTGAAATAAAAGACACTGTAAGGAGGGTTCTGTTTGTGTTTTAGGTTACACGTTTTGTTGAAAGACGACTTTTTTGATAGTATTTGCTAACCTAGCTTCACCCTCTCCAGGCTGAAGTCCAAATGGAGACTTTATGATGGCATTGTCTATTTTCTATATCCAGTCCAAAACACTCCCTTACCTGAGTAGGAGTGTTGTGTTCCCTCACTGGAGATTCGTGACATTCCTCCAATGGAACGGATCCCATCCCTCCTTGTGATGGATCTCCTGAACGTCTCGCTGAACTCTTTGCTCTTCAGCTCTTGGTAGATCTGCACATGGACAGGCTGTGTTACTCCACTGCACATTGAGGCCAAACCTCAGCTTAAAATTTACTCGAGAACTCACAGAGACAAACTCCTCGAAGCTGATCTTCTCATCCTTGTTGGTGTCTCCAGCGATGAAGGTCTCAACGATCTCTCTCACCTTGTACCCCGGCAGGGAGAAACTGGCCTCTCTGAACAGCTCCTGGAGCTCAAAGTCACTCACAAAGCCGCTGTTATCAATATCTGAACACAAATAGACATACGGTGAAATGAACACACAGATTTGGAAAGTCAATTTGCTGCACAAATATAATCTGAAACTAATGAGCCGAGTAATTATTGGTAAACATTGCACACAGGTGATAAAAGCAACTAAATTCCCTTCACTTTCCAGGAAGTGAATGCATCATTCAGCTCAGATTTAAGTGCTGTAATCCACTCAAATTAAACCAAACTTTTTTGAGGGGTGCTGTTGGGGCGTCCTTTTGCCTTTAATTTGACAATTTAAGAGAAACAGGAAGGGTGAGAGTCAGAGGTGGGGGAAAGTCCCTATGTTGCAAGTCCAAGTCGAGTCTCAAGTCTTTGCTCTCAAGTCTCGAGTCAAGTCCAAATCAACACAGACAAGTCTCAAGTCAAGTCCAAGTCCTGAACTTGTTGTTTCGAGTCCCAACCAAGTCTGTACCATTTCTTTCAAGTCAAAAACACGTCATATCAAAGCCATAAACCATTTGTTATATGTAAAGATTTACATCAATCATGAGCATTTTTCACTATTTGCATTTATTATTAAACAAGGGTTCTTGTTTGTGTTAAGTTACATAATGCAGCTATGTCGACTGAAGTTGGAAGTAGTTTTCATTCCGTCGCTGATTTTGGCACTGCATGTCTTGCGTTGGGCTTTTCTTTTCTCTTTGATGTCATCCACCTCGTAATATTTAAAACCAAAAGCAATAACTTTTAAAACACTTTTTAAACAGTTTGGGCTTGCTATAAGGTATTAAGTGACTTGAAAAGACTTGTCTTGACTTTTCAAGTCACTGGGCTCAAGTCAAGTCAAGTCTCAAGTCTTTAGCAATCAAGTCCCAAGCGAGTCCAAGTCATTTCTTGATTTCATCAAGCAAGTCTTAAGTCATCAAAAATGGGACTCAAGTCCAAGTCGAGTCTTGAGTCGAGTCGTCAAGCCCCCACCTCTGGTGAGAGTAGACAGTGGGACTGACATGCAGAGAATCAGGGCTGCAAGAGGTGATCCCTTCACCGTGTTAACTGAGGTGGACCAGCACCCCATTAAAGCAATATCTTCTTCTGACCTCCTTCTATTATCTTACTGCTGTAGTTTAAGGTTGAATGTTAACATGCAAATTAGTATTGACTGAGACGTCTTTGACCCTGGTGTAGCTTGGATGTACTTGTAAATAAGTGGCATTAGTGGCATGAAAACAGTCCCTCACTTCACTTGTTTATCTCCTCTCCTTGTATCTTGACATGCCTGTTTACTATCAGCCTTTTGTAATTATACCCTTTAGATGATTTACTGATAAAAAACTGGCAACGTATCATCATTACATTTGGAAAACGCCTCTGACACAAAGTGCATCCACTCAACACCCGGTGTCATAAAAAATCTCTTACATAACAGTCATACTTAGTGGACAGCAGTTAAACTCTTACTCAAGTCAGATTGTCTGTCAATACAGCTGAAGAGTCATGTTAGGTGTGCAAACGCGTGTGTGAAACTGACCTATCTTATTAAAGGCGTCTCTGAGATCCTCCAGGTCGTCTCGGGAAATGTGCGTGATGTGATTCTCCATGATAGCTGCTCGTTAGTGTACCTGAAACATGCAAGCAAACACAGAGATGCAAGATGGCTCCTCAAGTCTGAGCAATATAATAATATAACAATAAAGCTTAGCTAGCATAAAGTTCAGTCCAGTTTGAAGGTACTTGTACTTGTACTTGAGTATTTCTACTCTGTGCAGTTACACCTCAAGCTGCTGCAGCACCAGCATCGATAATCTTATCACTTCAAATGCAATACTTTATCAGTCACAGGATACACTTTAAAACACAATGGATACTCTCACCAAGGCTTTATAAGAAAATTCAGAGTAATATTTTTGTCAAATGATGGATTTTGTAAGCAGGGTATTTGTATTCTATTTAATTTGTGCTTCTCTGCAAGGCATTTCAGTTGGTTGTATAGCTGTAAAAACACACTCTTGGTTAGTTTTGAGACATGAAACCATTCAAATTCTGTCCTATAATTAATTTCAGTCGCTATGTCAACATGGCACTTTCATCCTATCATTTAAAAGCATTAAGACTCTTATAGGCACCTTCAAGACCCCAAAGATCTCAGCACCTTACAGTTAAGTATCTTCTGCATTTCTGCTCAGGAAAACAACAACAACAAAAAATAAGTAAACTGAAAAGTACCTTCATAAGATCCTGTTTGGGTTCTGTGAGCCCTGTCTTAAAGGGTAAAACCCTCTCGCTTGGACTGGCTGCTGGAGTTGAGACTTCCACACGTCTGCGAGGCTTCAGACCAGGACCGTGCGGAAGCTGGATCCCAGCAAGCAGTGAGATCAGGTTATCTTTCTTAGGAGGAGTCACTCAGGAGAGGCAGGGAGTGGACCTTTGGCCTGCCTGGACCCTGGGACAGGCGTCATCTGACAGTTAACATTTAACACCTCAGCTGTGTCATCATGTTATTGTCTGCCGAGGTTCATCTGTTCATGTCTGCACAAATGATTTGCAGTCGAATCTCACAGCAGACTTGAGGTGGACAAATACATGAAAACTTGAGAGGTGACAGAGTGTGGGAACAATCGGTGAGCGATAGATAAAAATGCCAAATAGAAGACTCGAAAAACAATTAGTGCTTCTATGTTCCTGTTAAAGGGCCATTTTGTCCTAAGCTGAACCTCAAGCAGACAGACATATCTTTAAAACTGTTGATACAACCTTTTATGAGCGGTGACCTTGTCTTGTTTAGGATTAACCGTTGTTCTAATCCTATCTTATCTATCTACAGTTTTAATTTTTACCTACATATCTGCTATCTGGTAAGAGGACTGACAACACTTTCACCTGTGTGCACTAAAGGTGACGTTCTGACTATCAAACAGTGAGTTTAGCTTGACGCTGATTTGTTTAGCAGGCCTACACTGCTGTCACTTTCAAGCAAATAGCTCATTACACTTAGAGTAAGCCTCGCTGACCTGAAAAGTCCAGTCACAAATCTGATTTCAAGATATCTCAAGCTGAAGTATTGAGACAAACTAGCGTCTTGTTTCAAGAAACCCATCTAAAAGTTTAACTTCATTTACACCTTCATTTCTGCCTTGTTGTATCTCAAAATGTCACGTCATTGTGGCTTAATGTTAAGTGTAATGGGATATTGCAACTTGAAATAAATAGGATTAGTAGGATCTGAGGTGAGATGCTGTAAATGGTTCGGTGGGACCGCTAAAAACCTCATCTCCTTTACCTGCAATAAAAAGGTCTTATAAGTTTGTCTCTATTTGTTGAGTTACTTTGCGACTCTGAGAAAACAAGTTGTGAAAACCCAACCTGCAGTCGAGATATCTAAAAGCAACTGAAATAAACTTGTTATCGCCAAAACACAATAATTTAAATTTATGAATGCATGTCTGCTTTGGGCTTTTGGCAACAAAAATACTGCAATACTGTGTCTGCAAAGCCAGGGCCTGCTTTTCTAGGGCTGCAATTAAAGGACCCTCGTTTGTGATTTAGTGTTTGTCAAGGTCTGCATTTTTAAGGTCTTGCTGAAATATGAAGTTCCTCTTCATCTTCAGCTTTCTAGCAGAAGGCTTCGTCCAACGGTGGTAGCAAAACAGAAAAAAGTCTCTCACAGCAGCTCTAAGTTAAAAAAATAAAAATGATTAAATGATGTTATAGAGAAAAAAGAAGATGAGCCCAACTCCCAAAGATAAAGAAAGATACCAGCTGTTTAGACTTGAGGAAAGCAGCCAATAGTCTGTCTTGAATCTAACTGGTTTTGTATTCTCAGCTTTCTTTCACAGGAATGTAAAGACGCCTTTGAATTAAGAAAGAGCAAGCTTTTGGATTACCATAATGTTCTGGAAATTAAAGACACCTAAACAAGGAAGCCCTTCATAGCAGCAGCTACTTTACTGTGGAGGTCAGCACAGATGGGTCACAGGGAGCAGGTTCTGACTTCTAATCCCAGGAAAGTCTTGGAGTCTTACCGTGAGGGAACAAAGCAAGAAAAGAAGGGCTAATATTATTCCATGTAAAAGTAGAAGAGCAAAATTAAAGAGTCAACACAGCCCTTTAAGGCTGGAGAAAAGGTAAATTATTTGTGTCACAAAAAGCAACAAATACGCTCCATGTGGGTGAAAAAGTCAAAGTAGGCCCATGGCATAAGCTAAATATTATGTCTAATAATCACATTTTAAACATCCCCATTAGTCAAAATGTTTAGCTTTTTTATTCTTTTTTTTTTTTTAGCAGCTTTAGACAGAAGTGTGTGCTGCATAAAGTTAATCTATAGGTTGATAACAGCTATTATTTTAATCTGCTGTTGTGTGTTTGGGGATGCTATGCCATCATTTATTGTCCTGATCTGTTTTGAGACATGAAACATTCAGTTCAAATCATTCAGTGCTTTAAATAGTTCTTTTTATAGTCAAACTAGAAAATAGCACTTTGCAATCTCCCACAATCTCCTGTTTTTCTTAAATTAGTTTCTGCAGAAATAGGTAAATACTAATAATTATCAGTAAAAATAAAATAAAGGTGGATTTAAATGTAATAAATAAACAAAAAGAAAGTCACATACAGTGTCTTTTCCTCTCCCTGTATTGTGAGAACATAATTGCACAGTGCTGACGGATTGTTTCTGGTGTCTTTCGTCCAGGTTTTTGTACGCTGTCATTTTGCATTTCTGTCAAACATGTTTAAATGATGAGGCTTGTGTTTGCCTGCGTGGTGTGCCTCACTGCTACACAATACCCTGTAACCTGAGGCACACGGCCAACTGCATCACTTAAAGTAAACGGCCTCAAGTTCACAGCAAAACTCACGCTTACTGCAGTATTTATACATAAACCTTTACCGTATAGTTTTGGGTTTTCTTCTCAAATCTTAAGAGGATTTTCGTTCTGACTAAATCATGATATTTGATCAGCATATTTAGACTAAGAACCCTCAAGGCAACACTTTTCTGTAGCTACAGAATATCAAAATTGAAAAACTTTATATTTAGCAGCAAAGTAAGACTGTGTTTTATGTACACAAATGGTTATGTAAGGAAACAACAATAGTAAGGAGCTTACATTCAGTCCCAGGCAGGCTGAAGGGCTCAGAGTCCAAAGCAGGGCCAGTCCAAAGTAGAAAATCAGCTTGTAGCAGAGTAGTTTTGGGCCTCTTTCTTCGTTATTTACGTTTCCTAACCCCTCCTTTTCACTTCACTCCTTTTAAATTAACCCTTTCCCTCTCTCTTTTTTTTATCCCTTTCTTTTTTAGCCTTGTCTTCTTTCTTTCTTTTACCTTCTTGATGATCCTTTCGCTTCCAGCGCTGCCAAAATCAGCCAAATTGAAGACACAAGACTGCGCCAAATGTGTCTCTCTTCACCTCAAACACACTTAGGATATATTCTTTTTTACAGCACTTTACAATAAAAACACAGAATCTAAATTTAGCTTGTGGATCAGCACAACTCCAGCCTCCATCTTCATCTCTTTTCATCAGGTTTTTCCTCCTGAGACACCTGATATGCTCAGTTTCACTGAGACTGTGAGCTGCTCTCAGGTTACCCTCTCCCCTGGGCTCTCCACCTCCAAAACGTTCATGTACACAAGCTGCAGGTTTTTGGTGATGGACGCAGAGCCGGGATCAGCTCTGGGTGTAAAATTGTAACAGCTGGCCAAAGATTTTCTCGAAAGCCTCCTTTGTAACTCACTGGAAGATTAGAGCACATGCGCAGGAAGAAAACAGTATTTTCACAAATGCACACTTCATATACAGAAAATCAAAAGAAGTGGACGTTTAAACTGCATTCATGTTTTTATCTCTTATGTTTATCCAGTCCTGTTTTATGAAGCAATAGCAGGTTGAGGTCTGGTATGTCTCTAAATGCTCCTCTAAGCTGTAATGTGGACTTGTGACCACTCAGAGGCAGTGCTGTGTCACCATTAGGACTGCAGAATTTCTGCAGGAAGTTGAAACCAGTGCACTGAAGGCCATCGCCAGGTAAGGTTTTGCCACGTAATTCTTCGATTGCATCAAACAGGACATGATATGTTCATGTAGCTTTCACTTTGAGTCTTTTGAACCACATCCATATTGTATACTCGTCTCATTCTGTCAAGCTGATCTCTGTTTGTTGCTTTTGTCTTCTTGTTAAATAGATTAGCTGGGCCTGAGCAGAGAGATATTCACATATGCTGCTTGTAATTGATGTGATTGTTGTTATTTTTTAACTGTTACATTAAAGTATATTAGAGGAAAATATACTGCCTTATGCGCTCTGCTACAACTGTCTAAAAGCCATTGCTGGGCTCTCGAGTGACTCGGCTAATTTATGTCATAAACAGAGGATAAAATCATCCTTTCTGAAAAGATTAAACCTTCCTGCCATGTGAGGTGCTTGGAGAAAATCAAATATAATCCCTGACAGCTGCAGCATTAAAGTAATCGTTGTGTATTAAAGCTCCTGTGTGTAACTTTAGGTTTGTGTTGACTTTGGTGCCCCCTGAGGACAAAGTAGGATAAATTATGTCTTTGGTGGTTTAGGTGCCCACAAGCGATTAAGAACGGCCCAAAAATGATCAGTCCTGTTTGCGATGGTCCACTTTGCTTCATAAATAGGCATCAGAATTAATTAAGTCTGTGTCGTAGCTGGAAAAAACTCCTCACAGGAGCTTTAATGCATCTGCAATTTCAGCCCCATATAGTTTTCACATATTTTATCCCTAAATTAATTTAGTTTTTAATATTTACTTGAACTTTTAATTCTAAGCAAAAGTTAATTATTTAAAGGGATATTCCGGCGTAAAATTAATTTAGGGTCAAACACACCGTAACACGGAGTTAGACACCCCCTCAAGAGATGAATGCTGCCGACCGCTTGCTTCTCTAGTTATACCAACTTTAGTAGCGACCGCACAATAGCAATACACAGCAGTCTGAGGAGCCATACACAAACCTTAACCAAAAAGCCACTGTATAGCCACAAATAATGTTCAGAACAGCTCTACAACAGAACATACAGGGTCCCAGCCATAGTACTAGCCACCAAACATTTTTCTTTATCATTTCCTTGAAGTAATAATCACCATATTAATCATTTTGCACTGCAGACACCGTAGTTCTTCTGCCTTACCGTCTCGGTCTGATTGCATTTCCATGAAGAAATGATCATAAATGTTCTTCCTTGAGCTGCGTCACCCCACAACAGTCCGTAATGGACTGGCCCGAAGTCTTGCTACAAACAAGCGGCTGCTGGAAGAGAGTAGGTGAGTTGTGTTTAGTCTCTTTGTTATAGAAATCAGGCAAGTCAAACAGTTGTTTGGTGGCTAGTGCTGTGGCTGGGACCCTATATGTACTGCTGATGAAGTTAGGTGCTATTCTGAATACTATTTGTGGCTATAGAGTGGCGCTTTGGTTGAGGTTTGTTGATGGCTCCTCAGACCACTGTATATTGCTATCGTGCGGTCGTTACTAAAGTTGGTACAACTAGAGAAGCAAGCTGTCGGCAACATTCATCTCTCGATGGGTTGTCTAACTCGGTGTTATGGTGTGTTTGACCCTAAATTAAATAATGTGAGTAAAAATAAAATAAATTATTAATAAAGAAAGATTTAAAAAAAATTTCAGTGTGTTTCATAGACAATTAAAAATCTCTTCCAGGAGCTTTAATTATCATTATGATGTTTTGTGGCTTTTCCTCGATCACTCTGTCATTTCTGTATCATTTCTACCAAAATGAAACTAACAGTTGATGTTTTGTAATCCCTTCACAATGATGGAGTTAACTGTAGAGGGAGAGAGTAAGCGCAGGGGGGCGTGTCTGCTGTCAGTGGTCACATGACCCGGAAAATGTGGGGCTTGATTCCTGTGTTGGACTGCTCCCAGCTGCTGAAGCTCTGCCCTTCGCAGTGCAAGCTCTCCATACTCCCCATCACGACCCCCGCTCCCCGGGCGGACTCTCCTCAACGCACCATGTCGGGTAAGAAACCCAGAGGCACCGGCTACACTCTCATCCGCCACACCGACTCCGGAACCAGGCCAAAACGGACCGGACCGGGGCTGCGCGAACTACCCTGTTCTCACGGAATATCGCGAATTTAGGATTTTAAACGCTGCAGAAATATTCAGCAAATACACAAAAAAATATTTACTTATGGAGAGATATGAGTCGAGGCGTGTTAATGCTGGTGTATTTGCGTTGCTGTGTCCTTTTTAAGGGTTGTGATGCGTTTAATTTTACGACTTGCTGCAGCGGTTTGGACCACAGTGAAGCTATCGACGAGATATAAAACAACATCCGGTTAAAAATTTCAAAATAAAACAGTTTTAAAGCAACTAGTGTTGAGTCATAAAACAGTTTAAAAGTACTTTGAAAAAAAAAGTAAAAAGGAAAAGTACTGTAGTCCTTTTTAATCTTATTTTTGGCAATACTCATTAACTTCATGGTGTTCTACTATTACTTTTTTATTCGGTTTATGTCCATTCTTAATGCAAATACTAATATCTGACAAAAGTAATGATAAAGTCAGTTTTTAAAGCATATTTATAAAAAGAATATATATCAATAGTGAAACTCTTTAAATTAACTTCTAGAAGTTTTTGTTATTTCTCGTCATTTCTCGTACGTTTTTGTAATTTATGAGCCAACATCACCAACGTAACAAGTATATTTAGCAACATGATGGTGGTAGATATCAGGCAGGCTCTAAAGTTGGGATCTGATTACTCAGTCCACAGCCTAAGTTATGTCAGAGTGGAAGTGGGAGATTGAGACACAGTTCAGGGGAAATTACTCATATTGCATCACCTACGTTGATGATTTCTTCATCTCACTTTTTTGATGCTTAACTTCGCCCTGCAGAGCATGAAACTGAGAAAACTCTGTCTGTTTTAACAACAGGTGGAGAACAATATAGATCATTTTTGACCACGTATCGGTGAATATGCTGAAAATGTCAAACTGTCCCTGTAAAATGACAGTTGCACTATTACATAACAGGTCGATTCTTGCATAAGAGCCCTGAAGTAAAATAACAGAAAAGCAGTTTTTTAGTATGAAATGATTTCAGTGGAAAAACACTTACACATACCAAATGATTCATCAGCTTGGCGGTTTTTTATATGGCAGAAACTTTTGGTATGTTTTTATTGTCTTTTTTCTACGTTGTCTATCATGGAAAAAAAATTGTAAACGTTTGGTTGGTTTGGAAACATCACATTAAATAAAAAAACAATTAAAGGCTGTTTTCTTTATTCAAAACTCGTATTAAATAAATCTGTAAAAACTTATTTAGTGATAAATTGAGCTTTCAAAATTTAAAATTGTACCGCTGATAAAAGTCTTTGGTTCAAATTTTTATTATGATCACCTGTTGAAAAGTAACATCTTCAATTAATTTAGAAGTTTCTGTAAATATCTTAGAAACCTTTTTGATTTAAAAGTTGAGTTTTATTTTGTAAAGAAGACAGTATGTACTTCCTGTATTAATGCGGTGCTTCTGATCAACTTGATGGTTGTTGCTCGGTGCGTACGTGCGACAGTGTGTGTTGCTGAGTTTTTTTTCACGGACACTATTAGAGCCTGAGTGTCACACTTTTTTATAGAGCGAAAACATTTGCTCAGGACAAAGAAAGAAACCGGGAGAGAAACTTATTAAAAAAAATAAAAAAACAGCTGCCTGAAAGCTCTTGAAGAATAACATATCCTATATCTGCATCTAAGGAACAATAAATACAGCTTTTAATGGACATTTACTTGCAATCTTGGTGGAATTTACAGCTAATTTGATGCCAAGATATGTACAAATATTAGATTTTTCTTTATTATTAACACAAATCAGAAAAAAAGTGAACTGAAAACTAAATAATTATTAGTAATGTGTAAAGAAAAGAAGAAACAGATTTTGAATAATGATGTTGTGGTGAAAAAAGTGCCTTTTTGAGGTGATCTGGTGTATATATCATGTGGCTGTCTAGATACAAGAACTCTGTGAACAGAGCACAGCCCATGCTTCCTGTACGGCCTTGAGGACCAAACGGGCCTCTCACTCTTTTGATAGTCACTTTTTAATTCCTCGACATGGACCCTAGCAACCGTTTAGCACAGCCCCTCTGATCGGGTTTCCCAGAAGCCCCTTGTGACCCACACTTGGCATGATGGATTCTGTCTGCTGGCTCCGGGCCTACTCTCACTCGGGTTTGCAACACAGTGTGCCTCCTGCTGTTGTTAATATATGCATGATTTTGAGGGGGGGGGGGGGGGTTTCATTAGACAATAAACTTCCCACAATCGAGCCTGCAGATGGTTACTGGTTCATGTTGTGCACGCTTGATGCTTGAACGTTACTAGCATCTAGTTTCTGATGCTGCTGTCGTGGCAACAAGGAACAAAATGTTTCATCACTGTTATACTCGCATCATGTGAGCTTACCCCTCCCTGCTTAGGTTGAGGTTGATTATATACCAGACACGGACGATAATGACAAGACAAACTGTGTTTGTGGTGCGCGTCTTCTCACCCCTCCTCGTGCGGGTCAAGGTTGTTTATTTTTAGTCAGCATCTTGCATACCTTTGTTTGCAGGACAAAGGGCTCTTGTGGCAAAGTTTGCAATGTTCTGGTGACATCTAGGTGAAAAACAATACCTTAATTTAGGCCTCAGGGTCACATTGTTAGAGATTATGTAAGAGGGAGCATGATCAGATAGAAGTATTCGGTTTAATTACATTAAGTTTGTAGAGGGGTGAAAAAATATTGGTACAGTATTGGAATATTTTTACACGGATTCTCTTGTGGTATAAAAGTAAACATTTTTCACTCAGATGGCTCTCTAAATATTTAGTTTGCCAAACAAAACCCTTAAAAGTTTATCTCTTACTATTTCTCATTATGAGCTAATATTAGGTATCATTCCTGTAACTCTTTTTCTTGTAATCTGAACTTTAAATGTTATTTTTTATCATGTAATCTTTGACGTAAAAAGAACTTACTGGCTTTCCTGTGTCACCTGTTTGGCTTCACACTTGAGGTTTTTGTCTGAGGCTGTTATGAATAGTCTTCTTTTCTGGGGGAAAAAACCTGAGAAAACACATTTCATTGCACTGACTCAGTTTTCTCTTGTGTTATTTATCAGTTAAACAGAGCTGCTTTCTAAAGCGGCTGTCAGTTTCACCAAGGCGCCTCAGATTTCTGTGATATATTTGGCGAATTTTCTGGAATTACGCACCGTTTTGGATAACCTTGGGAATCAAACAGACTTATTTTGTGAGAAAACTTTCTTGCATGCCTAAGTTGAACATCGAGCTAAGAATATTACGCTTTCCTTTGAAGGTATTCTCATCCAATTACAAAACCTTAATTTAGTCTCATTAAAAAGTAGGGCAACCATGCAAGTGTTCGCCGTGGACTAATAAAGACAAAAGAGACAAAGTATTGATGCTTACATAATAACCAGTTTTATTTAATTGAGGCGACGGCTGTGTCTTTTTCCAAACAGACCAAGCTTTTGTGACGCTGGCCACAACGGACAGCTACGCCAAGGGAGCCATGGTTCTCGGCCAATCGCTACGAAAACACAACACAACCAGGAAATTGGTTGTTCTCGTCGGACCTCATGTTGCAGAGCCTTGCAGGTAACTGGCATTACTGATTAAAAACACAAATATAATATACTATTATGATATGATATGATACCAAGTCCACCGTCTGTGTTGCAGAGAAGTACTAGGCTCCATTTTTGACGAGGTGTGCTCGGTGGACGTCATGGACTCAGGCGACGCAGTTCACCTCGCCCTGATGAAGAGACCAGACCTTGGAGTCACATTCACCAAACTGCACTGCTGGACTCTCACACAATACAGCAAGTGTGTGTTCATGGACGCAGACACACTGGTGAGGGAGAAAAGAAGACTTCTGAGTCATTTGTCAACTTAAAATTGTGTATTTGTTTCATTAAATTTCTTCTCTACAGATTTTAGATTTAAAAAAAAAGTTTGACCCACCTGAAAGAATTGACAAAGAGTTTTGATTCTGATTTTAAATATCTGAAATGTTGAAGTGTATCTGCTTCAGACCTCTGCATTTTACAGCGAATAAATACCGTGGAGGTGCTGATACGTGACACTGAATCAAGCCTGAAATAACATCTATCTGAACGACATTCAGGTGCTATCAAATGTCGATGAGCTCTTCGAGAGAGAGGAACTATCTGCAGCGCCAGATCCAGGCTGGCCGGACTGTTTCAACTCTGGGGTTTTTGTCTTCAGTCCGTCCAAAGAGACGCACGAGAAGCTGCTGACGTTCTGCGGTGAAAATGGCAGCTTTGACGGTAAGAGGTCCAAAACTTTGTTTTCTCCCTTAGAGGCTTACAAAAGTTAATCATTATTAAGAGCGATATATGGGATTAACAAAAAAATGCAGGTTTGTGTTTACCTTAGGAGACAGGAACTATGTGATATCTGGAAGAAAAGTAAAGAAAAAAAGGTCCTGATTGAGTTTTTGTGCTTGTGTAATTTAGGTCACTGAGGTTAAAGTCAAATTTTTATCAACATCAGAGAATTGAGTTAAAGACATTTGATAGAAAAGCTAAAATTAGCGAGAGGGATGCAGGAACGAAGCGGGTATTAGTTCTCATACTGAAGCTTTAGGCTAACATTAGCGCAGGACATTTTCCCAGAGCAGTTTAAAACATTTTGGCAAATTCATAACTATTAAAAGTTGTCAGAATAATAGTCTGTAATAATCAGTCTCCTTTTAGTTTGAAGTTTGCTTGAAGCTTTGTATCAGTTTTGGCGCCCCCTGTGGACAGTTCTTATCTTGTCCTCTGCTTGCTTGAGTAGTGTCTCATCCTGCTGACGCCTGGCTGTCAAATTTATCATTGATTGTAAATATTTTATGTTGAAATTGTTTAAAAAGGGCTGTTTCTTCTGTTCTTCTGTTGCTTCACTGACGCCTACCCCCTCACTCTAATTTAGTCCATTAAAAATGAGGCTGTACAGATCTTCAAAGTTGTTGCCGACGTTCTTGTTTGCTTTTGGATGTCATAAAAAAACATCAATATAAATTTAAGTCTATTTCATGAACATCAAAAAACTCCTTATAGGAGCTTTAAAAAGTTAATCCAGTTGGTAATATTTTATCTTGCGGATCTTAAAGGTGTATGTAGAAGTTGTATTGTGAAAGGTGATTGTATTAGCGTGAGAAATTTGGTGTTTTTTTTCCACAAAACTGGGAACAATCAGAGTGTTTTAAAAGCCAGAAGTTTGTGGACAGTGGTAAACCTCCAAGGGTTAATAATCAACCGTGTTAGTTTGCATCAGAAAAGATAAACCTTGTTCTGAAGCTTCAACTTCCCTGTGGATAAAACCTCTCATCTCATACCTGAATTCGTCTTGTGTTTGTGTAAGAAGTGATTTCTAACCAAAAAAATCTGAAGTATGCAGACCAATAATCCATGTGGAGAGCAAAGTCGTAATCCAAGAACCTGTCAGCTGGTCTCTGATGACATTTAAACTTCTATCAGTCGCTCTTCAAACAGAAACCTGCATATGAAAGCATTTCACAGTTTTCTTAGCCGAGTCTCTTCTCGTGCCTCAAATTGCCAATCCGACTTAAAACAATGACCACTGCACGGAATGGGAAGGCTTGGCCCGGATATCTGTTATCAGTTTTCCGGATATCTGCCGGCTAAGCTGGAAGCAGCTGAAACTTTGGCCGGGGTCCCAAAGGGTCTAATCATCATCAGATGACGAGTTTCACTGAGCTTTTTTTGAACTCGCAAATTCTGGAGTAAACCGCCGTCCACTGTTTATACGCCGAGGTCGGCTGCTTGAAGGGCTAAATAATGATAATAAACCCTAGAAGTTTCTGCAGCCCTTCCTTACCCTCACACACACACAGAATAAAAACCACACACACATTCATACATGTGCCCTAATGTCAACCCTGACTCAGTCGAACCGTGTCCTCACAGCGCCTGTTCACCCCTGCCCTTTAGCGGCTACTTAACACCATGTTGCATACATGTGCCATCTGTTCATGAGTGTATGAATGGATATCCTTTGTGGGAGTGTAAAAGATGTGTGTGTGTCTACGTGTGGGGTTATTGTGTCTAACAATGAGGAATGTGCCACTCATTTTTCTTTTCTTTGTGGCTCTGATTTGATCCTTTCTTTTTTTTCATATCTGTGTATTTGTGTGTTTGTGTGTGTGTCACTCCACAGGTGGAGATCAGGGGGTCCTCAACAGTTTCTTCAACACTTGGGCGACGGCGGATATTTCCAAACACCTTCCCTTCATCTACAACCTCAGCAGTATCGCCATCTACTCTTACCTGCCAGCTTTCAAACAGTCAGTCATAAATCACACACACACGATACACACACATGTGAAACACATTCAGGCCACTGCGGGTGTCTTTGTGTGTTAATATGTAGCCGCTTGTGTAGATTTCATAGCTTCACTTGTGAAAGGTTGTGGTGTTTGTGTGTCAGAAGGCGCAAAGCTTATCCAAGGTCAGTTCAAAGGTTGTGTATTTGTGTGTCTGTGGCCGGGTGTTGGATTACAAGAGGCTGCTGAAAGTTGCAGCGAGCTGGTCAGTGGACACACACTCACACACACACACACTGAAGGGGAGGAGAAAAGCTCCTGAAGTTAAACTCTTTCTTGTAACTCTTGTGGATTTTGTGGATTTGAAGTTTAGACGTTTAGTTCCCTGCTCAAGTGAAGGAGGATACTTTATTTTGAAATGTGTTGGGGACTTGTTAAGTTTATAAAAAGTAAGTAAAAGGGAGATGGAAACAGCAGCAGGCCAAGTCCCACACAGGCTTTCAACAAACCCTCAAGTTTGGCAGACTTGTTTTGGAAAAACAAAACAAAACAGAGTCAGCCGGTAAAATTAGAATCCAAACTCGTGATGTGGACATCAATCTCAGAACACAGACTACTTCCTGGTCGGGTTCATGCAGTCCCCCTCTGCCATGAGGGATTCTGACAAGCATTTCCTTTGCACAAACACGTCCATATTTACCCTCTGTTGACATGGTTTACTTTGACGGCCGACACTCCTATTTCTTCTGGACTTTGTAATCATGATGTGTAAACACCGAGGCGTTTCAATGGCCCGTTTCAAAGAACCATGTCTGCACAAATGTCTCAGGTGTAGATTGCGTTTGATGGCAGCATCCTGTTTCATCAATTTTTACCACTCACGAATTGAAGACGTTGCTTACGAGCGATCTTGCAAAAGGTTTGTAGTTTGGGAGAAGTTTGAAAGTAATACAGGATTTCCTTTACTCAAAAGTTTGTAAATGTGTTCTCAGATGTTTTCAAAGGGTGAAAATCCAGGCGGGCAGTTCAGCACAGGAACCGTGCTGTTGTAATCTGTGTGAAATGTAGTTTGGCGTCTTCTTGGTGTATTATGCAAGGCCCCCCCTTTAGAAAATGCATTGTCTGGTAGCCCGTATACCGTATTTTTCGCACTATAAGGTGCACTTAAAATCCTTTTGGCTTGTTGGAGCACTGCAGCTACTGTAGCCTGGCGGAGTTATTGAATGAGTTAAATAAAGTTTGACTTATCTGACTGTTTTGTTTGGTTTAATGCGCTTTATAATCCGGTGCGCCTTATGTATGAAATAGACGCAAACAGACGCGTTCATTGATGGTGCGCCTTATAGTGTGAAAAATACGGTACTGCATATTCCCAGATATGTGAACTACCCCTACCAGGAGCACTTCTGCTTCTATATATCACCAGTGTCCCCTGATAGAAAGTGGGGAAACATCCATGAAGTGCATCTGATTACACCGCTTTACTCTGTTGTCCCCTTTTGAATAAAGATTTTACATTTTATACTTTTGATAATGATGAATTAACAAATTCTCAGCAATTTTACCCCTGTTCTGAAATTGTTAAACTAGTCGCTACTTCTCTGAAAGGGCCTTTTTAAACTCAGTCATTATTATCACCAGTTACATATAGGGTTGGGTATCGAGAATCGAGAATCGATGGGAATCGAGACTAAAACTTCGATTCTTCTGGTATCGTTCAAATATAAAAATTTCGATTCCAAGTTTCGATGCCGGAGTCCGCCGACCGGAAGAAATAGCCGCCGAAAATCGACGAAGAAGAAGCCGCTTAACACCAACGAGGACGGAGCGTATGAGACGAAGCTACACAGAAAGTGAAGAGAGACAGAGAGAGAAAGTACATTGCAACCCACAGCAATGCAGCCGCTGTGGGTTACGATGTAATCTCTCTCTGTCTCTCTCCTCTCTCTGTGTGACTTCGTCTCATACGCTCCGTCCTCGTTGGTGTTCGGCAGCTTCTTCTTCGTTGGTCAAAAGTTTGGCTAACTTTAGCAGGAAGAATGAGCTCTTATCTCAATGCAACATTAGCAATACAGTTATATCATGCAAAGGAGGGTAAACGACAAACATGATTAAACACCTCATGATTCATGGAGGAGAAATACCCGAGTGCTCGTCTTTGACGCGCTTCGCCGGTGTTATGCCATAGAATGCACCCCTGCTGTTGAATGCACCCCTGACGGGAGCGCGGTTGAAAGTACACAACAAGGCGAAACAATCCAAGTTTTCCTTACCGTTGAACGGAATCTAAAGCGTGTGCCTTTAATGATTTCATTCAGGCTATTCAGATATGCCGAAAACAACAGCCCTCTGATTCTGAATATTTACTGTCCGGAAAATATAATGTTCTCTACATTAACAGCTGACTGTACAGTTTATATACCCAAGTACACCTTTATGTGTGCGTTTCTGAGACACAGAAAAACGAAACGAAAGTTTACTGCTCCATTTGACATGTTGTCATGATCTAATACTCGTGTTTTTTTAAATATGAGATCATTGTCTTCCACTTTAAGAAGCTAATCAGTGGAGGGGAGGCATTCTACGGCAGGGGTGCATTCTACAGCACAACACCTGTCTTCCGCTAACCAGTCAGGATCAGATAAGTGAAACAATAAATTACTTCTATCCTCTGCTAACATTGAAGCGGTAAACAAATTGCACTGAGTACGGTAGCCCTTGTGCTTTTTCATAGACAAACGACCTGACAACAAAAAATGATATTTATATACTGGTTGAAAATGTGAGAAATTCATAGTAAAGTTCCTAAAAAGTTAATATGATTTAAAAATTCATGGAGAAGTTCAGAAATTACGTCCAAAAAGAAGAGCTCCGGTTAGCGCCCTCATTCAAACCATGCTTTTTTTTTTATGATATCCTGCCTTTTAAAAGAATCGAAATAAAGAATCGATAGGAATCGAAATCGAAATGAGGAATCGAAATCGGAATCGGAATCGTTCAAAATCAAACGATACCCAACCCTAGTTACATATAGTTTTGTTAAATGAGAGACGTTTTAAATTCTGTTTTTAAATGAATTATTTCACAGCGTCTAACTGTCATGGTGTTGATGCTTGTCAGATTTATGACCCTGCTCTGAAGCCGCAGCATTATTACACCTGTTTTCTCATATGATGAATGGCATGTCCTCACAAGTTTAAATGATAAACACTCCTTTAATTGCTTTTGAAAGAACACAAAGCTGCAGATTCACAATCCTGCACGGCAGATGTTTCCCAGCATTGACAGGAAAAGAGCGGAGTTTAGATCCTCAAATTGAAACTGTAAAAATAAAAAATCTGTTTAAGTAATATTAGGGTCCGACCGATAAGGATTTTTTTGGGGCCGATGCCGATACCGATTAAAATCAAATTTTTTTTATTAAGTTATAAAATATATATACACTGTAGATATCTACAGTATATATACTGTAGGCTACTGCTCTTTACGCCGACAGGAAGACCGACTGATCAAACTCGTACCAAAAAACATTTTCAACTCAACCTGCAACAGTGAAGCAAGGCTAATAGCAGGTGGCTAACTCTAACTTTAGCTTGCACATTACATGGTGCTTCACCGTTAACTCGGCGAGACCGAGACCAGCACAGCGGGGAACATGGTGAAGTGGGTTGAACTGAAACTTGTTGACTTATTGTGTATTTCACAAACTGGTTTATTTACCGTTGAGGCGGACCACTCTCCTCAGTGCGTCCCTGAGCTGCCTGCTTCAGATCCGTCACTCTGCTGTGCTGTGAGGTAGTTAGTAGATGAAGATTGTCATGAGGTCGCTGCACCATCTACAAGATAAGTCGGGGAACTTTTCAAATGGCGGAACATTTTCGAATTCAAGGCGAATCTTAATCTCTGCAGTTTATTTCTGAAAATATCTGTGAAAATCGGCGAGTTTTGGCCGATTACCGATTAGTCTCAAACGGACTAAAGTTGGCTGATTCAATCGGCTTGCCGATAAATCGGTCGGGCCCTAGTTAATTATACAACTTGTTTTCTGATGACTTTCACATTTTCCTTTTAAAATGCTCTTAAACTAAAGACAATATGAAGCACGCACCACATTTTGATATGGTGGGAAGCACTCGCTTGCCGATAAATTGGTCGAGGCCCTAGTAAATATGCACATATTTGGGGCAAACTAGAGCCCTTGGGTATCATGAGGACGATTTGCCTCATGGATTAGACCCTGAGAAGGAGCAGATATCAGGTGTAATCCAATCTTGGTGAAAAACCCCGAATATAAAATGACTTGAGCAGCTTAAATGGAGAAAATGCTGCTGCTGGATGACACTGTTTAATCAAAGTTGCCCCAATAAACACATCAGAGAATTTTTGGTTTTAACTGAAAATAGAAATTGGTCTGCATGTAAAATAACATTTAAAAATAGTGTAGTTGCATGTTATAAATGCCATAACACTTTATTTTTCTTTTGCCTCCGTCTCAGCCTCTTTTTTCTCCTTTGTTTCATCACAGGTACGGCCACAACGCCAAGGTGGTGCACTTCCTGGGCAAAGTGAAGCCATGGAACCACTCCTACGACATCCAGAAAGGGGAGGTCAGAGGTCACTCCCAGCCCCCTGAGCTGTGCCAACTGCACCCCGACTATCTCCTCCTGTGGTGGCAGCTGTATGCCAAATCTGTGGTGCCTTTACTGCAACGGGCCTACGGGGAGACCTCCCTCAGCAGCGGCTTCTTCGACGCAAACGAGAACGTACGTCGACATTTTGTGGCGCTTGATGTAGCGTGAAATAAGAGCGTTCGGGTCGAGGTGTGGTTGCGGTGTGGTGTGTGATGTTTAGCCTGTTACATAATTATCATGTTGGGATCGCTTGTTTAAATATGAACTCTTCTTTCTCCTTCAAACTTGAAACTCCTTCCTGGTGAGTGGAAAATGTCACATGTGAAAATGAAACCTTTTTTCCCCGTCTTGTTTTGAGTTTCATGTAGTCACAGAAACAAGGAAAAGAGGATTGGTTCCACATTCCTCTTTAGCAGTTTGTTGCCAAAAGTCGTCTTTCTACAGGTATTTCCAGTCCTCTCTGTGGCTTCATGTCTGTGTGAATGGCTTTTTCTCCATAACAATGCAAACAGGGTGCCAACAGTTTCACAGAGCAGCGTCAGGGAGTAATTCAACAGTCGTAAAAAGATTGTGGGGCAAAACCTGAAGCTTTCTCCAACTGCCATCATGTGTCACCCTGACAGGTTTACACAAGCAAAGCGATCGTAATGGCAATTTAATGCTGGATTACTCTCCTCATGCTGTTTATCTATCTGTTTATTCACTCATTTGGTTTGAAGATGACGGATGAGGAACAGGTTTGCGAGACAGCGCCCACAGTGGCCAGTGTTTGCAATTACGAGACATCGAAGGTACATTGAATCTCCTGTTTACCCCAGTGTGAGCATCAATCTAATAAGCCCCCTGACACACATGCACTTCCCTCCTGAACACATCCTGACTCTTTTGGAATGAGATGAAATTCTCTTAAAAAAGTCTGGGGTTCATGTGTGGAAAGGGGCTAAAGTGTGTGAAAGTCCTCGGACTTGCTCAGTAGTGTTACAGTTACAGCGATATTAATGCGTTAACATTAGCATCTATAACCTGCTGCTTCATGGCCTGTGTCCATCCAGGCAGCTCTATATAAAACCCGCGCTTTTTGGCAGTTCAGAGCTCAGTGTTCTTCGCACAAGAACGCAAAAACGCGCTTAGCATCGGCTGTTTTTTCTCACTGCAAAGTTATTATAGGAGCTGTGGATTCAGAGTGTTTCTCACCATATCGAAATGTTGTGCGTGCTTCATATTGTCTTTGATTTAAGAGCATTTTAGAAGGAAAATATGAAAGTCATTGGAAATCAAGTTGTATAATTACTAGGGCCCGACCGATTTATTGGCGAGCCGATTAACAGGATGGTGTAGTTGGGTAGGGTAGCTTTTCTGGTCCGAGTTTGATCAGTTGGTCTTCCTGTCAGCGTGAAGAGCATTAAAAATTTAAAATATCGGCCGATTAATTGGTAATCAGATTTTTTCCCCCCCTAATAATCGGTATCGGCATCTGCCCTAAAAAATCCATGTCGGTCGGGCCTTAGTAAATATACATGAAAACATACTAAGTTGCATTTGTTTCACACATTTCTGACTAAAAACTTGAGGTACTCATCAGTTGTAGTCGTAGACTTTGGCATTTTAAATAAAACATTTTTTGTAAGCATGTTAATGGTATATTTTCTCCACTTTCAAAATGTAAAGATTAGTAAAAAAAAATCAACACATTTTAGAGGTAGAGCAGTAAGATATATATATATATATGCAGTAGCTTACAGTATATCTACAGTTTATAGTATACTGTAGATATCTGCTGTAGATATCTACAGTATATATGTATTTTTTATAACTTCATAAAAAATTTAAAAAATCTGTCAATTAATCGGTAATTGGATTTTTCCCCCCTAATAATTGGTATCGGCATCGGTCGGGCCCTAATAATTACCAGACCTGGACATTACATGGTTAATTTCTCCTCTATACAGACTTTCCCATTGTTGTTGACAAAGTTGATTCTGACCGGTCTGTGATCAAGCTGCATTATTCACATTCCCAGCAGCAAAAGTTGAACTTCTTTATAAACTGAAAGAGCTGAGAGACCAGCAGCCAAAATCAGCTGACGATGAGCAGGATGTTTATCACTGCAAATGTGAAAATACATTTAGTTTGAACATGGAAAAAAAGGTACAAGTCTTTATGAAAATCCTGATTTTTTTATTTGAGAGAAAGGAAGAGGTTTTAACATTTTATGGAAACCAGTGTTCTGTCTTTTCAGTGTTATTTCTGTCAAGGGCATTCAACCCTTCTTTAAGTTATAAACACACTTGGCTTTTTTCTTCCTCGACTGTCTCTCAGCTGTAGTTTGAGCCTCTTGACAAATCGCCTGCATTCACTGATCGGGGCTTTGCTGTCAAAAAGAGAGAAAGCGTAGCTGAGCATGGCTGGACTGGGGGAAACCTTTCCTTATAAAGTATTGCTCTCGTCCCATTATATGAATCATTCATTCTCTCTCTCTCTTTCTCTCTCTATCTCTCTCTCTCTCTCTCTCTCTCTCAAAAGCAGGATAAACATGAGGATGTGAGCGGTCAGGCGGCTCCCCTCGCTCCTCCTCCCCAGAAAGTTTCATCCGAGGAAAGGAAGCAGCGCTGGGAAGCGGGCCAGATCGACTACTTGGGGGACGACTCCTTCGCCAACATCGCGCGAAAACTCGACTCCTTCTTAAAGTAGCATTCAAGGAGAGGGAGTGTGACGGACAGAGAGAGCGCCCAGTCAAAGCTCTGTGTGGGTGGGGATTTAAGCGCTGCTCAGCCAATCACAGGGGGCTTTGATGGCAGGTGACTGGATGAAAGCCTCTGAGCAACTTTGAGCCTTACTCTCTGCATCCTGTCAGCGTGTGTGTGAGCGACAGAGAGTATAATCTGACACAGCTCCCATGAACCATTCAGTTTTCTCTCGTGGGAAAAGTCTGACATTTCAGGAGGTACACTTATTCACTCTTTCACAAAAGTTCGATCAGAAGACCCAGATGTGTAGAAGAGTGTAGAGTAAACATGAACCTGGCTAACATAGCTTATCTTTGGGACTCACATTACTCAGAAACTTGGTCACTTAGCTTTCTGTACACAAATCCAAAGGCAGAAAACATGAAGATTTTTCCATAATCCCGCAGATGTTAACTATCTGCCTTGAATGCTAACATTTCTGCCTGCGGCCAATCTAATGTTTAAATCCAATATTTCCACCAACTGCTACGCTCCTGTCTTTCTCTCTCTCTGAGTTGGATGTAAACTTTGGTTTTGACCAGGTCAAACATTTCTGTCATTCGGGAAATACCTTTGCAGATTCAATATGGAGCTGTAGTAAAAAAGATAATATGTATGATAACAGCAGTGTTTTGATTTTTCCATCCAGCGCTCAAAAAATGAGGCGAGCATTAGGGCTAGAAAAGACTGAAAGTAGCTTAGTTTGCCTGTTTGCCCTTTTTAAAAGCTCATTAATTAACACTTTAAATCTCATTTTATTAATCAGGGAAAAAACCCATGTGTAAAAAATTTATGTTTAGGTTTTTTATTGTAACATTTTAATCGGTTAGCTATTTCGCCACATTTTGCAGGCTGGTAAACTGTCATGCATTTGTGCTTTTAGTGTTTTTTTGGACTGCTGGGACAAAATCTAAATTGTTTATCAATGTTACTACCTGCAAAAATGAAAGCTACATAATTCAAATATCACACTTCTCATTGAAGCTTTTGCTGTGTTGACTCGGAGGTAGATTGAGGGTGCAGGGCATGTGGTTACACGTTATGTGTTGTGTGATTAAGGGTTATAAAACAGGCTACATAAAGCATTGAAGCTCATGATTATCAAGTTACATAACCTAAAGCTACTTCAGTCACATCAGACACTAATGCTTCAAGTTCGCTTTCTCACTCAGGTGAGAGAACCGGAGATAAAACAGAGTCAAGCGCACGCCGTGTCGATCCAACATGAAGTTTATTACCTGCACACACCCTGGTGACTGTGTTTTTGAGAGCTTCTTTCTCACCTGTTCCCACACTGCGTGACGAATACTTGAAGAAACACGACACGCCTGGCCCGTTTTTGTGGAAGTTGAATCATCCCAGGCTTGGTGCTGTTTCAGGAAAGAACTTGAAGTATCTGAGGGTGCTACATGACAAAGAATTTTAAGAAGTGTCTGCATTTTTTCTGATTTTGCACTAAAATGAACTCACACGCTGTATAAGCGACCTGATGGCGATGAAAGAGGTGACTGCAGAGGAGTCTGAATTTGATTTGTAGGGAGGGTGTGGATCTAATTTGCTTATGGTTTACGAGTTTTGCGTGTAATGTCATGTGGGACTCTGGTCTTGACTTGGTCTCGTCTCAGTCTCTGCCCTTTCTGGTCTTGCTCAAAGTGGTCTTTAATAAGTGTACTTCCCAAACGTCAGACTTTTCCCTCAAGTGTTCTTGTCCATCTGATTACACCGGATTCAGTCTTCCAGCCTTGTGGAAACTTTCAGCAACAAATCACCAGTTTGGTTCAGCCTGCTGCGGCTGAACCGAAACAATCGAGTTAGAAGTTGTTCGATGAAATTTACCACATTTCTCTCCTGCAATAACCCTCTCCATCCAAACAGCTTTAAAGCAGATGCTCAACAGCTGGCTCACGTCCCCCTATTTGGTCCCTTTTCTTCGTCTTAGCCAGCTATGAAGACCCTGCTTTATCCAGATTTCGTAAAGGAAAAATTACCATCCATCCCTGTGCCTCAGACGCTCACCAGCTCCCTTTGACTTCAGCTTCGTAATGTCCAGTGTTGTATTAGGGTCAGGGTCGGGCCAGTCTTGTCGCATTTGCATGGCACAGAGTTGAAAGAGTGGGTCAGTAATGAAGTATTTCCAGCCGCATCCTGAAGCGATGTCGATAAAGAGTCTTGATGTATTTATGTGCTACTCAAACATATCGTTTGTAAGCGTGCCCTGCATGTTCAGTTCCTGCCAAGACCCACATCAGTATCCTTGTGCCACGACCTCTTTCATCAGTTCCCGTCTGTAGTGTTACCAGCTGCCTTATTGCCACTCACTGTTTACAAAACCTCACTTACTGTAACTGCTGCTAGTAGCACAACAACTTCTCTGATTGAACTCCTTTCCTGTTGCCTACGCCTTCTTCATTTCACTCCAGCTGCGTGCCCTTAATCTAAACTGTAATCTTCAGCTACTACCAGTGATACTAAAACTCCCTCCACCCCGTTAAACACACTCCTTCATGAGGCTGGCAAAGCTGGGAGAAAAGTGTCTTTGTAATTCTTCTAATCTGAAAGTAAAGTAGAATTGTTGATACATGGTTTAATGCAGGTCCATCATGTTTCCCAGCTGTAAACTGTACATCCCTGTACCCCTGAATATCTATTAAAGAACGGGTGAAACCATCTTATGTCTCCTGAATGTCATTATTAGGTTTTTAACGTCATGTCATGTTGATAGAGTGAAGTGCAGTGTTTGGGAGGGACATATTCTGGGAGTCCACTAAACCATTGAAGTTATTTTGAAAGAGATATTCCGGCATAAAATTTATTTGGGGTCAAACACACCTAGACCAAGTTAGACATCCCCTTGAGAGATGAATGTTGCCGACCGCTTGCTTCTCTAGTCTCACCAACTTTAGTAACGACCGCATAATAGCAATACACAGCAGTCTAAGGAGCCACACACAAACCTCAACCAAAAAAAAAAACACTTTATAGCCACAAATAATGCTCAGAACAGCAGCTAACTTCGTCAAGAATTCTTATAGAGTCCAAGCCACAGCACTAGCCACCAAACATCTTTTTAGCTTTGCCTAATTTCTTAAGCAAAGAGACTTAACACAACTCACCTACTCTCTTCCAGCAGCCGCTTGTTTGTGGCGAGACCTCAACCATTCCATCACGGACTACAGCGGGGTGACGCAGCTCAAGGAAGAACATTTCTGATCATTTCTTAATGAAAATACAATCAGACCGAGACGCTAAGGCAGAAGAACTATGTCTGCTGATGGTGATTATTACTTCAAGGAAATGATAAAGAAATGATCATAAATGTTCTTCCTTGAGCTGCGTCACCCCGCTGTAGTCTGTAATGGACTGGCTTGAGGTCTCTCGACTACCAAGCGGCTGCTGGAGGAGAGTAGGTAAGTTGTGTTTAGTGTCTTTGCTAAAGAAATCAGGCAAAGCTAAAAAGATGTTTGGTGGCTAGTACCATGGCTGGGACCCTATATGTACTGTTGATGAAGTTAGGTGCTGTTCTGAGCATTATTTGTGTCTATAGAGTGGCGTTTTGGTTGAGGTTTGTTTATGGCTCCTCAGACCGCTGTGTATTGCTATCCTGCGGTTGTTACTAAAGTTGGTATAACTAGAGAAGCAAGAGGGCGGCAACATTCATCTCTCGGGGGGATGTCTAACTTGGTGTTATGGTGTGTTTAACCCTAAATTAATTTTATGTCGGAATATCCCTTTAAATGTTTTTGTTCACATTGTAAAGCAGAAAATAATGAAATCCCAACATGCTGCCTATTATCAAATATTAAATAATCAACACATATGAAAACATGCAGAAGCATTTATTCTTTGTTTGCAGACTGATGTTCTGAACGCTGCTTTGTGATCGGTCAAATACAGAAACTACACATGGCAGAAAAACATCCAACACACAACAGAAGACCATAACCTAAGGGTTATAACCAGACTGTACAAAACATGGACAGTCTCAGAGGTCAACTATAAGTCTCTGAACAGGTGATTGGAAATACTGACAGATATAAAGATGTGCTGCTGAATCATAGACAAAAACCTGTGGAAATTTCTGTGGTTGGCAAAAGGTTCAGGAGGTTAGTAAACACCCCAGATTAAAGATATTGTACGTCTAAATGAGGGCACTGATGGGATCAGTCTTTCGGGCCGCTCTCAAGTGGACAACAGTTTTTTGGACTTCTTTGTTTTCATTTCAAAATGTGCAGATTTGTTGGAACTAGTAATGCCAAACCAGCTCATTGCGTCACATCGAATGAAGAAAACGAAGAGAGCTCGCCATTCAGCAAATCCTGTAGCCTGAACTGCAGCACGACGTTAACAAATATAAAGAAATTAAGACTTTTGATGCAAAACTCTGAACAAATTATTAACAATATGAACAAAACATCATGTGCACAAAGTCTCTGAGCTGCCCCCTGAAAAGAACTCAGTCAAGTGTTTGAAATAAAACCTCTTGGTCATGGTCTCAGGGTTTTATAAGTCCCCTGGAAATCATCTACAGCTCCAACAGAGCTTTGATTTCATCAATGCGAGACGTTTTCCGATCAGTGTTTGTGGATCCAAAAGCCTTCTCTACCAGGTCCTGCTTCTGCCTCTGGATCTTCACCATGTTCTCTTCCACCGAATCCTTCACGATGAACTAAAACCAACAGAAAACAAACAAATAATCAAATACAGACATAAAGAAAAATAATCCAAAATGTGATATTTTGAAACAGAAACAGAAAAGTTTTCTGACCTTGGTCACGACAACTTTCCTCTTCTGACCCAGACGGTGGCAGCGGTCGATACACTGCTCCTCGGCTGCAGGATTCCAGGCCTAAAACAGACAAAACAGCAAGTGAACAAGCAGCTTTAAACATTTTTTCTCTTAAAGTCCATCTGTTTTTACAATTGTCCTTACGTACAGTGTCTTAAACTGTCATAAAATAGTCAAACTACGACAGCGGTTGTTGGTTAACTTGAGCTTCTTGCAGCCAACATCTAAGGCAGTTACTCTTTTCGGGGATGTGATAGCGTCTCAATCCTGATCTAAATCAGAACTTACAGGATCCATGAGGTAAACATGAGAGGCAGCGGTCAAGTTAAGCCCCACCCCTCCAGCTTTGAGTGACAGCAGCATTATAGTGGGGCTGTCAGGGTCTGAGCTCTGGAACTCTTTGATGACCTGAGTCCTCCTCTTTTGGGTCATGGTGCCGTCGAGACGCACAAAACTGAAACCATGTTCTCTGGTGAAGAGGAGGGGAAAAATACAAATAATAAATAAATAATAACAATTAGAGTTAAACCGATGCTAGCGCACTGTTTTTTTTTTTACCTGAGAGGAGATTCCAGGATAGTGAGGAAGCGTGTAAACTGAGAGACAACCAAGCACTTAACGCTGCTGTCTTCACATCGCAGTCTGAGCAGGTTCCCCATCAGGGCCTGCACCTGCAGAGGCAAAAAGAGGGTTGAAACCAGAACCAAGATGGTACACATGCCCTCTGTCCATAACTGTCACACCACCAAAGAAAACTACTTAGTTTATAGTATTTAGACACACTTATATTTATTTTTATAATAAAAGATTTTTTTATTATTTTTTATTTATTTTTTTTTTTTTGGACAAGGTCGGGGGCAAGGGGTGTGGATAAACGGAAATCTAATGAATTAAAACAAAATAAAAAATTGATCACAAAAAAAAAAAAAAAGGAAAGATTTACAAAAATGATCAGGATCAGATGAGCTCATGCGCAACCACTGTTGAATTTTTGGTGCACAAGTAACTTTCCATCTTTTCTTCATTTTTCATCAGCAGCTTCAGTGTGATTTACCTTTGAGCTCTTCTTCCAATTCCCTGAGTTTACACTTTTCCCTTCCTCCTCTTCCTCCTGTGGGAATTCCACCAGTTCACTGGTCTTGATCTCAGTCCGACAGAGAGGGCAGCGAGCTCTTTCCTACGACAGACCACACACAGAGAAAGACAGACTGTTATATTAGGGCAGATTTATAATTATTGGTATGGTAGTGAAAAGTGATTCAGAGGTCTTCAACTTAAAAAAAACAACAGCCTCTGGGAGGATCTGCAGCCTCTCAGTTTTCAGCCTTATCATCTATTATGAGGATAAATCGATGCACCGATTGGCTGCCTTAATATCTGCAGTGCAGATAAATGCAGAGGCGGAAAAACACCACTTCAGAAGAACACACACTAATACGCACACACACGACCCAGGATCTGACCCCAAACAGGAAGAGACAACTTGAAGTGCTGCAGTGGTTACGACAGTGTGTCTCCAAGTGGTGTGTTAAAGTTAAAGTGTTATTTTCACTTTCTCACATTTCATGTGTGACTTGACTCTACAACACTAAAGCAAAACCACAGTAAAGCATGAGGAAGCTGGAGGAAAGGAACCAGTTTTCCCATGCACGGTGGTGCAAATCGGTCCTATCTCTGTGCCAACAAGGAAGCTGCTTTTGCACATCAGCGTTTAGCGCCTGAGAGAAATATGTGAATATGTGTTTAAGCCTTTTATATTACAGGTCTTTTCTTCATTCAGAGTGTTCACCTGCTCTGTGCTGATAACCTGGGCGATGCACGGCCGGCAGTAAACGTGGGCGCAGTGCGTGATGACCGGCAGATGGACTGAGCACAGACACACGGAGCACTCTTCATCCGAGCCGCTGGCCAGCACCAGGCGCAGCTTTTCTATCAGGCGCTCCCGCAGCTCGGCGGGTGTTGCTGAAGCACCTACATGATTATTTTAGGACATTTATATGAGACAGAAAAGACACAACTAAAAAAGTAGAACTGAAGACACAAAGTATATATACCTTTGAGTTTTAATCAAACTGTCATCACTAATGTAAAGGTTATATGATCACGAATGTCACTTTGCTGTTAGAACAATCAAATACAACACTAGATATTTTAACTTCAAGCTAATTGTAGACTTAGTTAACATCCATTAATGCAAAAATATATTTTTTAAACTTGTTATTGGGTCATTTATTTAAATCAGACCTCAAAACACAATGTGATCCAGTCAGTACTTATCAAGGGTTTTACCCAGGTCGGAGGTGATCTTCGCCAGCAGATCAGAGTGGCAGCAGTGCAGCCGGAGCTTCATTAGGATGACCAACACATCGGCGTAATTCCTCAAAACTGTCTCTTCAGCTACATATCTGCAGGTGGAAACACAGTAACACGATTTTAAGGATCCAGAAGTATCTAAAGCACAGTAGAGAGTAAGACCTCGTCCACACACACACTACATAAATAAACCGCGTACCTGCTGATGGTGCTCCTTCCCTCTTTGCGTGCCAGTTCGTACTCTTCTCTCTCAGCCTGGCTCAGCTCGACCTGCTCCACACACACTGTCTTCTCAGGCAGAGACACCAGGGGGCGCCCGTTGACTTCACTGCTCTTGGTCCGCCTCAGGGTGATGCACTTCACCAGGGTCTGAAGGTTCCTGCACGGTAACAATAATCAAATTTTTGGGATTTTTTTAAATTTTATATATATATGTATATATATTTATATATAAATAATTTTATATTATTTATTTAATTTAATACTTTAATAATTTAATATTCATTTTTTTATTTTTTATTTTATATATATATATATATATATATATATATATATATATATATATAAATAATTTTATATTATTTATTTAATTTAATACTTTAATAATTTAATTTAATAATTTAATATTCATTTATTTATTTTATATTTTATTTTTCCAGGATAGAGGAAAATGCAAAAGATGTACGAAGAGAGAAAATTGCGAGATTTGAATGATATTACATCTCAGCTGTAATTCCACACAAACTGAACCTCTTTCCTGACCAGCTGTGTCTTCATATTTAAAAGTAAACAGCGCCCTCTGGAGTGTACTGCTTCATTGCAGCTGTGTTATAAATGAATCAGTGAGCACTCACTGCAGGCCGACCCTGTCTCCTTGAATGGCGGGTCTCTGTATCACTCGGTTCCACCAATCCTTCACATCGAAGGGCTTCAGACGTAGGAAAGCCAGCAGCATCCACAGGTCCTTCACATGGTTCTGGATAGGAGTACCTGAACAGAAGGGGTTCAGAGAAACGTACTTCTGTGATATAATATCATATTGATGTGAAATCTGATATTTTCATTGAGTAAAAGTTGAACTCATGTTTAAATGCAGGTATACCTGATAAAATCCAGCGCCGTTGAGCTTTGAGGTCCAGCACAGACTTACTCATCTTCGCATTGGAGTTTCTTATGATGTGCCCTTCATCCAGAACCACCCTCAGCCAATTGATACCATGCAGGGGACTCTTATTCTGAAAAGGTAACAAACAAATGATATTTTAAAGAAGAAACTTCCTCTGACCCTACATTAATCTCGATATCTGTTCCTCATGCTCCCTCAGTTGTGAACTTTTATTTTCTTTGACATGTCTGGACCTGTTATGACAGATTTACACTGGAGCCACTCACCAGAGGGAGCTCTAAAAACGTCTTATTTTACCTGACTCCCTCTGTTCTGAGTAAGCCCTCTGGCTCAGCTCACAGAATCAGACCTCAGATCGCATGTGACCTCTCTGAGCTCACCCCAAAGTCTGAAGAGAGGACGTTGTAGGTGGTGATCACCACGTCCTGAGAGGACAGGAACTTCTTGCTTCTGTTGCGCTCAGAGCCGTAATACAGGTAGACGTTTAGCTTCACATCGGGACGCACGTGTTGCTCCAACTGGTCCTGGACAAAAACAGGAGAAGGGAAACAGGACACAAGACAACTTAAAAGGTGGAGAGGTGGTTTGATTCTCTTTTCAATGGTGTCTGGTTCTCCTTGTGTTCCTACCAGCCAGTTGCTCAGCACAGAAAGCGGAGCAATGATGAGAGTCGCTCTGGCCGATAAGTCTTCTGCACTCTCAGGGATGGACGATCCTACACCTGAGAATTAAAAAATAAACATCATTCAGCACAAAAAGTGATGAAGAAAACTAAAAAGTAGCGTCAGACCTTACCTGGTGTGGGAGCGGCCTTTTTAGCTGTTTTCTTCTTCTTCTTAGCGCTTTGATCTGGAGCTGAGCCTCCCAGCGCCGCGGCGAAGTCCAGATCCTCCAGCAACACTGGGGCCTCTGCACATTAAATGTAGAGATCAATGTTTTCAAATTGTGATGTATGAGAAAAATTAAAATACAGTCTTCATGGCCTTTATCTTCACCTTGCTTTCGTTTGGTGGCTTTCTTTTCTTCTTTGCTCTTGGCTGTGCGGAGAGGTCGAGAAAAATGTTTGTTGACAATGAAACAGGATAGAAAAAGTAAAAAACAGTGATTGGAGCTGTATATACAATCAGAAAAAAAAAGATTTTTACCTGTATCTGAATTGACCGCCTCTTCCACCACATCTGACAAATTAGCAGCCATCGTCTCCAACTTATATCTGATACAAAGAGGACATCACAATATGTTAGAGGAACTCACCTCCTGGTCACTCTGTGGACAAAGCACTTCTTTCTTTTCTTGTCTTCTACATGCTGAAGTTGTAAGTTTTGACAAAAATACCTCAGCTGACTTTAGACAGTTGAACTGAGAACATTTTATGACACCTACCCCTTCACTCTGATTTCTTGCATTAAAAATTATAGCATCAAAATGATCAATCCTGTTGCTGATGGTCTTGTTCGCTTTTGGTCAAGCTCATGGACGTAAAAAAGTTCCTTATAGGAGCTTTAAAAAGGTTTGAGTTTGAAAATTTTGACATTTTTTTCCTACAATCAGCTGAATCACATGATGGAATTCAGAGCCTAGCTTACATGTTGGTTTTGGTCAGTTTATCAACAGAGGGAGCTGAGCTGAGCAGCCCGATACATAAAATCCCACTTAAACAAATAAAGATCTGCTTCTTACAGATCTGGTTGCATCAAACTTGCAGCTCCATCACTGAGTCCTGCACTGCTGCCTCCTGAAAAAAAACAACAACACATCATCATGAGTGATCTTCTCCCGTTTCAGTCAAATATTTACATCTGCAGCTTATTCACTGAACCTTCTTGTTTGGAGGCCACGTGTGGTTTACTTTTGGCTTTGAGAGGTGACGACTGCTCCTCCTGCAAACATGTAAACAAACACTTGAAAACTGTTGAATTCAAGTCAACACGTTTATTGAAAACTACGTTTTTACACCAACACTACTTACACATTTCTCCACAGGCAGAGGCTTTCCTTTGTGAAAGTTGGTGAGGATCAGAGCGATGGTGGTCAGAGTTTTTCCCTGGGACACAGAAACAGTGGTTTTAGTGTTGATGCTTAAATAGTAGCAGTGTTGAGATATCTTACTGCTCTACCTCTAAAATGTGTTGATTTTTTTTTACTAATCTTTACATCTTAAAAGTGGAGATAATATCACATTAACATGCTTATATAAATTGAACAGATATATTTTATATATTTATATATTTTATTTGAAATGCCAAAGTCTACGACTACAACTGATGAGTACCTCAAGTTTTCAGTCAGAAATGTGTGAAACTAATGCGACCGTGTATGTTTTCATGTATATTTACCGAGTTTTGGCCGATCACCGATTAGTCTCAAACGGGCAAAAATTGGCCTATTTAATCGGCTCGACGATAAATCGGTCGGGCCCTTATATTTACACTAACCAGTCCCATGTCATCAGCCAGGATGCCCCCTCGAACCCTCTCTGGTATTTCTCTGGCAGAGAAACATGTCAGGCTGTTATAGTACAGATCCCCTCTCTTCTCCCAGAATGGCGGCAGTCCAGACTTGTTTTCTCGAGCACACATCCAGGACAGCGCCTGCTTCTGGTGCGGCAGGAGAGGAGTGCCCACAGACTGCAGAGAGAGATGGTGGCACAGCACTGAGACACCGACAGAAATACACAACTTTGTGGACAACTACTTCAGGATAGATTATCCAAAATCTGCAAAAAGAAAGGAGATCATCTAGAAACCATCAGCTACTAGTAATAGACTCATAGTTGGAAGAGTCTAATAACTGGGTAGCTCCGGTTGGTACCCCCCTATACCCATAAAATATCTCACAATATCCAGAACAAACAATTACTCACTGATCAAATTACTGCAACAATACAAAGTAAAACTAAGTGAGACGATAAGATCAGAACAAACACGTCCTATATTCACCTTCGCAGCTTCTTTCTCTCCATCTTTGCTCTCCGTCAAGCCTTCAAACAGGTTGTCAAAAGCATTTTTCAGCTGAAGGGAAAAAAAAGTGTTGAAAAGGCAACATAAACACCAAATATTCGATTAAATCTTCACTAAAAAACTTAAATGATAAATTAAACTTGGACTAAGAGTGAGAAGATTACCTCTTCTGCAGTTAGAGCGGTGGTCAAACCTTTTTTAGATGCCAGTGCGCGAGCAGATTGACTGTAATCTGATTTGTAGTTCGCCCCTGGAATCAAACACAAGCACACAGTCGATAAACAGTCAGTGACGTTTTTGAGAGTGTTAGAAAACTGATTCAACAGCCTTCGTTAAACAGTTAATGTGATAGGCCAGCAGGAAGAGAAGGTTTGTACCAAATAGTTTCCCACTCATGTCCAGTTTATATCCACGGCGTGCCATGCTTTCAATCACAGCCTTTTTGTTCTCTTCTTTCCCCCAGAAGGAGAGCATCACCGGCATGCTGAATTTGTTATTTGTGCCTGTATGCACCACCCTGACACAGTAAACACAAAACACACAATGATCACTGACTTTCCTTGAATGCTGAAAAAATAGTGAATATGTGGAGACTGCAAGAACATATCAATGTCAATTTCTATTCTACTCACCCCTCTACTTTTGCCAAGTTCTTGTCCATGATGTAGGCCATTGCTGCTGCCAGCTCCTTCTTGATGTGGCCCACCTGGTTGCCATAAACGTTGGCTACCATCACTGCATTGCGGTCATATGGATTCTGAGGCTCACGCACCAACCCAACCATTTCTCCTCGATTTACCTGTCCAGAGAGTCAGAAACAGACAACTTCAGGTGTCTCTAAACACATCTGCACTTGATTGTATTTAAGTACATCACTCCAATTGGTGATTAAAGGGGATTCTGATTGATTCTCACCACTCCAGTGTAATATCTGAGGCCCACCACAGTGCCTTGCAGACTCCCAAACTGCACACTGCCGTCTGCGTCCGGCTCCTCAGATACGGCAGCTCTGATGGCCTGAGAAAGAGTCTCCACGTTGGACTCATCTCTGTCTGTGAAGAGGTCCACCTCAGTGTACCTGTCCCAGCCAAACCTCCACCTGCTGGGAAGCATGTCACCTGGAGTAACAAAAACATAAAGAGGTCACATGAAACTTTGACGGTCCCACATTATAAGAAAATCCTTGCACATATATTTTGAAAGATGTTAATAGAATACGACTGAAGTGGGTTAAATAATAAAACTTTTGCCTTCTCACTTCCACCAGGGACGCGTCTCTAAATCTGGACCTAAGTCTCTCATCTTTCAGACATTTTCAGAAACGAAGAATTGTAGCTGAAGAGCACAAACCCAATGTTAAGAGGAAGAAAATGATGCCAAAAGGCTCACTGAGCTAACCAAAACATGTCTCTCTAAAGCCCCGTGAGCTGTTTAACACGCTAATTAGAGATCCCACACACCCATCACTTCTCATAAGACTGTTTTAGTGACATAACGTGATTTTAGCAAGTTAAAACTTCATTATTAGCTTAAAGCATATTGACTGTTCCGCGATTACTTCGAAATATCTGTCAGACAAAGCGTCTGTTTCAACAAGTATCAACAGTTTCGTACTTATTTTCTCTCCTACGGCTGTTGTTTCTGATGCAGTTTCTTGTTTAGTGTTTCTGTTCTTCTTTGTTATATTTGTTCTGCTAATGTTGGTTTCTCCTGTTTTGGGAATCAAACATGTCACGTATCCGGAGTTAGTAAACCACTTCCGGTAGTGACCTTCAAAATAGTTTATTTTTGGAGAAGAGCTATTTTATGAACTAAATGGAAATGCTGAATTTATGAACCGTATTTTGAATGAGTCTGGATATTTGTGTAAACAGGGCAACAACAATTTATTTGTATATCCACCTTTAATAGGGGCCTAATGAATTACATTACTACTTTCAGTGTGAAATTTATTTTTGTTACTGTTTTTTAATGAACTGAAAAAGGAATAAGAAAAATTATTGGAAAAATTGTGTGAAATGGTTTGAGATGGAGGACACTCACAAGTCTGCCACAACACTGTGCACATTGGGTGCTATATATATATATATATTTATTTATTTTTTGTATTTTTCTTCTTCTTTCTCCTTGTGTGACTGTGACTTTGTGTATATTATTTTGTGTAATTTATGTTTATACAGAAAATGAAATTGAAAATGATTTTTTTTTTGTAAATAAATGTCTAACCACTTCACTCATGCTTCTAACCTTCACAGACCCATGAATTGATGCCCATCTCCTAAATATTTGGTCACATGATCAATTTCTTTTACCATTTTCAAGCAACAGGGGGTGGCTCAACCCCACTCTCCCCCATGACTTGTGAGCCGGTCAAAACGATATAAGGGAGTCTGAATTTCCCCTTGTATTGGAGATGGTGGATAAGTCAACAAATTCTCTTTTTTGCAGTTCTTGAACAATATATGTCAATTTTCTACTGCTTCAAAGCTCTTAATATTCAGGCTTTTATTTTGAAGTTGGAGTCAGCTCATTTCCTCCGTTGATTCTGTTCATTTCACTACAGCTTGACATGCGCAGACTAGCCGCAGGTCAACGCCATCTACGTTTTACGCGCCTCTTACATTTTGCCCAATGAGCCCTACGGAAGCCGAGAGGTCCCTTTTCCCCGGTTTGCTTCTACGACGTTCCGCTTCCCCTCCCGTTCACGAAGCTCCTCCCCGGGCTCAGCAAAAAAAAAAAAAAAAATCCAGTCTGAGAGTAGTTGGGAGAGACGGGAATAGAGAGTCTGATAAAAAAAATAATATCATATTTCTCCTTCACATCTCCGGGGAAGAGTAGGCTTTGGGTCTGGGCTGAGAAGGAGAGAAAAAATCAGCAGAGACGGGGCGGAGATTGAGGAGTTTGTTTAGAGCGAGAGTGAGACTTTTACAGCTGACAGCAACCGGTAAGTTTAATTTACTCATTCATTAGTCGGTCAGTTAGTTTGTCAAACACTTTGCGTAGTTTGTAAATCTTAAAAGTTACCTCAAGTGTTGTTTTTGTTACAGGAAGTGGTCTAACACAATCTAAAAATGACAAGGAGACACTTTTCCTGTCTGCTAGGAGAATGAAGACAAAATACAACAAGACATTAGTGTTTGTGGTATCGTGGCTTCATTTCTCTGTCATTTAAGCAGCCAATGTCAGTCTACAGTCAGTTTCAAAACAAGATATCTGCAACAAAAGCCATTTGGTCTCCAAGATTTTCAAGTTGCAAACCCCAATAAATTTTAGTTAAGTTTTAACAGGACACCAGAGATGAACTTTAGGCTTGAGTCACTTTAAATGCACATGGTTGACAGAGCAGACAAATCTCATCCCGACAGTTAAATATGACATTTAATTGTGAGTAATTCATGCAGAAACTGTAAAAATAAAGCTTGTTTCTTTGGATGTAAGACTTACACCTACCCCCTTACTCTGGTTTTAGGCATAAAGGCATCAATATGAACTTAAGTCAGTTTCATTATTATCTAAAACTCCTCATAGTACCTTTAAAGCTCCTATGAAGAAATTAGTTTCATTTTGGCGCACCCAGTGGACAACCTAATACCTCTTATTTCTATTTCCAGCTTGTCTACAATCTCAGAGGAGAGGCAATTTACTTTATTTTACTCTTGTGAATAAAGCTACTCACCTACTCTATTCCAGCAGTCGCTTGTGTGTAGGGAGACCTCAGCCAGTCCATTACGGACTATAGCGGGGTGACACAGCTCAAGGAAGAACATTTATGATCATTTCTTCATGGAAATGCAATCAGACTGAGACGCTAAGACAGAAGACCCACCGCGTTTGCAGTGCAAAATGATTGATATGATGATTATTACTTAAAGGAAATGATAAAGAAATTATCATAAATGTTCTTCCTTGAGCTGCGTCACCCCACTGCAGTGGATAGACTCACCCGAGGTCTTGCTACAAACAAGTGGCTGCTGCTTTGACCCTAAATTAATTTTACGCTGGAATATCCCTTTATGGTTGCAGTATTAACAACATGAAAATGTGAACCCTACAAGATCTGATGTAAAGAAAAGATGGTTGTTTGTCAAACAAAAGTCCAATTAATAATTTCTGACACATTCCTGAAAGTTTGTCAATCTAACTGATCTAACTAATGAGCTTTAAAGTTGAAACAGATTGCTATCTGCACCTGCATGTAGACGTCTGTTTAAAAAAATTGTGTAATATTAGAGTTAGCGTCAAAGTTAGACTTGTAGCAACCAAAAGGAGTGTCACAGTGGCGTGTTTTCTGCTTGCTTTTGCTCTCCACGCAAAATCTTAAAAACATGGCTTTAACGGGGAGAGTTTGGACTCCTTGTCTCCTTGTCTGTAAATGCCTAACATCAACATCCAGCCTCCTGCAGGTACACTGAACCAGTCATTCATGCCCAGAAGCCTAACAGGCTGTGACTGTGAGTCCAGAGTGCAGTCTTGTACCTGCTCCAGGTTGTACAGTGAAGTTTTGACAGAGAGGTGGAGGCGGCTGTTTGAATAACAGGATAAGGTGTTCAGTGTGGGCGTGCAGCTGGACACTGTGTTTACACTTCAATCACTGCCAGAGCTATAATCACTGAGGTGACTGCAGTGTGTACTAAAGTGTTTGGCTCTGTGTGTGTTTCTGTTTTAGTGAATGAAAAAAGGTAAAGGCGGGTAAAGTGTGTGTGTGTGTGTGTGTGTGTGTGTGTGTGTGTGTGTGTGTGTGTGTGTGTGTGTGTGTGTGTGCATGTGTGTGTGTTTGTGTGTTATAGCTTCATCACTCCTTCCAGGAAGTCTTCAGCTGAATTTCCTTTTATAGAAGCCGAACACAAAAGACTTGCTGTCCACTTCCTGTAAACAGCCCTTGCGACTGTGTTTGCTGTGCTCCGATTGGCCGGACCCGTCCTGTGACCCCTTTTGGAGCTCGGGGAGTTCCAGGATGAGGAAGTGGGCTTCCCTTGGTGGCTGCCAGCCACAGGGAATAGAAAGTCCTCTGGTGCAGTGAGAAGTCAAAGAATGAGGAATAGAAAATTAGGAAGGGCAGAGGGATGGTGAAAGAGAGGCTCTGTGGATTGAGAACAGATGACAGATGCAGTTGGACGCCATCTGGATGTAAAATAGCCAGTGAGGTTACCAACAGAGGAGCATGGAGACAGGAATGTGGAGGAAAAGTGCAGCCAGTAGTTTTAAATGGAAGACATTCACATCAGTGGAGCTGTAACAGTCAATAAATCAGTAAAATGTCTGTAACAAGATCAGCCTGCTGTTTACAATGTTGAATATTGTCATATTGTTTTATGGACATTGGAACAAACGTCTGGCACTCACAGAGGTGTCATATTTTCTGTAGCTACTATATTCAACAATGTCTTTTTGACTTTAGCTCAGGCTTAAAGTCAAAAGCCCATAACGTGAATGTTATGCCACATTGATTTGCCATTTCTAACTTGGTTTTATTTGCACATTGGCGTCTTTCTCTACATTTTCTTTTTATCATTCACTGAGACGGTTCAACTGCTTTTATAGATTTTTCACAGCTAATGGGCAGTGCAACAGGTTATAAAGATAAAACAGTCTTCAGAGGAGGTGTGTGTATGTTTGTTGAGCAAACAAGTTAACATGGACTCATTATTCACTTCTTTTTTTTTGTTTTTTTGTCTCTCACCAAATCCTGAGGTGATACCTGACTCTAAAATCATGAGAAAACAGTTGACTTCCTACTTACAAATACAAAACTGATGCTTAAAGACACTGACAGTAAGAAATTCAAGGATGTTGATACAGATAATGAGAGAGCAGGTCAGCTGATGGCCAATGCAGAATCCTGATATCGCCTTTTTTTTTGTGCATTTGACAAATTATGAGAGTATAAACCTGCTAGCTAATGACAAAGAAAACCGCTAAACGAGAGTCCATACTGCTCTGCAAACCTTTGAATTTCTTCTACAAAACCCAATTCCATTGAAGTTGGGAAAATGTGATAATCGTAAATAAAAACAGAGCGTGTTACAACAGCGTGGCTTCGTAGTAAAAGAGTGTGGGTACTCGACTGGCCTGCCTGCAGTCCAGACCTGTCTCCCATTGAAAATATGTGGCGCATTATGAAGCGTAAAATACGACAACAGAGACCCCGGACTGTTGAACAACTGAACCTGTACATCAAGCAAGAATGGGAAAGAATTCCACCTTCAAAGCTTCAACAATCAGTCTCCTCAGTTCCCAAACATTAATTGAGTGTTGTTAAAAGGAAAGGTGATGTACACACGTGGACAAAATTGTTGGTACCCCTCAGTTAAAGAAGGAAAAACCCACAATTCTCACTGAAATCACTTGAAACCTACAAAAGTAACAATAAATAAAAATTTATTGAAAATTAAATAATCAAAATCAGCCATTACGTTTGAAATGTTGATTAACATAATTATTTAAAAAAAACAAACTAATGAAATAGGGCTGGACAAAAATGATGGTACCTCTATAAAAGATTGAAAACTATTTGACCAGAGTGACATGATTAACTCAGGTGTGTCCTTTAATTGACATCACAGGTGTTTCCAAACTCATAATCAGTCAGTCTGCCTATTTAAAGGGAGACAAGTAGTCACTCTGCTGTTTGGTGAAAAGGTGTGTACCACACTGAACATGGACAACAGAAAGCGAAGGAGAGAATTGTCCCAGGACATCCGAAAAAAAATTATAGACAAACATCTTAAAGGTGCAGGCTATAAGACCATCTCTAAACAGCTTGAAGTTCCTGTGACAACAGTGGCTCATATTATTCAGAAGTTCAAGACCCACGGGACAGTAGCCAACCTCCCTGGACGTGGCCGCAAGAGGAAAATTGATGACAGATTGAAGAGACAGATCGTTCGAATTGTATCCAAAGAGCCCAGGACAACCTCCAAAGAAATTAAAGGTGAACTCCAAGGCCAAGGTACATCAGTGTCAGATTGCACCATTCGTCGTTGTTTGAGCCAAAGTGGACTTCATGGGAGACGACCAAGGAGGACACCACTGCTGAAAAAAAATCATAAAAAAGCGAGACTGGAATTTGCAAAAATGCATGTTGACAAGCCACAAAGCTTCTGGGAGAATGTCCTTTGGACAGATGAGACCAAACTGGAGCTTTTTGGTAAGGCACATCAACTCTATGTTCATAGACTCAAAAACCAAGCATACGAAGAAAAGAACACTGTCCCTACGGTGAAACATGGAGGAGGCTCAGCAATGTTTTGGGGCTGCTTTGCTGCATCTGGCACAGGGTGTCTTGAATGTGTGCAAGGTAAAATGAAATCTGACGACTATCAAGGCATTCTGGAGAGAAATGTGCTGCCTAGTGTCAGAAAGCTTGGTCTCAGTCGCAGGTCATGGGTCTTCCAACAGGACAACGATCCAAAACACACAGCCAAAAACACCCAAGAATGGCTGAGAGAAAAGCGTTGGACTATTCTAAAGTGGCCTTCCATGAGCCCAGATCTGAATCCCATTGAACATCTGTGGAAGGAGCTGAAACATGCCATTTGGAGAAGACACCCATCAAACCTGAGACAACTGGAGCAGTTTGCTCATGAGGAGTGGGCCAAAATACCTGTTGACAGCTGCAGAACACTCATTGACAAATACAGAAATCGTTTAATTGCAGTGATTGCCTCAAAAGGTTGTGCAACAAAATATTAAGTTATGGGTACCATCATTTTTGTCCAGCCCTATTTCATTAGTTTGTTTTTTTTAAATAATTATGTTAATCAACAATTCAAAAGTAATGGCTGATTTTGATTATTTAATTTTCAATAAATTTTTATTTATTGTTACTTTTGTAGGTTTCAAGTGATTTCAGTGAGAATTGTGGGTTTTTCCTTCTTTAACTGAGGGGTACCAACAATTTTGTCCACGTGTGTAACACAGTGGTAAACATGCCTCTGTCCCGACTACTTTGGCACGTGTTGGAGCTATGAAATTCTGAGTTAATTATTATTTGCAAAAAAAAAAAATAATAAAGTTTATGAGTTTGAACGTTGAATATCTTGTCTTTGTAGTGTATTCAATTGAATATCGGTTGAAAAGGATTTGTATTCTGTTTTTATTTACGTTTATCACAATTTTCCAACTTCAATGGAATTAGGTTTTGTTTCTAAAATGAGTGTGTAAGACAAAAAAATACAAAGTAAATATTTGGTTAAAAACCCAGATTAAGATCCATCATACCATGTGCATAACAGTGAAATCTAAGAGGGAGTCTATGCTGATTTGAAGCCGATTATGTCAAAAGGTCAGTAATCGGCCTGACTTATTAATCAGCCTAATACCCTGGGTAACCCTGATCCCAACCATGCTGTTCAGTAAGATTTTCAAAGTTTGACATGACACAATGAGCGCTAAATCTTTGAAGCTAGCTCCTAATGATTGACAGAAATGATCCCAGTTTCCTGCTATTGCAGAGTTAAATCACTTCAGCAGTATAAGGGAGTGTTCAGTTAAACACGCACACACACACACACATGCGCCTGTGGCCCGCGGTGCTTATGTGTGCACCTGCCTGCTCCTCTCAGCTTTTTCCCTGCTGCACGCAGTAAGCTTAGCTCAAAGCTACGTTAAAGATGTTCAACAAGTGCTCACAATGGAGCCCCTGTTGGCAAGGGGAGTGTGTGTTTGAGGGTAGGGAATGTGTGTATGGGATGGGGCCTGTGCGTGTGTGTGTGTGTGTGTGATGAACAGGAGAGTACGCGCAGCCCTGCAGCCATGGAATTCCTGCAGAGAGACAACTTGTCTCAGCCTGGCCTGCCTTCACCCAGCACTCAGTCAAACACACACACACACACACACACACATATACACACTGAGACTCTGAAAATGCACATTAACGCTGGACTGGGGCTAATTTTATCCTGCCAGGGCAAGAACACACTCGTCCCGGCCAATATCTCTGTGGAATGAGGCAGCCTGCTAAGACCTGCCCCGAGAGGCAGAAAAGAGAGAGCGAGGTTTTCAAGTCAGTGAGAGCTAAGTAGACGGATAAGCACACGAAAAACCAGAGCTGGACTCACTTACTTGGAGTTAAGTGTTTGACTGGTCTTCTGTGAGACGCAGAAGAGGCGACAAACAGGTGAGTGCTTTACAGCTTGTGTGATAGAGGCATTCAGCTGAGGTTTAAAAGGAGAGCTTAAAGATCTTTGTTTTCTGTCGGTGGACTGGCTCCTGAGGTTGTGTTTTTCTGCTCCTCTGCTTCATGCCACAAAGGAAGTTTTAAGATGTGAAAATTAGTACAAGTGTTAACTGTGGTGGCACTTTTATAAAGGTTAAGTTAATTGAACATTAATAAACTAATCCATGAAGCAGAGAGGAGAAATGATGCAGCTTTGAGTCATTTCTGAAATGTGCTCAGCTTTCAGCCCGAGGACACTGTTGCTTCACAAGACAAACCAGCTTGTGCACTTTAACCTGATGGTGTGAATAAGTGTGTAAGTGAATGAGTTAAATCCTGAAATCAGTACATCTCATTAAGTGGAGCTTTATTTCATTCATGCTGTGATTATTTTGGTCTTCAATGTGATCCGGGTCAGCAGAGCAGCAACATGACAGTAAACTCCAGGTGTGAATTAGAGGTCACAGACAAACCTACCTGAGCCACGTCTGTGATCCGGGGTTTTATACGCGCTGTGTCATCGGTGGTCAGACACAGGAAGTGAGGAAACCTTTGTTTGCTTCCTTTTTCCTGTCTGTGATGTCAGAAAAAAAAAAGTAGGCTGCAGCTTAGAGTCAACTTAACTGCTTGCTCTGCAGGACTGTAAAAGGTGGAAATGTGGTTGTGGGTTTCGTGCATGTGTGTGTGTATGGGAGTGCGTGTCTGCAATCTCAGTTTTCACCATATTTGGGTAATGGATGATACTCAGTGTGAAAGAAGAGTTCAGATGAAACTGTCAAAATAAAAGTCCTGCTTATACAATCACAATACAACCCAAAAAACAAAAACTTACATTCATAGAGAAGAGTAAAAAGCTGCTTTTTCCTGAAGTATCATTTAAAACAACTAAAAATCCATTTATTTGATTGTCTTTTTTAAAGCTATAGTAGGCAACACTGTGCCATAAGAATTCTGCTAAAATTAAAGCAAGTTTTAATCATTTCATACACCTCTAAAAACATTAATCTTAAATGTTCCTTCTAATCTATGATTGTAAGAACCTACCACTTATATTTGTTTTTTTAAGAAACTGGTCAAGTCTGAATCAAACAACCAATCAGAGCTAGCTTGCTCACAGTCTGTACCTTTATTTTACCATCTAGTGGTAGTTTATGGGGGTCTAGATCTTCAACATGGGAAGTGTTGTGGTATTCTGTGTCGTATTAGCCAGTCATGTTTCAGCAGGCTTTGGTGTATGCAGAAAAACAGTGAAAAGCAAAATTTGTGGATATCTGCTGGCAAGAGCAGCAATTGGTCTGTTAGCTTAGTCAGTTTGAAGTTTCAGCTTGATACAAATCTGCTGTGTGATGCTCGGAAAAAGGTAGATTGCCTTCTCCGGGTTGAAGGGAAGGTCCTGCCTCAAGTGGAGGAGTTAAAGTATCTCGGGATCTTGTTCATGAGTGAGGGTAGGATGGAACGGGAGATCAACAGGTGGATCAGAGCGGCGTCAGCAGTGATGCAGACGCTTAACCGATCAGTCGTGGTGAAGAAAGAGCTGAGCCGTAAGGCGAGACTCTTGATTTACTGGTCGATCTACGTGCCGACCCTCACCTATGGCCATGAACTTTGGGTAATGACCGAAAGAACGAGATCGCGGATACAAGCGTCCAAAATGGGTTTCCTTCGCAGGGTGGCCGGGCTCAGCCTTAGAGATAGGGTAAGGAGCTTGGACACTCGGGAGGCACTCAGAGTAGAACCGCTGCTCCTCCACGTCGAGAGGAGTCAGCTGAGGTGGCCTCTGGACACCTTCCATTAGAGGTGTTCCCGACATGTCCCACCGGAAGGAGACCTCGTGGCCGACCCGGGACCAGGTGGAGGGATTATATCTCTCGCCTGGCCTGGGAGCGCCTGGGAATCCCCCTGGAGGAGCTGGTGGAAGTGGCTGGGGTGAGGGCCGTTCGGGGTTCCCTCCTGAAGCTGCTGCCCCCGCAACCGGACCCGGATAAGCGGAAGAAAATGATGATGATGACGACAATGATGACGACAACAATGACAACAGTGACGACAACGACAGCAACCATTTTAACAGCTCTGCTCCTCTTGAAGACAGATCTGACATTTATACTTTCTATAAATCTTTAACACAGTGATTTTTGTTTTTTTTTCTAGGAAAACGAGATAATATGATCAGTTTCTTTTTGGGGTTAATGCTGTAGTTGTTATTTTTAATTGTTCGAGTAAGGGGCAGGCACGCATAAGAATCTTTGTTCTTCTTGTTGCTCCTTTCCAATCATGGAGGTGTTGATTTGACAACGTTGTGTGCTTGTGCAAATTCTGTTGTCCACTTTCATGTGAGGAACAAAGAAACAAATTAAAAAAGGGAAAAAAAGTAGCAAAACAGTAAAGTGTCTGTGAAAGAGTGAAAGAGAAGATGAGAAATTAAGCTACTACCCTGACTTGTTCCTGAGGGGATATTTGCCACTCAATGTCTGAAAACGATAGACGACAACTGCTGATCAGTTTTAACAATTTGCTCGCACTGAACCAGCCAATCACAGTAAGTCGATAGAAACTTGCAGCATTCAACCTTGACCTGACTTGTGCCTGCATCTCTCTTATTCTGGTTCTTCTCCTCAGTACAGTAAAGTACAGCTGCTGTGGATACACAACAGCTGTTGCTTTTTAACCTTTTTGTTGGGAGGTATATCGATTGGCTGTCAGTGTTTCTGTCCTGTGAGTTTGACTCAACCAGCTGAGTGGAACAGACAGTTTGCATGACATTCAGTGTGGATTTTAGTGCATTGATTGTTGGGAGAGAGCGAGCAGAGGGAAGAGTGAGAGGTTTTTCCATTGGACAATCACATCGCAAACCCTACTTTAATTGATGTATTTGACACTGAAATTGCATTTTACTTTACTTTTCATTCTATGTATACAAACTTAGTGAGTCATAATCTGAACAACAGCTGACGAGTCTGCATTTCCTCCTTTGAAATAAGTGCTTTCATCCGAAGCGGCTAAAAAAAAAGAAGTCTCACAAGAGTAAAAATAACAAATTTCCAGACAGACGGAAGTATGCATTTTGTGATTTGTGTTGAGGGGGTAGTAAATAAGTAAGTGATATGTGGTTTGAGGCGTTTGCAGCATGGTAGACTTGAATTTGATTTGGGCAAACGCCGGTGGACAGGAAGCAAAAAGAGGAGAGCAGATTGGCTTTCATGAAAGAATAAAAATGTAAATTTTAGTCTCTAGATGTGAAATATTTCTTCCTTTTCTAACAGAGTAGAAACATGACATTAAAGTTAAGTTTGCCTTTCTTTGACCTCTTTCATCTCAGTCTCTCTTTTACTGCTCTCCTCATTTTCCATACCTAAACTTTAACTTCCAACCTTATCTCTCTCTCTCTCTCTCTCTCTCTCTCTCTCTCTCTCTCTCTCTCTCTCTCTCTCTCTCTCTCTCGCTCTCTCTCTTTGTGTTTCTCTCTCTGCCTCCTTTCCTTCCTCATTCATTCGCAAGAGTAAGCGAGACCCAACACGTCACTTTGCCCGTTCAGCGCTGCTTCCTGTTCACACTCTCTGTTCCCCTCTCTCCAACACTCAGAGCTGCTCCACAGATTGTGGCATGGATTGATTTCTTTAGGTCGGTGTGAGTTTTTTCCTTATTTCTTACTTTGCTTCAACCGTTTGTTTACTCTGTTTAGCGTCGGCTGAGCTTGAACTTGATCCGCAGCAGCTTCTCACCAGCGTTTTCGAGCTGACTTTGAGCTTTCACACGCATTGTGAAATACCAAAAAACAGGAAGAGCAGCAGTCGGGTGAGCAGCTGACTTATTGTACTTCTTATATGCACTGTCATGTATCTATCCGCCCTCTGTCTGTGCAGGTGTACTTGTGTGTAGATGTGTGACAGCGGAGTGTGTGAGGACAAGCCCCCCGCCCCCCCTGTCAGGATGAGCAGCCAAGGAGGAGGAACTAAGGACTCCCAGTCAGCCAATCATAAACCGCTGCCGTCTGTACCAGAGGAGAGGAAGTCCAGAAACAAGATCATCTCTATGTTCGCCTCTGAGAAAGGTGAGTGAACAGATCCAAACACCTGGGGAAAAAAGTACCCACTCAATGCAGTTTATAAAAAGGAAGTTGACCTTTGACCTTTATATGCAGGAGGAAGGAAGAAGGATCGGGACAAGGACAGGCCAGAGATCTCCTCCCCCTCAGACTTTGAGCACACCATCCATGTGGGTTTTGATGCTGTCACTGGAGAGTTCACGGTGAGTGCTGACTCCAGAGTTGTGCAACGTACTCATTAAGTTGGGATGATGAACTGACCGCAAGTTTTTGCTTTAAAAGTTTGTAACTCAAAGCAACGAAACACTTCCACCTAACTTCTAACCAAATGTTTACTTCAGGAGTTACAGCAATAACTGCACGTGTTTGCAGATGGAGGGAAGGGGGGGTGTCTAGACTTTTTAATTGGGATGCCCAAACAAATGCACTGATTTATGCAGGAGTGAAATTAAGTCTTTGAAAAGCATTTTCCCACTTAAACTCTGCAGCCTGTTGCAACACAATTGATTGATCATGCAAGTGTTGTTTTCGTTGACGATGACATTGACGAAATATTTTCGTCAATGTCATCGTCAACAAAAACAACACTGGTTGTTTGCCCTTTTTTTCCACAACAAAGACGTGACATTGATGAGCTAAACATAAGTCTTAGATGACTAAAATGTTACGAGACGAATTTGCGTTTACGTTGACGTGACGAGACTAGACTAGACGAAAACGTTAGTGGTAGATGAACAGAGTTACGAAATTCATGAGCATTTCGTCATTGAAACGCTAAACATATATTCTGCAGTGTTGTTTTCGTTGACGATGACATTGATGAAATATTTTCGTCAACGCCATCATCAACGAAAACAACACTGGATGTTTACATTGGCGAAAATATTTCATCAACGTCCCTTTTTTTCACGAAGAAGACATGACATTGATGGGCTAAACATAAGTCTTAGATGACTAAAATGTGAAGAGACGAATGTGCGTTTACGTTGATGAGACAAGACGAAAACATTAGTGGTTGACGACGAACAGAGTTGCAAAATTCATGAACATTTTGGCGTCAAACACTAAACATATATTCTGCAGTGTTGTTTTCGTTGACGATGACTTTGACAAAATATTTTAGTCAAAGTCATCGTCAACGAAAACAACACTGTATCATGCCTTTATTCAGAGAAAGTTTTAAGTGTGAATAGAGCAGGAAACTGAGAGACAAAATGGGAAATGACATGCAGTAAAGAGCCGTAGGTTGGGATACCCACCACAAAGGCCATAACTTCTGTACATGAGTCACCCTAAGTCAAACGGATGCCCCATAAATAGTTTATTTTAACATGACTCTGACAAAGGGAAATAGACATTCATATCTCAGGAATTTGGGTTTGCGCCTTGGGCAGCCAGGCGAAGGAGGGGGTGGTAGAAAAATCCCGAACTTTCCACAAACTTCATGTTAAATCCTTTGGTTCCATATTTAATCATTTTTAACTCACTGTGAATTTCCTGGTAAACCCCCTAATCCCTCTCTAGTAAATCCCATCTAACTCCTTTGTGAAGCCCACCAACTTCCGTCACCTCCTCTCTAAATTTATTTGATTCCCTGAAATCTCTGTGTCGATTTCCAAGCAACTGCCTTGTAACTCCCTGTTAATGCCCCAGTATTAATTCCCTCGTGAACTCCATTATAACTTCTTGTCAACTTCCTTGTTAACTTTGACGTGACTGCCATGTAACTTTGTTACTCCAAGTAACTCTGTTGTAACTTCCTGGTAAGTCTGGGCAATCTCTCCACCAACCACACAGTATTGTTGGGCAATTTCTCGAAGTTTTTCCAGCAACTAGAGAATATGGTAATGTGGGCTCTGTCACAAATTTAAACTTGAATCCAGCAACACATTGAATATAAAAGGATGAGTGATTTAAAGTTACTCATCCTAAATTTAGAAAGCAAGCAAAGCACTTTTCCCAAAGTGTTGACATACTTTGTGAAAGGATCCTCATTAGAGACTGAGGTAGTGGGAAAATCACTGCCAGCATGCATCAAAGAAACCAGAAACTGGTTGGTTTAAGCTGTATTGTGTGTGTTTGTGTCCATGCAGGGTATGCCTGAGCAGTGGGCCCGTCTCCTTCAGACCTCCAACATCAGTAAATCAGAGCAGAAACAGAATCCTCAGGCTGTGCTTGACATTCTCAAATTCTACGACTCCACCAGCGGGAAACAGAAATACCTCAGTTTTTCCGCCTCGGGTCAGTTTCTTCCACTCAACAGATTGATCAAAGTCCAGTCTCACACCCCGTCTGCCTAAACTCACATCTGTGTCTCTGTGTTTGATCTATTTCAGATAAAGACTCGCAGTCGGTGAGTGGTTTCATTCAACTTTTCCACCTGTATTTATAACGCTGTGATGAATACATTCTGTGATGTTTGACCGCCATCAATTTATGTGCGTGTTTGTCGTTGCAGCAAGGTAAGCAGGGTACAGGGATTTCTCCATCAGGTGGCAAAGGTGGAGATGATGACGACGATGATGATACACCACCTCCTGTTGTGGCACCGCGGCCTGAGCACACAAAATCAGTAAGTCAAAATAAGATTGTCACATTTGTTTGCTTGTTTGTTTTTTTGATAGGTGCTTAAAACTCAACTATGATCATATCTTTCTGTCCTGTGTTGTGTAAGGTGTACACAAGGTCAGTCATAGATCCAATCCCAGCTCCAGATGGAGACGCTGGTATGAAGGCAGCAGACAGACAGAAGAAGAAAGGAGGCAAGATGACAGACGAGGAGATTATGGAGAAACTAAGTGCGTTAAACACACACCACTGGTTGAGCCACACTCATTTTTGGCTTCAGTAGAGCTGACTTCACTTGTTTTCTCTCTTGACTCCCAGGAACTATTGTTAGCATCGGAGATCCTAAGAAGAAATACACTCGCTATGACAAGATCGGCCAGGGGTGAGTCAGAATTCAGGTCATTGCATCATGCTGACCAAACATAGTGAGCGCTGACAGGGATTTAAATGTTGAAATGTGGTCGAAAACAGGGTGAAATCAGGCCTGAATGTCCAAGACTTGACTTCAACCACTTTGCAGTTGCAGTTGCTAGTTGCTAATGGGATTGTAAAGGTAAACCGGTTTGTTTTGTGTGGTAAGCTCTGGGTCTGAGCAGACAAGGTCATGGAATCGTCCACAGTTTTTTCATAGATGACCCTGATACACCTTAACACGATCGCTTTAGCCGTCATATATTAGAAATGTGGTTTGAAAATTGTACAAATTTGTGTGGATAAACGTGTGACAAAAGCTGATTTCTCTGGTCTAGACCTAAACGTTTTATCAGTGTGAAACAGGCATTGAAAATCGTTCAGTGGTAGACTACTTGTCTAAGTCTCGAGACATTTTTTCAGCTAAAAAAGGTCAGCCAAGTGTTAGCTATGTAGAGTAGTAGAAATCAAATATGGAAAAATTGACCTCTGTTTGTTTTTCTCATTCAGGGCGTCGGGTACAGTTTACACAGCCATAGATGTTGCCACGGGACAAGAGGTGAGGTTACTTATTTTGTATAAAAGCACAAATGTCTCTTTAGATTGATGCTGAGGTTGAATAAGCGTGAAGGTTGAGGTACCTGTTATTCTAAATACTCACTTCCTTTAAATGTATGACTTTACTCATGAGATTCATTACCGTAAATATCTTAAAAATCAGTAAATCAACAATAACAAACACTTTTACATTCTGGTGATTTTATAAAATAATGACTGAAGGTGCTTCAACTCAAACAACAGCCTTAAATTATCTTAGTTTAGTCCCCTAACATTACATTATGCTTTAATAAGTTACAGTAAACTGAGGAGTGGAAGGGAAGGGAAGTCCAGCACTTTGAAGTTTCTGTTTGTTCATTGTTTGAGTCATGGGAGAATTGACTCAGCAATCGACCCTTCACACCAAGTTTTGTTCACCCTTAGCCTAAAGAATATTTAACCTCACAGCTGGTCTGTTTGAAGATGATTCTAAAGTATGCCAATGTTACTCAAGCAGCTGCAAGGTGTTATCCCTTACTTAGGATCTTAAAGGATTCTGTGTTTTGCAGGTGGCCATCAAACAGATCAACTTGCAGAAGCAGCCAAAGAAAGAGCTGATTATTAACGAGATCCTGGTCATGAAGGAGCTGAAGAACCCCAATATTGTCAACTTTGTAGATAGGTAACATTGACCTGTGCGACTGTCCACATTCGTATCATAAGCTGTGAGCGTAGATCTCCATGGTTGTGACTTTTTTTTTGGTTTGCATTTGAAGTTTCCTCGTAGGAGACGAGCTTTTCGTAGTAATGGAGTATCTGGCTGGCGGTTCCCTCACTGATGTCGTGACAGAGACGTGCATGGACGAGGCTCAGATCGCTGCAGTCTGCAGAGAGGTAGGAATATTTCATTTACATGACGTTATTACTGCAGCATACAAAACATGATATCGTTGGCACGTTGATGGGTTTGCACATTACTGCCACCTGTTGGTCAGAGAAAGGACAGACAGGAATGTAGTTATGTTGCACATGTTTTAAAGATTCCTTCCTGTCCATTCTCTCTGCATCCAGGTTCTCCAGGCTCTGGAGTTTCTTCATGCAAACCAGGTCATCCACAGAGACATCAAGAGTGACAACGTTTTGCTTGGGATGGACGGATCAGTCAAGCTAAGTAAGGGAGTTTATGACTTAAAGGCACATGGTTTTTATTTTGCATTTGTATATTCTAAAGCATTTATTATTTTCTCTCTTTGCAGCTGACTTTGGCTTCTGCGCCCAGATCACCCCTGAGCAGAGCAAACGCAGCACAATGGTGGGGACTCCGTACTGGATGGCCCCAGAGGTTGTGACCAGGAAAGCTTATGGACCTAAAGTGGACATTTGGTCTCTGGGAATCATGGCCATAGAGATGGTGGAGGGAGAGCCTCCATATCTCAATGAGAACCCTCTCAGGGTGGGTGTCTGCTGTTACCTGAAGTCAGATATGACCTCTTAAGGTTCTTGGGTTTATAATGGTCTATATAATTTCAATAGGTAAACACAAATGAACAGAACCCTGTGTGACCAAATCAGATTGGTCTAAAACTCTTTACTTACCACCAGTTAAAGGTCGATAAAGTCATATAACCGAGAGACAATGACAAAACACCTGTGAACTAGCTTAAAGCAGCTCTCTGAGATGATTCGGCACTTTTAAAAACAGGAGCGCGAATAATTAAAATGCACACATAGATGTCTTGCGTTTTCAGTTTATCATTTAATTAAAAATTTTAACTTTTTAACAGTGTTTTTAAACATGTAAGTCATTTAGTTCCATAACTTACAATCTACTGGAGGTAGTGTTTATTTCAAAATAAAAGCATGCAGAACAATCGTTTTAGGAGACGTTATGTTCTCTATAGAAGTTTTAGTAACACAGCCAGTGATGAGCATAAACAATAAATTTAAACTGAAGAAGAAATAGATGATGAAATGTAAGTTAACTGCATTTATATAGACTTGTAATATGGAGATTTTACATTGCTTTACCCACGTTTTGCCTTTTTTCAGTTTTACTTAGTGTGTTGTTATAATTTCAAGTTCTCCATAAATGTCAACATCATATTGTTGTGGTGATATGGCCAGTAATTTGGACATTTTAGACAATGAAAACACCATTTCCTCAAAGTACAGTCAAGTACAGTCTATTCCTCTGTATTGTTCCTAGGCATTATATTTAATCGCCACCAATGGGACTCCGGAGCTGCAGAGTCCAGAGAAACTGTCCCCTGTCTTCAGGAACTTCCTGTCACGCTGCCTGGAGATGGATGTGGAGAAACGAGGATCAGGCAGAGAACTGCTGCAGGTAGAGGAGGCCAAAAAAAACACTTACAACTGCATCAATATATGAATATGTTCCTTTAAAACATAAGTGCTAACATTCATGCCTGATTTATTTACTTTATCATAATTGACAAGTGCATAACTTTACCTCCCTCTGTGTAGCACCCATTCCTGAAGCTAGCCAAGCCTCTCTCCAGCCTCACTCCGCTCATCCTGGCAGCCAAGGAGGCCATGAGGAGCAACCGCTAAAGCACAATCCCTAAGGACTTTGAGAGCTAAAGCCAGTGACAACCAAACCAGCCATACCAGCAAGCATCTTCTACTGGTCTATGTAGCAAGACCATCAGCAGCCTGCTTTGGATGTTTTCTTCATTCTTTCCAGCGTTCCTGTGCCAGTTCCTTACCGCCAGATTAAGTGTACTTCTGTGCCTTGTTCTCTAGCTGCAAACTGCCGCACTGTGTTTTCTATTCGTCGAAGCCAAAGCATGTGTGTTCTTGATTGTACACTGGTTACTACAATATGCACATAGAGATCTTAACCGGACAGTTATAATGCACATGCATGTAAGTCAACTCAGCTGAGTCCCCAATAATGTAAATCTGAGCACAACACTCTGACTTAATATTCCTAAAGTGGGTGTGTGTATTAAAAAAGCTCAAAGTTCAGTGTTTTGCACTCCTGGATTGGCTTCATATTTCAACAACATGCATGCAAAAAGCCATACCAGTGTCCTTGTTTGAATTTTTTTACTCAATTGTTTTCTAACATCGGATACCCTCTAGTGGCAGCTCTGGGTTTTACCAGTAACCAAAATAAGCTGGCTCAAACTTTAAAAACCAGTAAGATCAAATCCTGGCATTTCTAAAAACAATCCAAATTCACCTTAGGAAAAAAAAGATTAAATTTACTTAACCTGAATGCAACGTTTCTATCACTATGGTGCGTCTTGCAGGTGTTGCGTTTGTCTAAAGCTGTGCCTTTTTGCGTCAGAAGCCTTTTACGTCTATGTTTCGGTGCAAGTACAACATAAATAATGTGTGTCAGTGTCTGAATGTGCTGAACTGGAGGAAGACTTTTGCATTTTTTTGTATATTTTGTATTGTTGATGTTCTGTTTTTAATGGCTTTTACAAATATGTATATCCTCTTTTTTTAAATATGTGACTAACACAGGCGATAAAAGATTTTGTCACTCCTTTTAGTGAACCCTTACATTCTCAGCGCAGTTATGGACTTCGATCCATCGACATATAAATAAACCTATAAAAAACAAAACCATTAAATATTGAGAAGTACTTTGGAACAATTGTATTTGTTGACTTTTAAGATGAGATTGCAAGTATCATCTCAAACTCTTTATTTTAGCCTAATAGTGCCTTATATGAGTGATGATTCAGTCATGGTACTCATCAGGTGTACATAAACACTCAGGTTTACTTCAATACTGAGGAATTACATTGACTGTCTTCCCCAGAACAGACATTCCAGTTACACGTGTAAAATGAGTGTTTGAAGAGTTTGGCTAAATCTGTTGTTGTTCATCATGAAACCAATGACTGGCGAGGAAAAATACAAAAGAAATGTAAATTATTAATAAAGGTGGACCTGAATTGGTTTGTGTTTGGATCATTCAATCACCATCATGAAAACAGTTATAATAATGGGCTATAGAGGTCTGAGCGTGTCCCATAAACAGGCCATACTCCGTGTTCTCCCTCTACTCTCTCTTTTTCCTATCTCTATAACTTTAAAAACATCTCTTAATATAATCTTAAAGTGGTTCTAATATAAAAACACCATCTGAAGGTGGCCACACAAAACCCGTCAGAATAAAGACAGCATCATATAGAGGACGATAATTCCAATAATTTATTAAAGCATAATTTTGTAAAGCCAGTTACAAATAAAAAAAAAGAACAACACACATATCTCTCTCTTTCTCTTTTTTTTTAAACAAGCACTAAGTTTACTGTGTAATGATGATAATAAGGATAATAACAGAGGATAAGAACGGGCCCCACTCTGGCCGCCTGCGGCTGATTACAGGACCCCTTGTATTGAAGCTGCCCTCAGAGACCATATTGTGATCAGCTACTGCAAAACCTAAGTTAAAGTCACTACTCTCTTTTGCAAACATGCTGATCACATTTCAGCTTCTGCGGGGGCAACTTCTTCCTACTCAGTGTAATATCAGTGACAGACAGAACCGTAGATGTAGAATAACTAGAACAGACCGCTCCAGGTTCCTCGGTCGTTATGGCTTATGGGTTACTCTCTTTACTCTCTGCTCACTGTGGCCAAAATAAAACAACACAAAGTTCAGACTGGAACCTGGGAGTTAGTTCTGCTTATTCTACCTCTATGGGCAGGATCCCAGAGGGCTGTGTGTATGCAGACTGAGTCGCAGCTACCATTGAAGACACTGGGATTGTGTCCTCTGCATTTTGCTCTTAAACTTTCTGATCATTTTATGAAAGCTGGAAAAGAAAGTTTACCTCCTATAATGGAGAATACATATATTTAGACTAAATCTATACCTAACTCGTCCAAAATATACATGCTTTGCCCTTTTTAACTTGAATGAAAAGTACAAGGAGTCCAAATTAAAACACTTAACTTGGTAGACACACTCGGACACACAACCTCCGTATCTTCAAATAGTACTGCGGCCCTTTACTGTGGCAGTCCAGCTAGACAACAGACAATTCACCTCAAGTTGTTTAACCTCAATTGAATATCTTGTTAGGAAGGCAGCAGACCATAACCATTTAACCATTTGGGGGCAAAGATTAAAACTCTCATTGGTCTAGAAGTAATTAATTGAATATGAACCATTAAAAAACCATTAAGAATATTAGCGAGAGTTTGACTCTATATTACAACTAGTAATGTAGGAGTTTATTGTACATGAATTACATCTCAGTATTTTTTCAATCTATGATACGACCACCACACAAAAAAGTGTAAAGACTCTAACTGTCATGATATGTTCTGTGTATTTAGTTTTCTCCTGGTTTCATTTGAGTGTATTTTCTGTGTTTCTGTTCCCTAATGCTCCTGCTCCCGTGTGATCCTGTCTTGAATGTTTTCTGTTTGTGTCTGACCCTGTTTCCCTCCTGTTCTCTGTGTTTTATCCTTTATATCAGCTGTTGGTGTTTCCTATTTTATCTTGTAGTAGTTGACTCCTTGTGTTTCTAGTCTGGTTTTACTTCCCTAGTTTTTCCCTCCTTCGTTAATCACCCATGAGTTTCACCTGTGCCTCGTTAGCCTCACCTGTTGCTCGTTTACCAGTATGTATACAGTCCCTGTCTTCCCCTCTGTTCTTGTTGGTTCATTGTATGTCGATGTGTTTTTGTTGCCTTTCTTTTAGTTCTTTTTAAATAAATCCTATTTTTGTCTGCATGTGGGTCCTTTCCCTTTTGTTTAACTCTGACTCATGACAGTAAAAAATGTAAAACTTTTTTATAAATGGAACAAAGCATTAGAGTTAGCTCGGGCAACTGATTTCATCATTCTCTCATTTATATGCACTCACATTTCCAACCCCAGCATCCACCTGCAGGCTCTGATTGAGGGTTTAAGATATTGTCTCATCACTCCTCTTCCTCCCTGGATCCTAATTCGCTTAACCACCTGTTCACTATACATTATATCTTACCAATCAAGAGCCTAAAGTCACTTATATGTATCTGTAGATTATGTTGAATATGTAAACTTTAATTTTAAGGTTTTAAGGTTTTAGTGATTATAAATCACATGCACCATGTTCATATAAAGGCTCCTGGCTTTTGATACACAGTAAAGGGCCCCGTTTCCACTCTGCAGCCTTTTGTCCAAGATTATTCCTCAAAAGCCTAAAAATAAAACCTTTAAAAAAGTAACACCATCAGGATTAATCGGTCTGTGCTCTGGTTTTAGAAACATTTTTGTCTTTTGTCCTTTTGAGGTTTTACACATGAGGGATTCTGCCATCTACCCGCAGTGCCACAGACTCAGGTGATACTGGCGTAACAGTGATTTTACTTTCAGTTCAAAAACATACAAACGCGCAAACAAAGCAGTGATGACCGTCAGCATTCCCAGTGCACATTTAAAAACCATCTCCGAGCCCATATCCTCACAGTGTCTAATCTGCTCCCATACACCGAGACCGACCAGTACATTTCTAACCCAAACCCGCTTTGCAATACATACAGTACAATGAGAAATAAATTACCCTCGACCCTCCCTTAAAATCCCATGCGTTTCCCATAAACACACGATCACAACACCATTCTTTGCAAAGGTTAGCCATGTAAATACATCTTATTTCCAGAGATACACTCAATAAAATCACTTCTCTTTTCTCGTTTCCCTTTTTTCTTTTTCCAACAGCAGGTTACACCATCAAAACACCCGTACACACACACAGCAGCATTCCTGACACAGCACTTCAGGGTGGTTAAGATAGCAGGGGGCGTACAGTTATCATAGTAGTATCAGTAATAAAAATTCAAAGTTGAAACACAGACATACTGGAGCTCTTGTGAGTCATTATTCAAGTCGTCATAAATAAAAAAGTAAGAATAGTGTGGAAAAAAAAAGTATTCTATGGCTCCGATTAATCCTGCAGATTAACAATGATAAATCCCTCAAAACGCTGTGAAACCCAATCTCGTTCTGGTGTGTGTCTTTCAACTATTCATCCTCATTCGTCTGTGAGTCACGCCGATGGCACAGCCAGTGAATGATGTACAGTATTGGCATCATATTCAGACATTATTAACACCATCCACTTCCATGTATTTTACACAAGAGGTGTCACATTGGCATCCATATTCTGTACAGTGCAGTGGCCACCATTATTCAATAATAACTCTTATAATGTGTGATATACAGTACAAAACAATACATGTTAAAGTGTACATGTATGTGAATATACAGTAGATATATGTCGTTTGTGTTACATGTAGACATAGATAGGGAAATGTTTTCATCTCATACTATTCAGGTTGATAATTTCCTCCTTTGTGAGCCTCCAAAGCCCAGCCTCTACTTAAAAATTTCAAAGTGATATATTGTTCAGAATTATTTAAAGCCGTTTCCTTTGGCTGTGTTTTCTTCTCGTGGCCACACGGTGGCACTGACAAGCGAGCAACTGAGCTTTTTTTTTCCAGTCAGTAAGCTCTGAAGAAGAATCATCATCCCACAAGTCCTTTTTTTTTCCTCAGTCACATACAGCTGATGTTACAGATAAACAACGACAGAGAGAGAGAGAAAAGCAAGCAAAGAACAAGAATTCAGCATTTTAACTTAATACCAAACAAAGATGCAAACAGGAGCGAAGACGTGTGAAGAGAAAGAGAGAGAGTCTGAGATTGTACGAGTGAGAAAGAAACAGATTTAACTGAGAGAGTGTGGCTTTCTTCTTTCTGGCAGTGCGTCAGGTTTGAAAGAAAGGACAGGTTGGGATTGGGCGGCGGTTTTTGTGCTTGTTTTTTGTCCAGAATAGGAAAGCAGAGAGAAGTTTGGAGTGTGCTTGAACATCTACATGCAGGACTAGAACTGGAGGGCTGGTTATGACTGTATTTGAAAGGAACCGTCCCAGGATACAGGTTTCTTTCTCATGCTTGTTTTTCAATGGATCCTTTATTCCTAGTGAAACCCTGGCCTGAAGTGTGTGCAGTTGGCTTCTGTTTTCACCTCTATCTCCGCTCCATCACATACACTCATCCTTCACCTTTAAATTCATTTGTCTTGAGGATTAGCTGGTTGGTACGACTGCTTCCATCGAAACCAACCAACCAACCAACCGGTGCAGAAGGGCTGAGGCATCTGTTACTACTGGATAAACTGAGAGCTCTGATTGGTTGGTGGCGATCACCTGACCCAGGAGCTGGCAACGCTGGATACTGACATGATGCTGCAGCGCTTCTTCACCATCATGTTGATGTAAGCCCTCATGATCTTTGTGATCTCCCCCACCTAGAGACAGAGAAACGCGCACATCGATGAAAGCTCTGCCTGGTGTGTGAATATTTAAAGGGATAGTCCAGCGTAAAATTAATTTAGGGTCAAACACACTGTAACACCGAGTTAGATAGCCCGTCGAGAGATGAATGTTGCCGACTGCTTGCTTCTCTAGTTATACCAACAGGGTAGCGATACAGAGAGCCACGCACTCAACCAAAACGCCACTCAAAAGCCATAAATAATGCTCAGAACAGCACCGAACTTCATCAACAGTACATAAAGGGTCCTAGCCATAGTACTAGCTACCAAACTTCTTTTTAGATTTTCCTAATTTCTTTAGCAAAGAGAGTAAACACAACTCACCTACTCTCTTCCAGCAGCCGCTTGTTTGTAGCGAGACCTCTGGCCAGTTCATCATGGACTACAGCGGAGTTTCGCAGCTCAAGGAAGAACATTTATGATCATTTCTTTATGGAAATGCAAACAGACCGAGACGCTAAGGCAGAAGAACTACCGCGTCTGCAGAGCAAAATGAGTAATATGGCGATTATTAGTTCAAGGAAATGATAAAGAAATGATCATAAATGTTCTTCCTTGAGCTGCGAAACTCCACTGTAGTCCGTGATGGACTGGCCAGAGGTCTCACTACAAACAGTCGGCTGCTGGAAGAGAGTAGGTGAGTTGTGTTTAGTCTCTTTGCAAAAGAAATGAGTCAAAGTTAAAAAGATGTTTGGTGGCTAGTACTATGGCTGGGACCCTATATGTACTGTTGATGAAGTTAGGTGCTGTTCTGAGCATTATTTGTGGCTATAGAGTGGCGTTTTGGTTGAGGTTTGTTTATGGCTCCTCAGACTGCTGTGTATTGCCATCCTGCGGTCGTTACTAAAGTTGGTATAACTAGAGAAGCAAGCGGTCGGCAACATTCATCTCTCAAAGGGGTGTCTAACTCTGTGTTACGGTGTGTTTGACCCTGAATTGATTTTACACCAGAATATCCCTTTAAATTCTTTGGTTTTTATCATTAAAAGGTCAACAAAATAGATTCATGAAAACTTTCAAAACCATGAAAGAAACTAATAACTTAAAATCAATAATGACTGAAGAGTCCTCACCAGTGGCGTCTCAAAGTACATCTCCCTCTCATCCACGATGATCTTGTAGGTGCAGGGCTGCGACGCACCGAAGAAGGTGATGTGTTCGTACTGGAAGGTCTCCAGAGGTTTCGGTTCACCTCGTTTATACACCGACACGTTGTCTGCGCTCACACTCAGCCACAGATCGTGAGGGAAACCTCCTTCTTTACACTACAGAGAGAAAATAAACAAGAGAACAAAGATTTCGTGTGATGAAGCTTTTGGTGCAAATCCTTTATCCTTCGTTTTTTTCTCACCTCCACATCAAACAGAGTAGATCCGTATCCTGGCCACTCTTTGATGATGCTCATGTATTTCAGCATGGCCTGATGTTGAGGCATGCCCTGCAGCCGGGTCCACTTCTCCAGAACGCTGGTCCGTGTGGCGGACGTCTCCTCCTTCACCCACATCTCCAGCATCTGCTCCTCCTCCACCTGCAGGAACACAGAGAAGCAGATCTATTTAGAGCACCCTGGTAGACTTTCAGTCAATCCAGTTGGATGATAGAGTCCATCTTCTCCCACCTTCTGCTTCTTCAGTGATCCAGTCTTGAAGCTCCTCCTCAGGGTGCCATCCAGGAAGCTCGGGGTCTTTCGTTTCTCCGCCCCGAGTGGGATGCCTCCCTGTCCCCCGACTGTGCCCTTCCCTTCCCCTGCTCCTCCTCCTCCTCCTCCTCCTGCTCCACCCGCAGCTCCCACACCGGGCTTAGTGGAGTGGAGGATGCGATTGCGGAGGCGGCCGATTGGATAAACGCTTCCTAGGTTCCACCCTGCCCGACCTGCCCCGTCACCATGGAGATACTGGAGGCGTAAAGCGGCCAGGTGCTGCAGCGTTTCCTCTGAGCCCGGGAAGTGACCGCTAATCAGAGACTCGTGGGCCTAAGAAAACATAAAGAGAAGGACGGTCGGAACAAAGTCAGTTATTTCATTTATATCAAGAGAGCTCTATAAGCACAAGTTGTTTATAGCTCACCTGCTCAAACATGAAAGCAAACTCGACTCCTTCTTTTGGCATGCTCTCCACGTCCAGGAAGCAGTAGAGCTTGAAGTAGAGTTTCCATTCTCCTTCCTCCTCCTCTTCTTCACTACCTGCCAGCCTGGAGAAAAAAAAAAACATTGAGCACATGTCGTTCAGAGCAGACGTTAAGTATAGAGATGCATCTTTCAGTGTAGATTAAACAGATCAGGGCCTTAAATTTCATGCTGATTGTAATTTTCTTCTCTGCTTAAACGCCTCTGTCGTCAATAAATCTTAATCTTTAGTATCGATTCAGATACCTTTCAAACTTGGCCAGAACATCGGCCACAATCACTCTGCTCTCCAGAGCTCGATCTGTGAAGGAGTTGTGCTCGAACAGAGAGAACAGATTCTTGCTTTCCTCCATGGCCAAACCTCTGATCAGCTTCTCCACCACCTGCAGCAGCAACATCAAAAAAATCACATTTGCTGTTCGGTTGAATATTAAGTTGGCATATCTGAATATTTGGACGTTTACCTCTCCAGCTGTTGTGTGAGAATTGATGGAGATCTTGCAGGAGCCTCCTCCGTGACAGTAGACGGTTGTGCTCATTTCCTGTCTAACCAGCAGGGCGGCAATCTCCTCCTGAGAGGGGACGAACTCACGAGTCTTGGTCTTCTTCAGGGATTCCCCGATGAAACTGGCATAGCGCTCGATTTCTGTGCCGGGAAAGCGCTCGCGTACCCTGAACCAAAGGACATCAAAGATTTATGACGCATTTATTCCATTAATTATACATCAAAGTCGCACAATACACACACACACACACTCGATCACACACCTCTTGAGGTGGAAGCGGAGGTATCTGAGGATGGCTCGACTGGGCAGGAAGGTGCAGCTCATGCAGGTGAGCAGATGCCAGTGTGCCCGGTTCGCTGGGCTGTTAGGCTGAGGCACATGATTGGTCTGCTTGATCACCTGACAGTATACCTGAGGAAACAAATAGGCAGACAGACTTTAATGGCAGTTTTAATTGAAAAAAAAAGGATTTTGTTTTATGTAATGATGTAAAAAGTAAGACACATCATCAGTGGTTCGTTTCAGTCTTTTGTCTTGATTTCAGAATGTAAAAATGTAAAAGTAAAATATATTTGACAGTTTTTTCCAAAATATAAACTATCATATTTTGTATTTCTGTTTCATTTTCTGACCTGTTATGTTTTTTTGTTGAGGTTTAAAGTAACTTTACGTACCTCATCCCTGAGAGGACGCAGGTCCTGGCAGGTCTGGAGGATCCCTTGAATGATGGGCACTGTGTCTGCCAGAGTCTCCATCTCCTGCAGGGAATTGAAAACTCGTACTGCCTCATCCTGCAGGCTTGCGTAGCCCTGCTGTCTTTGTACTGAACATGGGAGAGAAAAAAAAACAAAAAAACAAAAAGAAAGATAGAGAAATATTCAGAACAGACAAATAATTGGAATAATAAATCGCCATGATGCGAAACGGGTGATTTGAGAATCAGAGTATGATGAAAAATGATGTATTCATACTGGTTAAAACAAGTCTGTGGATTTGCATAAGAAGAAACACTGAAATTTGGAAATAAAAACGGGTATGTTCTTAGAGGAGTAGGGAGACAAAGAGCGTACAAACAGCATCGTCCTGTCTCTACCCCCCTGTTCACTTTCTTATATCTCACTATGGACTCTTCTCTCTGTTTCTCTCTATGTGGGAGTGATGGGTGGTAAGAGCTGGCTCCATGCTGGAGCTCTAAAGTGTCTCCACCTTGGAGGTCCCTCTTGATAACCCTACAGTTTGGGAGTCATGATATGTTCTGTTGATTTAGTTTTTCCCTGGTTTTGTTATTTGAGTGCATTTTGTGTGCATTTTTCCTAGTGTTTCTGTTCTCTATCATTACTGTTCCCCTGTAGTCCTGTCTTATGAGTTTTCAATTTGTGTTTGACCCTGTTTCCCTCCTGTTCTCTGTGTTTTATTCTTTGGATCAGTTTTCAGTGTTTCCTGTTTTATTTTGTAGAAGTTGATTCCTTGTGTTTCTAGTCTGGTTTTACTTCCCTAGCTTCACCTGTGTCTCGTTAGCCTCACCTGTGTCTCGTTAGCCTCACCTGTGTCTCGTTAGTACCGCCTATGCCTCGTTTACCTCACCTGTTGCTCGTTTCCCTGTGTGTATATAGTCTCTATCTCCCCCTCTGTTCTTGTCTGTTCATTGTTTGTCCATGTATACGTATGCCTTTGTCCACAGTTGCTCCCTGCAATTTTGCCCCAGGGGTTTTATTTTTTTTTTCTCCTCTTGTTGCTTTTTTCTTTGTTCTTACTAAATAAATCCTTTTTTTGTTCTGCATTTTGGGTCCTTTCCCTTTTTGTTTAACTCCAGACCGTGACTGTAACATAGGGTGGAGTCCTAAAGGTCTGAAGGTGGTAGTGCTGTTTGGATGAAAAGCTAACTTAACAGCAGCATTTGGGGAGAAACACCTTAACAGGGGCTTATTTTCCCCCCTTATTATCTTGTTTTTTATTTCAAATAAACAAAAAGTTCTTTACAGGAGCTTTAAATACAGATGGTAATTATCTGGCCTCTCTTTATAGTTCATCATGTGTCATTTACGTTAAAATTTGTGTTAAGAATTTGGTTAGTGTTTTGCTGCAGATATTTTAGAGGTTATTTGCTTTTTGGGGGCATGAGATACAACAGCTCATCAATTCTTCATTTGGTGTCTCGGTTTGTTCTTCCACTCTTTCTTCTATATTTGTTTTTTTACTTACAGCTGGTGACTTCTCCGTAGGGCAGCGGCAGCAGAGGGGAGTGCAGAGGATGCTGGGTGTATCTGAGGATTGGGTTCCTCCTGTACATCTGCTCCACGATGTCCGGGTTCACGCTGTTCTCCTGCGGGAGCGTGAAGGAGTCAGATATTAGAAAGCTGTTGTCTTTGAACGTGAAAATGAAGGGTCGTCTTTCACGCGTCTGACCTTGATGTCTCTGATGAGCTGCAGAGTCGGAGTCTCTATGGGAGTCTTGCTGTCTATGACTCCCTGGATGGCAGCAGTCCACCTCATGGCCTCGTTCAGCATCTTAGTATAGAGGCGGTAAGAGTGCTTCCTCCCGTACACGATGATATTCCAGTAACCTGTGAAAAAAAAGAGTGAAATAAATCCATCAGAGAAACAGGCCTATTCGCCCTTTCTCTCTACCTTTCCTTGTCTACTCACCAGTCTCCCGGTGCACCCGCTCATCCGGCTGAATGATGGAGCAGAGCGAGTTCAGGACCAGAGTTCCCATCTTGGAGGAGTTCTTCTCTGAGCTCTTGTAGTAATCTAGAGAGTTGTGGGTCAAAACAAACCAGCGCTTCTTCAGCTTCAGGGACGTGCTCTTCGCGTTCGTTTTCATCTCCTTTTGGAGCCAGCCTGAAAGATGACGAGACAGAAAGAGAGATATTAAACATATTTGCCCATTTGATGCCAGAAAGTCAAATTTTCTGCCTCCTGGCCTAATTTGATGGACAATCTGTTATACACTCTGTCATAGCATATATATATATATATAATATTCAAGCAACATCCTGAAGAGAACTGGAGTGTTGTGCATGTGCAGAAAATCCATCCTGACCTCTAACAAGGAACTCTTGGCCGTCTATCCGGGCGTCTCCTTTGGGTTTCTGCAGTAAACTGATCCAGTGATGCATCTCCTCCGGTGTGTCGCTGTTGCAGTGGATGACCCGGTTGGCCGTAATGATAACAAAGGAGTTGGGTCTGAAAAGGTCAAAGGTGGCACACTTTTAAATGAGGAAAATGAATAATACTGGCAGCATGACTTTTTCAGCCTTGACGTGTCTCTTCAGGGTCTGCACTGGTTGCTTAATATAGACCTCTTTACAGCCTATGCCGTCCTAAATATGCGTTTATGTGATAACAAGAGATCAGCAGATGAATAAGCCAGCTTCAAAGTGGCATCAAAATGTCTAGCTGTCTCACAGTCGGTTTTTCAAAACTGATATCTCAAGGCTGGTTAAGCTTGGACGTAAGAAAGCAGGGCTCCGGTTTTCACAGTGACTCTGTCGGCGGATGATTTTCAGCCTCATGTCAGTAGTATGTCCGAACTGAAACGCACAAGGTAGTTTTTACCATCATGTTAAAATACACTCAATCAAATTTTGGGAAGTTGTCACGAGTTTTGTGATTTTATTTTTTTTTATCAGGAGTGAATATATAACTAACCATGAACTTTTCCCCTAAAACAGTGACCTTTAAAAAATAAAAAAAACACTTTTGATGTAACTTACCGGTCAGGGTTGTCTGAAGCACAGACAGAGTCAATCAACCCGACGTCGAGAGTTCCCTGAGAGATCAAAAAAGAACTCCTCAAATTGAAGTACTGGTGCATATTCACTTTTATGAGGACGTGTTAAGGGTAAGCGAACTCAAAAACTGCAAGAATATGAGAGCAGACTGACCACAGCGTTCTTGGGGTTGGCCTGCTCATGAGACATCTCCAGCAGCTGCTCAGGTGTACAAACGCGCACCTTACTGAGAACATTAAACCACCCACTGCACACAAACAAACACAGACGCAAGTTTAAAAGAAAATCTCGATCTGTTTCTGTTTAAATGTTGTCTAAAGTGCAGTTTTCTACAAAGCGGCTCCAGCACACCTTGCATCTTCCGGTGACTCAGCAAAAACCTGATATGTCCTCTCATCTGTCACGATGTTCAGAGCGTTCTCCTTTTCATGGTTATCCACGATCTCCCTGTAAAAACACAAACACATAGAGAGTGTGAGAGATGCAGCTGTAGTCTAGACAAGAAAGAAACAACAAATCAAAGAGGTGGTTTTCAAAAACACTTTCAGGACTCTTACTTGGCTGCTCGGATATCGATGGTCCCCTTCAGCTTCTCCTCGCTGTCGTTGTCATAGTACATCAGCTTGCTGTCCCTCAGTACAAACCATCGCATCTTCCAGTTTCTGAGGCAGAAGGAGACACAATGAAAACAAAGGCCGAGACAGTCTAATACAGACATTATATAAAGTACCTGAGACTAAATTTAGCTTTTTGATTTTGAATATCTACTCCAGAGAAATGACCGTACAGATGGAAGAAGCATAAACAAATGTGACAGTGCTATTTCAAAACTTAATTGTGATGCTCCTGAACTTTTTGTTTTTGTTGATGTCAGTAAATTAGCAAAGTTCTTAAAGTATGATACGTTTATTAGGGCTGGGACGATATGCTTTTCTCCTGATTCGATTCTTCTACAATTTTTTGGATGCCGATTCGATTTAAATTGCGATGCTACGATCTCGTCTATTTTCTCGATTTTTAATCTGCATTTTTAACACCAGTGAAACAGTTGAATGATTATGATCGTCTCCTGGCTATTCCAGGAACCATATTTCCCCCAAAAATACACATCACATGTAAGTCAATTTTTAAGATTTACTCTTAAATTAAAAAAAAAAAAAATAGATTTAAAAATTGTAAAACAAAAAATCATGTTACTTATGTAAATCGATTTTTTCTCCCACCCCCAACGTTTATATATCAACATCAACTATAAGAAGTCAAGTGTTAAAAGGTAAAGCTTTGTCCACAAGGGGGGCGCCAAAATAAATGCAAACCTAAAGTCCCTTATAGGAGCTTTAAGTGTAAAATCTTTTTACTTTCTCAGTGCACCAGCTTGATTTAGATACTGAAGTCCTCCGATACTGCAGAGGTCAGAGAATGATACAAACATCAGAACTGCTTACAGAGCCAACACAGATTCCCAGATAATCCATAAAGTGCATCACAGATAGAATAATTCAACAGAGATTTATTTTCTTTAACTGTAAAATTATTGTTTTTTGTCATTACTGTACTTATACATTTTTCTTAAGCATGCAGGCTGCACTCAGTAAAAACTACAACAACCTCCGTGAGAGAGTCGAGAGTCCTCCTCCTTTCTTATAGAGCCAGCCCGACTTCAGAGACTCCTGTTTGGACCGGAACCACATGAAGGTTTCGTCCTTCAACACACACCAACGCCTCCTCCAGGGGATCATCAGACCAGCTGAAGGGTCAGAGAACTAAATTACTTACAGGTAAAAATGTATAAAGAAAGACACATTTAAAAAACGAGGTATAGCCATCTTTGAAGCTGAGGATAATTATTCAATCACAGACCCTTCATGTAGAGGTAACCGTGGAAATAAGGCGGCCCGTTTCCGTTTAGCAATGTCACTCTGCCGTTAGTGACTTCTTCATCCGTGTCCATCATGCCGTCGTGTTCATCATCGCTGTCTGCATACTGCAATATCAAACAAAAATTGAATTTGTTGTAGACAGTGAAAAGTGCGACAGAAAACTGTGGGGAAAAAGAAAAATGTTTAAAAGAGACACTTGTCAGTGTGTAGCTGCTCATACATATCTGCGTGCACGCGTGTGAGGATGCGTGTAAGTGTGTGTCCTCACAGAGTCAGAGCTGCCTCTGTAGGACTCGATGCTCGCGTTGGTACAAGTTGACTTCCTCGGATGCTCCTCGTCAGCCACTGCTGCGCTTCCCCGGTTGCTCCCGGATACGGAGCTGTCGTCTCCCGCGGTAACAGACCCCTCCTCCTCCTCCTGGTCGTAGTCGGACTCAGTGTCGGCCGGCATGCTGTAGATGGGTTCGTCTCCGTCCACCAGGCTATCCACCATGCTCACCTTCCTCTCAGGCTCTGGCTTGGCTCCGTCTTTCTTCTCCTCTTCTCCTGGGGCAGGTGGAGGAGGTGGGACTGCTGAACCATCCCCAGGTGGGGGAAGAGGAGGCGGCGGAGGAATCCCAGCACCGGGGATGCCGTCTGTAGGCAGAGGAGGTGGAGGAGGAGGAGCAGGGGGGACGGTTCCCTCTGCAAAAGCAGGCGGGGGAGGAGGGAGGTGGGCGAAGATCTCCTGGTCCAGAGGAGTGTCGGTCTCAGCAGGAGGAGGGAAGTCAGGGAGAGGGATACACTCGTCCTCGGCGTGAAAACCTTCATCCACCTCCTCATCCTTGGACGCTCCTCTGCTGGCGCGTGCAGCTTTCGGGGTTTTCGCCTCAGCGGCAGGTTTGGCGGCGACTGCTGCCAGCGCGGGGTCCACGCCTCCGAAGTCCAGGAGGTCGATGAGCTGCGTGGCCTTGCGTGACGCCTCCTTCTTCATCCGTTTGAGCTCGGCATCTCGGCGCAGCTGTAGCTCCTGTTTGGAGGACTCGCACAGCTGGGACACCTCGTCCTCTCGCTTCTTCTGCAGGCGCTCTATCTCTCGCTCCAGCTGCAGGATCTCCTCCATCTGACGGGCCTCATCCTGAAGGAGAAGAGGAGAAAACACACACACACTATAGCATCAAATAAATTAAAAAAATCTATTTTTCCTCTTCTACTTTATCAAAAACACACCGAAGAACCATCATTCGCATCTTTATCCTTTCCATCAGCACCCTGCTGCTCCCCTTCTCCGGGCGCCTTCTTCTCTGCCTCCTCTTTCTTCTTCTGCTCCTCCTCCTTCTTCTTCTTCTCCTCTCTTAGCTTACGGACGCGTGTTCGGGCCACCTGACCTCGCCTGTATTTCTGCAGCACCAGAGTCGCCTTGCGTTGTTTTACGAACTGCTTGCGCCGGATGTGCCTCCTCAGATGTTTCTGGAGGGTGACGACGCTGGCACGGGCACGCTTGAAGTACTTCCTGTAGATCAAAAAAAAAAACGAATAACACGAGGGGATTAAAAACTAGCACATATACTTCTTGAATCCCTTTTTTGGAAGCAGAAGTCTTGAACATGGTTGCGTTAAAATCTTACTTGGCAGAGAAAGTGAGCAGATGGGCTCGGATGACCATGGCAGCTTGGCGTCGCACTTCATCTCTGTCCTTTTCCAAACGCTGCTCCAGAGACTCTTTCATAAACACCTGCAGAACAAAAGTGAGGATTATCTGGAAGAGGTCTAACCTATCGTACAGAAAACCTAAAGATTAGCAGTTATCATGTTTTGGTGTTGATATCCAGCCTTAAAGGAACTAAAAATCTTACCTTTGTCTTACCCAGCTGCCACTCTTTCTTTGTCTTGTCATATCTAAACAAAAGGTCTGTACTTCTCTTCTTGTCGTCTCCGTTTGCTGCCACTTTGTCTTTTGCGATGATCTTGTATCTGGTGGACAGAAAGAGGACAGCGCATGTTAGAGAGCAAACAAAAGAGACACAGGAAGTAACATAAATAAATCAAGCTTGAGGAGGTTTTCACCGAGAGGAGAAGTCTTTGAAGGTCCTGCGGACGGGGAACCCGGCCCGTCTGATCTTTACGGTCTCCAGCATCCCAGAATACCTCAGCTGGTTCAGGACCACCTCTGGATCGAACTTATGTGGATTCTGCAGGTCAAACAAAAGATTATTATTATAATTTTTAAAAGGAACTATCACTCAGGCTCAGTTATAGAGGTGTAAAATAGAAGAGTCTGACCTTGTCCATGTTAGGTTTAATGCAGCGAATAAAGAAAGGGTTTGATACGCTTAGAGTGGCCATGAGAGCGTGCAGCGAGTCCTGAGGAGATAAAGAAAGAAAGTGGAAAAGTTCTTACACCTACAGTTTAAAACTTTTATGATCATTTTTTGTTTTGTTATGATCACATGTTTGTCTTTTTTGTCATTTTGAGACTGAAACAATGAGCAAATTCAGCTACAAAAGTATAACTTACACTTTTAAAACATATATAACTCATTGAATTCAGATTTACCCAAGTTACTGTCAGTTATTCGGCTTCTTTGTATTTGTGCTTTATTGAGTAGCTTTAAAATTCAGTAATTTTCCTTTTTTTCAACGACAAAAAGCATCACTTAGAGTCAAAAAAGGTTTTCCTTTCCTGTTTAGATGATGGTTCCTTCATATCCAAATCTTGTTTCTGCATATTTAACTTCAAAATTTCCTTGCTGAGTTCTTTGAAATAAGTTTTCTTTGCTTGGTTGAAGTATAAAGAATCATTTTGGTCCGCCCCGGTTGATAGCATCCCTTGGAAAATGTGGAGCTCGAGACCAGCGCTTAAAAATCTTCAACAGCTCACGTCACTCACCCTGAACTGGGAGCTCACTGTAGGTTTACGTCTGGCTGTTCCCATCTTCTCCTCGTTGTTTCTGCTGCCGACCTTCTCAAACAGGTCATAGATGAAGTCGAGTCTGAGAGGAAACAACCGCAGAGGGTCAAACACCGGGTTATCGATAAAACAGAGCGGTGGAAACACCTCATGGTTATTTGTTGTGACTATACCGGCTGTCTTTGAGCATGTTCAGGATGTCGTCCCTGAAAGTGTCTCTGTTCTTCTCCAGTATACCTTTAACGTCATACAGGACCTGATGGAGACAGAAAAGTTCATGATGAGTCTCCCAAACTTCACGCAAAATCCTATTTACTGTAAAACGACTCGGTTACCTCGCCTGCATAATGTTTGATACCAAACTGATGGTCAGCCAGTCTGGGCTTCACATAATAAGGGTTTGTCTACAGGAAAGAGGAAAAAGTCAAACATATTTGGACATTTTAAAACCAACACTCTCGAAAAACTGAGTTTGTTCAGGTTTGTGAGTAACTTACAGAGTGTCTACTGTGCAGCTTCTCCAGCAGGGTGAAGTCTGTCCCTTTGGGGAATCGACTCTCTTCATTGACGAGCGCCAACAAGCCCAGTTTCTAAACGACGGAGATGAAAAACACATCATGTTATCGCATCAGCTTTATGGAATCAGCACCGCTTTCTGAGACACCAGCCTGATGGTTTATTGGATCCGTTTCCAGAGAGAGTCTGCGGCAGGCGTCCAGCACAGCTCTTAACTGACTGAGAATTGCATTTACTTTAAAGCACTGCAACCAAACGTCTGGCTTGAACAAAAAAAGGTGCTTTTCTGTTCCCCCACCTTTTCTATGAGGTCAAGACACTCTGCATTGTCCATCCAGTCAATGGCGTCCCACTGGACACCTTCCCTGTGGAGATTAAAGCCAAACACTTATAAAGTAAAAGTCAAAGGAAGTGACTAATTTGGTGTTTAAAGGTTCTTGATGAATGATAAATAGAAGTGTTAAAAGAAGCAGGGCGAGCAGGAGCAGTGTTATAAATTGCTTTGTAGAGGTCTACCTGTTGTATTCAAGCTGCTCTAGGGAGAAGATATGCTTGTTGAAGTACTCCTGAAGTTTCTCATTGGCGTAGTTGATGTTAAACTGCTCAAAGCGATTCACCTGCAATGCAAAAAGAGGCGTTATTTATTTCAAAAAGAAAGATCTGCACTTAGTCTGCTGGTATAAAAACATTTCAGGTAATAATTCCGACCTCAAAGTTCTCAAAGCCAAAAATGTCCAAGATGCCGATGGATTTAAAGTTTTCCTTCCCTTTGATTTTCTGATTGATCTTGAGGATGATCCAAGAGAAACACTGGGAATACAACGCCATGGCGACAGAGTCGCGGGAATCCACCGCCTGCAACAAGAAGGAGGAGGAAGCTGTCTGAGTGTATGTGTGATCAATCAAGAGAGCGAGAATTAATGTATGAGCGTATGTGTGTGCTGACCTGCTCGATAGTGAGCGGAGAGCAGATTTCCTCTCCTCTGAGGATTATGGAGCGCTGAGTCAGGACTTCAGACAGCTGGAAGGCGTCCAGGCCCAGCAGCTCACTCGCATTACTGACCACTAAGAGACCAAGAAAGATATATTACACTTCCACAATACATCCATGCATGCTTTTATTCTTCCTGACTCACTCTACATGGGCTCTGACCTTGCTTAGTGGTGATCTGGGCTCCTCCCGCGAGCATGAACTCAATGTTTCCGAGCTGCAAGACTCCTGACAGCAGCTTGAACATGTCTCTGATTTCCTCCTCCGTAAACTGTAAGACCTTAAGGGCCTCCTGCAAAACAAAAATGAAGAGTTTTTTAGGTGACACCATCAAAAAGTCCTTCAAGATTTACCATTTGTTATTTTTTGGATTGCATTAATGTTCGCAGGCCCAGTAGGCTCAGTGAAAAATAGCTCTGCCACCACTTCACGTCTTCCTCTCTCTGTTATATTGATAAAAAAAAATTCTTATAATAATACTTTAGCAATATTTACAAAAAAACTTGCAGAAAAACAACACATTCAGTCAAATTAAGACAGAAAAAGACAAGGAAGGAGCTACAAATTAAAACTTAAACAACAGTATATTTCTGTGAGTGATTCAGCCTTACACATTGTATACACATGTTGTCTATTCTACACTTTCATAAAAATTCCCAATCTGGTGAAGACCCTTTTTTATTTGGTGCCACTATAGCGCCTTGCTTTCATCTGTTGTTTCCTGTATCATAATTTGTGCTGCAGCATCTGCACACTGTGGTAAAGGCTAGTTGAAAAATAAACAATATAATCTTTAGAGAGGAGATTAACAAAATTAGTTTTATTTTGACTACTTTACTTTCTTATGTGTATGTTGCTTCATTTTCTCTACTGTAAAAGCACGCTTTTATTTTGAAATATCATTTTGCTACCTCTGCTTGATTGTGAGGTATTACATTAGTCTTTTTTTCATACTGGTCTTAGTCTTCGTTTTATTACCTCCAATTATGAACCAATTGGTCACATTTCATATATTCAGCACAGTATCCTATCTTTAAAAAGACAGTTATCACTCAAAATAGTATATGGCAGAGATGTTGTCATGATATTTTCATTGGTTTTGTTATTTTTTTGATATTTTTCTGAGTGTATTGTTCCTATGATCCAGTCTTGTGAGTTTTCAGTTTGTGTCTGACCCTGTTTCCCTCCTGTTCTCTGTGTTTTATTCTTTATCTCAGTTTTAGGTGTTTCCTGTTTTATTTTGTAGTAGTGGATTCCTTGTGTTTCTAGTCTGGTTTTACTTTCCTAGTTTTCCTCCTTCGTTAATCACCCATGAGTTTCACTTGTGTCTCGTTAGCTTCACCTGTGTCTCGTTAGTTTCACCTGTGTCTCGTTAGTTTCACCTGTGTCTCGTTAGCCTCACCTGTTGCTCGTTTCCCTGTGTGCCTATATAGTCCCTTTCTTCGCCTCTGTCCTGGTTGGTTTGTTGTATGTCTGTGTGCGTATGCTTGTGTCCCCAATTGCTCCATGTGATTTTTGCTCCATTTTTTCTCTTTATGTTTCTTTTTTCCATTTAGTCCCTTTAATTAAATCTTCTTTTTGTCTGCATTTGGGTTCTTTCCCTTTTGTTTAACTCTGGCTCATGACAGACGTAGATTTAAATTCAGTTCAGCTCAATTCAATCATGTGTGCTCAAATACTTAACGCTACACCTGCACAAGTCAGCGCCCCAGGAACAAAAAGATCTGGATGCGCCCCTAATATCATGTTCAGAAAATGATCAATTCCTCTGTGAGATTTTATTATGGTTTGATTTGAAGGTTAGCATCTTAAATTTGTTTATAGATTAGACAGACAATATATCAAACCCCGGCAAGAGCTCAACTAAGGACAACTTTGGCACATGCACGACCCAAGCAAATAAAGAAAACAACCGCTTCTTTTCCAGCTGCACTTAAAGAAAGCCAGCTTGACTAAATGGGTTGTATTGTGTCATCCCCTCAGGGCTACAACACTGTACTCATAGTTAAATAATTTGTGCAACCAGAGCAGCTTTATCTGCAGGAAATGTGCAATCTTGAAATCTTGTATCGTCTAGATGGCAGAGAACAAAACAGCGATGACACTGACCATAACACTGGTGTACAGCTCTTTGTCGTTCAGGCTCTTGTCTTTCAGACACCCTGATTGGCTGAGGTAGTGGAAAGATTCAGCAGGATCCTCCAAGAAGTACTGGCCTGAGAGAGGAAAACATGACAGAAGGAGAGAGCTCTAGTTTTGTCGAGTAGTAATTGTGTTTTATGTACTGTTCGTAAAATACTTGAATAGAGCAGGATCTATAATTGAATACTTTCATGCTTTCCTCACTTTTATGCTCCTTGTTAGCTCCTGCCAGCAGAGCGTAGAAGATGTGGTAGTTTCTCTCTCCAGGGTTTTGTCGTACCACCCGGTTCTGCAGCAAAAATCAATGCAGCAAAGCCGTAATTAACATTTCATTATGATTCACAGTGAAAGCAGACAAATCACTCCTCATGAATTTTAACTTTGAAATGACCAATCTGAGGATGTGGAGTTACCTTTTCAAGCAAATCTGAAAATGTAAAGAGTCAAGGAAACTATAAAGCTCGGACACATGCAGAAGTAAACACAGGTACACTTCGCAAATACATTTATTTCAAACACAAGCTGAAGGATACAGTCGATGACGCAGCCTCCTTGGATGTTTCCGCCCTCTGAGAAGTGAAGTTGGATGAATTTGCCAAAGCGGCTGGAGTTGTTGTTGTAAACAGTTTTTGCGTTACCAAAAGCTTCCATGATCGGACTGCGGAGGAGGAAAACAAAGAAAGTGAGTGAATTTTGTTATAGCTGAATTTCTCTCCATGCAGTGAAAAATATTAGAAACTATAATGTGCTGTGGAGCGTTGATTATATTATAGGGAAGCAACATTTTAAAAGGCATTTAATAATCTGTGAATGACTGATCGAGGCAGCACGCTCATTTTCAGTGGTACAATAACGGATCACACAGTGCCACAGAGAAAGTTCAGCTGCTGATGGGAGGTGTGGTTAAAGAAAAAGCTGTAGTTTCAAGAGTTTAAAGGGATATTCCGGTGTAAAATTAATTTAGGGTCAAACACACTGTAATGCCGAGTTAGACACCCCCTCGAGAATGTTGCCGATCACTTGCTTCTTGAGTTTTACCAACTTAAGTAAGCAATACACAGCGGTCTGAGGAGCCTTAAACAAACCTCAAACAAAACGCCACTCTATAGCCACAAATAATGCTCTGAACAGCACCTAACTTCATCAATAGTACATATAGGGTCCTACCCTTAGCACGAGCCACCAAATATCTTTTTAACTTTGCCTAATCTCTTTAGCAATGAGACTAAACACAACTCACAACTCTTGTTAGTAGCATGACCTCAGGCCAGTCCATTACAGACTACAGCAGGGTGACGCAGCCCAAGGAAGAACATTTGTGATCATTTCTTTATCATTTCCTTGTAGCAATAATCACCATATTAATCATTTTGCACTGCAGATGCAGTAGTTCTACTGCCTTAGCATCTCGGTCTGATTGCATTTCCATGAAGAAATGATCATAAATGTTCTTCCTTGAGCTGCGTCACCCCACTGCAGTCCATAATGGACTGGCCCGAGGTCTCGCAACAAACAAGTGGCTGCTGGAAGAGAGAAGGTGAGTTGTGTTTAGTCTCTTTGCTAAAGAAATCAGGCAAAGTTAAAAATATGTTTGGTAGCTAGTACTATGGCTACAACTCTATCTGTACTGTTGATGAATTTAGGTGCTGTGCTGAGCATTATTTGTGGCTATAGAGTGTCGTTTTGGTTGAGGTTTGTTTATGGCTCCTCAGACCGCAGTGTATTGTTATAGTGCGGTCGTTACTAAAGTTGGTATAACTAGAGAACTATAAGCTAAAACTCCTTTAAGGCTTGACTTGACTTGAAACTTCAAATCAAAATCCTCCTCGTCCTCCATAACAGCGTATCCTTGGTACATATTAAAGGTTTGGGAAGTCTTTCCTGTTCCCACAACATGTCAGACAGTGATACCAAAGGAGAAAAGAAAGTAGTTCCTCCCCAGCATGTACCTGCTCTGTACGATGGCCTGCTCCACCCGTGTAGTTTTCTCCGACTGAGGAGTCCCAACAGAGTTCTGGCTCATCACCGACAGGAACTGAAGCAACAGTTTTGTGCTTTCTGTCTTCCCTGCCCCTGATTCACCACTGAGGACACACAAATGAACAAGACCCAATCTCATTAAACACAATGTGACCTTCTCTGACATTCACATATCTCTGACACTGGCTGGGTTGTTTCATTGATACTGAGATTTGATCACTTCAGACATATCGCATTAGCTCCCTGTCTTTCTTCATTAGCAGACCAAGTGAGACTAAACTGGATTGACCCGGTGAGCCAAGCGTACAAAGGCCACACATAGATAGATTTTTCATTGCCAGACATAAAACCACAAACCATTCATAATCATATCTAGTAGTGTTTGCAGAAATGTGCCAGGAAGTAACTTGTTTTTGCGAGGTTGAGATGTTGAGATGTTGACCTTGGAAGTTTAAAAATCTTGGAAGGTCAAGAAATCTGACATTAATGATGTAAGGGAGCCAGAGACGTTTTTTTAAAGACACAGTCAGTCCAACACTGTCCAGATTGCCATGAAAATTGCTCAGGGTATTGTTGTCTCCCAGAGATGCTGTGCTTCCATCTGGTCTCAAAATCAGGGGAATATCTCCTCTTGACCAACACTTCAGTCCAATCCAAATGTTGGGAGTGTTATAAACATAATCTTGGTTGGAAGGGTAAATAAAACACCAAGCATTATCCTTATGTCCATGTTTAACAGCTTCATACTGTAAAATCTTTAAAAAAGACACAGTGCGAGCTGATTCTGAAATATTCATTATATATTAAACTTCTAACCTTCGTCACAACAAGAACGTCTGTTTGACAAAAACACCAAATTTAGTAGCATAAACCAAATTTCCCTCTTGCCAAAAATACATGCTAAGATGCTACATGCTACATTCATAGTTATACCTGCTTTCTTCATGGTTCAAACTAACCTGATGAGGACACACTGGCTGTCATGGCGTTTCCAGATGCAGCGGTAGCATTCGTTAGCCACGGCAAAGATGTGTGGAGGTAGCTCCCCAATGTGGTGCTTGGAGTACAGGTCTACCCTCTCCGGGTCGTACATACCCGGGATCTGCTTGTAGGGGTTGACAGCCGCTAGGATGCTGCCGATATTCGTCTGAAAGAGACGAAGAAGTGGATTTTAGAGGAACTCCAAAAGATTCTGGTCCTTATTCCCTTTTTTTAATTAATATTTTGTGTTTACATTTAAAGATAATGAAACTCAAAAAGGTGGAGATCCGACAGTAGAGGTGAAGAGAGACAATTACAGTTTTATTGGACAGCTAAGAGGCAAATCAGGAAGATAATAAAGCAAAGCTGCTGGTTTTCATTTGAGCTTTTTGTGCTGAAACCACAAACTTGCTCTCCACTTCAGGTCAGCAGGTCTGCTATCGTGTCATATTACCCTGTCTGTGCATTTCTGCTACTACATACTCATAAATGCAGTCACACAGCAAAACAGTAAACTGACCCCACAAAGGGTTAATACGTATGATCAGCTTAAGCGAAATCTGTATATGAACAGTATTTCATCATCTAGATTAGGTCACACCCAGGAAGGCTCTTATTGGTCTGTTGTGCGATAATCTTTCAGGTTTCCTGGCTTCCCAAATGACCAACTTTCAACCCACAATCGACCCTGACTCATTGATCTATATATCCATTAAATCACCTCAAAAACAGATAATCATCTTATCATGTCAGCTGGGGCCATTGGTAAATTAAAACTCCAAATGCAAGGTGGGTAATGGAGTTTATTGTATTGTCAGCCAGTTGCTGTTTGCATTGTAATGCAAGATTTAACTACAAATGAGCAGAGAGGACCTCTGAACGGTCTCGACTCCATTGTCAGATCGGTCTTTATAATGGACCTGGAAAACAAAGCCACATAAATCTCCCTTTTCTATAAAGGAGAACAAACTAAAAAAACAAATCCTTAAGTTCTTTTTGTTGTTTTTGTTCGTTTTTGCATGAAAACGACATCAAGTGAGTTAAAGATCCTGTGAAGAGTTTTCAGCTGGTTTTGAAACAGACTGTAGATGAATATGGAGCAGAAAAGCAAACAAGATCATCACTGAGGGGCCAGATTAGTTTTTAAATACTTATTTTTGATTCTGTGTGCCAAACAGGATCTTTCCCATAACATTTTTATTGAGAACGATTCACAATGAGTAATACACTTGACAGGAAAAGGAAGAAGAACGAGTCTTTTTAAAATCTAATTTTCTAAACACTTAAAGCTCAAGAGTGGTGTGTGTCTGGTGGTGTTTTTACCCAAAGAATCTTGTTTTATATTAATATAATGTGTTGTAACGTAACTGACATGGTCTGCAGTTAAAGCAGCCTTTAGGGTGAAAACTTGAGTTTAAGTTTTAATTTTAAGTTTATTTATTTAAACCAGGGACAATACATATTGATGAACGTATACATGTAAATGTGCAAAATTATAGCCAACGGCTAATTTCCATCTTTAGTCCCTTCAGCAGGTTGATGTCAACAACATTAGGTAATAAAATCAATAAAACTACAGGAACAACAAGTAGAACAGCTAGCCTTCATGGCCAGTATGAGCAGGGGGAGTAATTACAGAGAGGGAAAACGGGTCTTTGAAAACACAATAGGACAGAAAATGAAAAATAAAAGCAAGAACAATGAAATCAGGGTCCCCTGAATCAAGGGACCATATGCATTTCACTAGCGTTAAATGCTAAAATTAGCTACCAAAGTGCTGATTAAAGTGCAGAGTGCTGAAGTGTTAAAGTGTTAGGTGCGTAATTGTATTGCAGATTGCCCGATTGCACAGTAAATGTAAAGTGCTATTTTAAATGCATAATACTCAGAATAAAGTGCATGCCTTGCATGTGGCCCTAATGCCTAAAAAGTAAATAAAGATATAATAAATAGTAAAAATATTAATGGGGGAGACTTAGACCACATATTCTGACTGACTCCTCTGCACAGCATTTTGTGTTTTTCCATCCTGCTGAAGCAGTAATTAATTCATGGAATTCATGACTAATATCATCATTTTATTTGGCTGAAATATAAACAAAAACATCACTTTCTTCTTTTTATATTTCTGGTTAAGAATCTCCCTGGGCTGTCATTTGTATTCTCAGACTGCGAAAAATTCAAGTTCAACAAGAAAATGAAGCAAATAAGAAGCATCAAGCCTCCTGCCTCCTGCCTCTGTCTCCTTCTCTCCACTTACTGTCCGATAAGATGATGTGTGCAGCCCGCTAAAAGCTTCATGCAAAGATTACTGGAAAAGATATGTCATGTTCTCGACATACCTCCTCATACATCCTCACAGCCCTGTGTGTGTGTGTGTGTGTGTGTCTCTCTGAGTGCACTTACATAGATGTTGTCCTTCTGGTAACGCTGGTACAGGTTGTGCATGATGGCGGCCTCGTGCAGCTCAGCCAGTGCTGACATATCCTCGACACCATCGATGCTGGACTGGTGCATGGCGTACACCCGCTCCCTGGTAACCTCCGCCTGCTGCAGGTACAGCACCTGCAAGACGAGAGGACATACTTATAAGCATTTAAAAGTCTTATATTGTTGTTAGGATTTAGTTTATTCAGTGTGTGTTTGTGTGTGCTCAAGGACAATTTCAAATACCTCCTTATAATTTTGGCATTGCTGTTAATTATGATGCAACACAGTGAAAATCCACATGATAAAAACACTATCCTCATCTTTGCCATCTATCGCCATAGAAACTAGAAAATAGGGGAAAGAGGGTAAAGGAAACCAGCAGTCTGAGAGAGAGAGGGAAGAGAGAGGGTGACGGATCAGATGTGGCAGCACCTGACAGGTAAAATCAGCTCGACTTGCATCCATGTCAGGCACACACGTGTGTTACTACAATGACCCAGTCTCTCTCTCTTGCATAGAAGCCACGCACACACATACACTCACAACATGGGAGAGGAGATCGTTTACTTTATATTTCATCAAAGGTCAGTCATTCAGTTGAGCAGAATCAACTCGTCCAAGAATAGAAACCACAACCTTTACCATACCGGGTTGTTAATATGTCAGCTAAGTCTCACAGCCAGCCTCCGCCCCCTGTTTTGTGCATGTTTGAGTGTGTGTTGCTGTAACAGATGTGGAGGAAGTCTGTTGAGAGCGGCAGAGGGGCTCGCTGTAGGCATTCCGACGTCTTGTTCTAAAATAAATCTGTTTTACTCCACCGACACTTCACGGAGCATTCGCATTCAGATAAACAGCACAACCTACACGCAGTCATCACTTGCCAACATATGTGTAAATTGTTGTTTGTGGCAGATAAACAGAAACCTGCTGTGTTGTCGTTCTTTCATTCCTCCTCTCTGTCGTGTGTGTGGGAATTATTTATAGATGTCTGCTGTTGGCTGATGATGAAGTCGAAGACCCTAACCTTTCCTCGCTCACTCAGCTGTGATGAAATGACCCAATTATCCCCTCGTCCTCCATTAGAGAAAGCATAACTCATGCTAGTGTTCGCTGGCTAACTACTCACCATCCTCACTGTGACCCTGTCCACTTGACTCCTTGTCTTTACCTTGTGCCACTGCGGTTCACTATAATGTAACTGACCAGCAGCTATTCAACGATAAGAGTTTTCTGTATGGAAATATCAGAGGAAAATGTACACAGAAACCCCACATCATGTCTGTTGTGTTTAATTGCAGTTGTTGACTAAAATATCAAAGTAAGGAAGAAAAAGAAAAAAGGAGGAAGAAAGAAGGACAGAAAGAAATAATACAATAAAGAAAAAAATGAGTGAGAGAAAAAGAAAGAAAGAAAGAAAGAAAGAAATAAAGAAAAACAAATACAGACAAGAGAGAAAAATGAAAAAATATTAAATGAAAGAACATAAGAATATTAAAAGAGTCAAAGAAATATCAAAAAGAAAGAAAAGGAGTGAAATGAATAAAGTAAAAGAATTACAGAAAAAGAAAGAAAGAAAGGAAAAAGAAAGAAAGAAAGATAGAGACAAAAGAAAGAAAGAAAGAAAAAAGAAAGAAGAAAGAAAGAAAGAAAGAACAAAGGAAAATGAAAGAAAGAAAGAAAGAAAAAGAAAGAAAAGGATTGTTAAAAGTTCTGGTTAAAACAAGAAAAATCAGGATAATGAAGTACATACTCAGGTAAGTTTGGAAAAATTTAGAGAAATTTCCGGTGGGAATCCAAGGCAGAAAAAGAGAAAATAAATAAGGGAGAGAGTGTTAAGTCTCTTATGAACTGACTGATAAAGTTTATGTTGAGAAAATGAGGAAGAAACAAAGAAAAGAAACAAAGAAACCTGTAAGTAAAGAAACTAACTTACTGAAAAACAGCAAATTAAATTTAAAAAGAGTGATAAACGGGGAAAAACAGGGAAAAGGAAAAAATAAAAAATAAAGGATTTGTTAAATTTTAGTTCTGTATGTGTGTGTTAATGGTTGCATAAAGATCTGAAAGGATGTACTCATAAGTCTGTGTTTATGTGTTTGTAAACACTTTATCTGACTGATGAGTTTCATACATTTTAACTTTCTCACTGTATTAAACATCACTTCTCTCCCTGTCTTCAGTCTTCATGTTTCATACATCACGTCTCTGTTCCCTCATCTCTATTTCTCTTTGTATGTCACTCCTCTTTCATCCCTCCCCCCACTTCATCATTTGGATCCCTGTTCCCTCGATTTCACTCCCTCTCACATCACCCACTCCTCATTAATTTACCTCTCTCCTCCGACTGCCCTGCTCTGCTTTTCCTACATTTCTATACAGCTTTTTTCATCATTTCCCTCCTGTTACTCTTTATCACTTTTATTGCTGCTTTTGTGCCTTTGTGGATTTTCTAATATCTCTCTTTCTTTCTCTCTCTTTTCTGTCTATCTCATGTGTTCTTACTCACTTAATGCCTAAATGGCTCGATCTGAGACTGCTGTCTGTTATTGATGGCTTACCGAGAGCTATTTCAATCAGGGAGTCAATCCTGCCTGAGCAATCCAGGGAAAATTACTGTGCAACAGACGACGAGGCTACACTGACGCCATCCCACACATACAAATGCACACAGACACTCGTAAAAAAAAAAGCACAATGTCGAACATAAAGGAACACGGGTATAGATTAATTTAAATTGAACGTAGCCAGAACCCTAACAAGAGTCCCTTAGCAAATACGTCTCTCATAAAACAACTGCCTGAAAGCAAAAACTAGAATGTTTTACTCGTAAGAATAAAGCAAATAAATACAAATGGATAGCTAGACTGTAGTTTTGATTTCTATAATTGCCTCTAAAGCTAAAGCTGCTGTCATATCTGTCAAATATAACAGCCTAGGAGAGCAGATAAAGCGGAGAAGTTTAGGGAAAACCGCCCGGGACAACCAGCACGCAGATGATTCAGAGAGAGGGGATGCTCTGAAGAGAGAAAGTGTGTCAGTGACAAAAATAAAATGCAGCTCGAGTGGAAGACTTTTTTTTTTTTTTTTGAGACCGTCTCTTTTTTTTATTCCCCTCTGGTGAGTTTTTAACACACGCACAGAAACTGTTCAGAAATTTCAGCACACACACAAAAGTCTGACAACACAGAGAGTCTAAAACCAGAAACCTCACGTTCAATAATTCATCGTCGGAGTAAGGGATGGAGGCAAAACCCAGAAATAGTGAAAGAAAATAGAGAGAAAGAGACACTGACAGACTGCTGAAGGAAAAGAGAGGGAAGAAAGTATTGTAGAAGTAGAGCATAGATAGCTAAACGTGATTCTCCAATATCAAAACTTCATGATTTCTCAGTGTGTCTTGTTATCTTCCAATCCTCACTCCTATTGGCTACCAAATCATGTCATAGCAAATGTAGATGTATAATATGCTTGTTGAAATGAATGCCAGGTTTAATGTATACAGTATTGTCTTAAAGCTCCTGTAGGTAACTTTTTGTTTGTGTTGATTTTGGTGCCCCCTGTGGACAAAGAGATCCCTGTAATCTGTTAGCCATGTTAAAGATGGTCTTTCCTGCTTCTGAGGGTTATACAGAGACATCAGTATCAATTTTAGTCTATTTCTAAACTAGTTAAAAACTCCTTATAGTGCCTTTAACTTGACAACTGCCTGGGTTCACTGTTAAAGAACCATCCTGGATAATATGTAGGATAGTCTAACACTCATGTCTGGACAGAAATAACAGCATTAGTTTAGTAACTCATCTCAAAACACGAGGATTTGGTAAATAACACTCCTTAGTACATCATGTTCTTTGTTGACATTTACCGTCTCAGACTCTTTTCTTTCATGATATTCAGATTTTTCTCTCTTCCAGAAATACTGCTGCATTTTTAACATGTTTTACTCATGTGAACACACTTTTTGAGCATCCACACACGTATACGCCTTGGAAGGAGCCGTCTTCCTGCAAAGCTCTCTGAAGTCTGAAGCTGCTTTGCATGATTCAGGGGGAGCCAGGGGAAACAAGCCTCTTCATCTGACTCCACTTATTAGCAGCAGCCGGAGTGAGGAGAGTGGGAGAGAGGGATAAAGATGGAGCAGAGAGAGAAAGAGAGAGAGAGAGAGAGCTGTGGGCCCAGTGACCTATATATTCTGCAGAGTGCTTTTATTGGAGTTACAGTACCACAGAGTACAGTATGCACCTGCCCCGACTTTGGATCAAGTTTGGTAGATTTTGCGGGTCAGATTAGGATTGAGAGAAACTTTGCATAATCTGACCATAGAGAGCTCTATAGTAAAAGTCAAAAGAGCAGCTTCGGACAGATGTTCAGGGAAATCTAAATTATCCTAAAACAAAAGTTTTACAGAGAGCTTTGTTGCATGCTGGGCTTTAGGAGCTGGGTTATTGATCTGCAGTACAGATCCATGTTTGCCATCCGTGTTTGTTTTTGTTCAGTTTTAAAGAGAAAAGGTCAGCAAGGACTTTTCATGCAGTGTTGTCTGTAAAGCTTTTTTATCAGCACTTGAGCAGCGAGCAGCCCGAGCACTGTGTTCAGCAGCTTGTCAGGACTCCTTTGTGGAGCGATGAAATAAAAGGTCACCAGCAGTTTTTGACGAAAGTTTGCCGTGCCTCTTTGACTACAGCCTTTGTGCTGTTAGACCAGGACATACTGCCTGATATGTTGGTTTCCTGAATATTAGAGCTGTTAACTCTTCCAACACACAGATTGTATAAAAAATATGGACAGCCACACAGCTCCCCAGAGGTGAAGCTGAAGTCTCTAGAGCTCCCCCTGGTGACTAACTGCAGTAAAGCCTGCATCCACCATTGTAATAGAGAGAACATGGGTCAAGCTAGGAATTTAAAATACACATCACTTTTTTTTTTTCTTTAACATACTTCTGTTAAAGGAATATTCCGGCGTAAAATTAATTTAGGGTCAAACACACAGATTTCTTCATGGATGTGCAATCAGGCCGAGACGCTACGGAAGAAGAACTACCACGTCCTCAGTGCAAAATGATTAATATGGTGATTATTACTTAAAGGAAATGACAAAGTAATGATCACAAATGTTCTTCCTTGAGCTGTGTCACCCCGCAGCAGTCCGTAATGGACTGGCCTGAGGTTTCGTTACAAAAAAAGCCGCTGCTAGAAGAGAGTAGGTGAGTTGTGTTTAGTCTCTTTGCTAAAGTTAAAAAGATGTTTGGTGGCTAGTGCTGCGGCTGGGACCCTATATGTCCTGTTGATGAAGTTAGGTGCTGTTCTGAGAATTATCTGTGGCTATAGAGTGGCGTTTTGGTTGAGGTTTGTTTATGGCTCCTTAGGCCGCTGTGTATTGCTATCGTGTGGTCTTTACTAAAGTTGGTAAAACTAGAGAAGCAAGCGGTCGGCAACATTCATCTATCGAGGGGGTGTCTAACTCTGTGTTACGATATGTTTGACCCTAAATTAATTTTACGCCGGAATATCCCTGTAAAGTAGTCAGTCCTTGTCATTCTAGTGTATGTGCAAGAGTCCATATTTTGATTAGTTATCATTTAGAGAGTATTATAAGTTGACAACATAGGAGTGTCATGGCCACTTTCATCACAAACAAAGAAATCAAATCTCATAGCGTCGCACACCTCCAAAAGTGCAAACAACTGCCTATACCACCAAAAGAAGTTAACAACAAGCTCTGACTCTGTTTCTGCCTCTCTGGCCCACAGCACTGAGGCGAATAACACCTTTCATATGTCATCATCTTTTAGGATTTGGCAGCTCACACTCATCCCAGCCTGAAGGGGATCTCTGCCTCATTTGCACAGATATGGGACACTGCGGAGAGAAACAGGAACTGTGAGAAAAAGAGCGCCAGAGAGCAAAAGACATGGGAGGATGTTTGTGTGTGTTTGCATATCAGTATTTTTGTGCGCCAGTTTGACAAAGCTGCGTTAATCTCATTATGTGATACAGAACAAGTGAGTAACTACGGGTCCTCAGAGGGAACAAAGATGAAGACGGTGAAGGGGAATGATGAATGTGGGTCAGAAGATCGCACAGAAACATCAGCCTGCTTCTATGCCATCTCAGACTGAACAAGTCATTTCTGCACTTTTTATTAGGCACATTAGACAGAGTGTGTGTGTGTGTGTGTCTGTTTGTGTGTGTGTGTGTGTGTGTGTGTGTGTGTCATTTACTGTGCGCACAATGAGAACGACATCCCTGCAGCATGTTCTGTGCTCGCGTGAGCTCTCGCTGCAGCTTTCACGCTAGCTTCTGAAATCCAGGTCACATAACACACTACTCATCGCTAACGTAACCTTGGAGTGTGTGTGTGTGTTAGTGTGTCCAGTAGAGACACAGGTGTGTCTGAGTACTTCACCCTTGTTTAGCCCTCTGTCTGTCTACAGCCTCTGTTTTTCCATGTATATTACAGTCCTGTCTGGCTGTAGGTTCACTGGATGATGTACACTGGGATATCATATACATGGTAGGCGGAGCCTGCCGTTGTATCCATGGTAACCCAACTGGAATGGATCTCTGCCAGGCCTAGGCCATATCTAAATGTGAGGATGTAAATCTGAAATGTCAACTGATATTGACTTATGAGGACAATCCTCAGTAATGAATCTATGTTTTACCTCTAGTTTTCTTAATCACCATACTCATACATTATGTTATTTACTCCCATATACTGTATTTGCTCTAAATTTATCCATATTCAATTCTTTGCTGACCCAGTTTCATCACAGCTTCATCAAAGCTATGTATTATCTGATCTGATCCAACTGTTCTCTCTCTCTGCTGTAATCTGTGCAGATTTAAAAAGGTAAGACATTTGATCATTGATGAAATATTTATGAATGAGGTTTTGCAGATTCCTGCCAGGCCTTTGTTTTATCTCCAAGCAGTCATTTTTGAAGTTAAATTTAGACTTAAGTTGAATTCAAGTGAACGGAGAGATTTTCCAGCTCGTTGGTGTTTTTTATTTGGGAAGAAGTGCATTTTTTTTCCTGTCCGGTTGTAGTTAAGTCAAATCAGGCATCTGTTAAGGATACCCTAGATTTCCTTTCGTACGGACATCCCAGATCAAAACTGGAGGAAGGATTACTTAACCTTCTTGTACTGCCTGACCATCAAATCAGCCAATATATGGACTGATATAAGCTGATTTCGGGTTAATCTCTAGCTGCAATCAGAGGATGTCTGGGCTGCTCGCTGCCACTGATCCCCCGACTGAGGGATGAAAAATGAGAGAGTTTTGATTTACTCCAGTAGTCCCAAATGTTTACACGAGAGGCTCTACCTCCTGGCTTTGACTAGCTTCGAGCTTTAAATATCTGGACTTTCTATTCTTATTTCAACTTACAACAATATACCATCACACTATGACCTTGTATTCAATGTTATGTAGGCCCCCATTAAAGACAAACAAGGCCAAACAAGCTTGACCTGACAAGAAATGGATTCTGCTAGACCTCTGAAGGTGTGCAGTGGCATCCGTCACCAAAATGTTGACAGAATCCTGTAAATTGTCAGGTGGGGCCTTTGTCGAATGGACTTGGTTGTCCAACAAATCCCACAGGAATTGGATTGGTCTGAGATCTTGAGAACCTGTGGGCCAAGTCAACACTGTTCTCCATTGCTCTGGGGTCTAGTTTTGATGCTCATGTGTTTATTTAAGCACTTTGGATAGGGGAGTCTTCATGGGTTCTTTGACCAGTCTACAATTATGTATACCTATCATTTGCACTGTGTTTACAACATTTTTGGATATGCTCTGCCCAGTCATCTAGCCATCAAGATGGGATTCTTGTCCATGTCGCTCACATCTACACGTGTCCATTTGTCCTGCTTCCAATACATCAACTTTGAAGACATGATACTCACTTGCTATCTGGTCATTTCACCTGCCAGTAGTCAAAATGTTAAAGGGTAAATGATGCCTCTGGACCTACTACCTTAAGACTTGACTTAAGACCTGTAATGTTGACTGGACTTGAGCCTTTGTCGATTGGACTTGGTTGTCCAACAAATACTGTTATGCTGTTTTTGAGTTGTACCTTGCAGTGGGGTGGTTAAGTTGCGTCCATGTTACCTGGAAAGTCAGATGTCTGAGCTGAGAATGATGTCGCACCCGAATTACCAGCGCCAAGTCAGAAAAAAGCAAAATCGGAGGCGAAAACAAGATGGCTAGATCTACAAAAGTTATTTTAGCGCTTGCCTTGTCCTTGCTTATATTTGGACAAGGCAAGCGCTGAAATAACTCTTAGATGTAGCCATCTTGTTTCCACCTCCAATTTTGCTTTCTTCAGACTTGGTAGCTGAAACGCTGGTAACTCAGGTGTGATGTCATTCCCAGCTCAGACTTCTGACGTCCGGACACAGCATTAGAGTCGGTGTATTGTCACAAATGGCTAACAGAAAAGAAGACAGTAAATATGCACCAACGCCTGCCCCTCCAATCATCCACCATAGACCTGAGTTTGAGGTTTGGACGTTATAGGGGTGTGCACCATGCTTTAATGACGTCAGAGGCAAAAAAAGTAGAGTACAAATGATGATGAATGATGCATGTAGTTGTGGGTTATGCTGATGTGATGTAAAGGTTTGTAGTTTTGCAGCCGCAGCATTCATGACCCTGAATCAGTGCTGAAGTGATCTGGGTCAGGGACTTTAGAGTACAGAACCAGAGTGACAGGGCAGCCAGGGAGTGAATATGAAAATGTAAAGTATGGGTAAAACAGAAGGAAAAGCAGCTACATATAGCATGTTTCTTGTTCCAATGGCCACTCCAGTGTGCAAATAGCATCCTCTGTTTCAGCTGTTTTAATTTCAAAACTATTAAAAAGCTCTTGGGACACAGGAATCATTTATGACCGAGATCAAGAGACTCAGCGGCCGAGCAGCAGGGAGTGATGGACGGCCTGGGACTGTTTGCATGGGTCAGATCCTGTCCCAACAGTTCAGACCCCTCATCCCGCTGATTCTCTATCAAATATTCACCACCTCCTGCAGAGCTAACATTTATACACCGACCACTGACAGGGGAGGGAAGGCAGAGGGAGAGCTGGATGGGGGTTGGGGAGGTTGAGGACGATCATAATCCAGAGCAAAGAGAATGCCCGCTCCTATCGCTAACCCTCCAGTTTAGGAAATGCCCGTGTGTTTCTGCAGGAACAGGATTAGCGAAGCGGAGACATGAAAAGGCGAAGCTTTTAGAGCAGCGTTTGGCCCTTTGATTTCTGAAAGGCCACAGACGTGGATTCATGGTACATCTAAGGAAAGGAGAGTACATGTGGATGTTCTCTGAGGGGAAAAAAGAGAGGATTGAGACCCTTGAATTTGGGCTGAAAGACCTGGTCTATTATTAGCTCTGTGCTAACGCTGCCAACTGGAGCGCATGTGTGTTTACGGTGCATGCCAAACACATCAGCCATCAAATAAATCCAAAAAGCAACGTGTGCCCGGCTCACTGATACAGATTATATGAACACCCACACACCCACTCCCACACACACACACACACACACACACACACTCATAATGGGATTTAAATATTCAATTCCATTATTTTGGCGGGGGTGTGGTGTTAAACGTTTGGGGCTGGGGCAGCCGCCTGCCTGGCTATACACAGCTTTAGGAAACGCTGTCCCGACATCTGACATCCTGGAACGAGCGTTTGTGTTCCCATAATGCTCTCTGTCTATTCTGGCTCTCCTCTGGAGGCTGAATGTGTGCCAGTGATGAATTTTGCATATGTATGAGGAGAACGAGGAGGAGGAGGAGGAGGAGGAGGAGGAGGAAGCAACTGGGACAGGAAAGTAGAGCATCATGACCAGGAGTCAGTTTATTGATTCTCGCAGTAGAGGATGAACCTGCACAGCTGCCTCACCTTTACTCTGACCTTTATCTGAGCGCTAATTCACAGACCAGATGACACAGTACAAGCACATACTGCAGCTCTCACGATGCATCTAATCCAACACTGGCACTGTTCGCTCCCCCTCTCTGTTTCTGACTAATTAATCAGGGTTTAAGTTGTACTGTGTACGGTATTTAAACTATTCATTAATTCAACATGCATTAGAGGGATAATGTATGGTGAGCAGATGACTATGTGGATCAGATCCTTGACAGTGTGAGCAAAACTTTGAATGCCAATCAAATAACACTAAGACTACGTTTGCACTTGCCCAGCTATTTTCATGAACGGACATTTAACCCTGTCCATTTACAGAAAAAACTGCGTGCAGACCACTACGTTTTCAGAAAAGTTTTCGTTTAAACTAACCCGTGTATATATGCCGTCAACAGCGTATCAAACATTTGGGTTGCAGCATAGCGAGAAGCTCAAGCCCACGCTAGGCAATCAGAGCAGTGTTGTTTTTGTTGACGAAAATATTTCGTCAATGCCCCTTTTTTTCCACAACAAAGACGTGACGTTGACGAGCTAAACATAAGTCTTACATAACTAAAATGTGACGAGACGAATGTGCGCTTACGTTGATGAGACTAGACGAAAACGTTGGTGGTGGACGACGAACAGAATTGCAAAATTCATGAGCATTTCGTCAGTCAAACACTAAACATATATTCTGCAGTGTTGTTTTCGTTGACGATGACGTTGACGAAATATGTCATCGTCAACGAAAACAACAATGAATCAGAGTCCCGCATAAAAGCAACAACAATGTCCCTTCCTTCTTTCCTATGCACAATTTGGAGTTGTCCAAAATCTCTAGGGCCGAATTATCTGTTTGCGTCGAAATGAAGGGTGCAAACGATGGTTAATGTCTTTGTTTTTGAAGGTAACCAGGTACGTATAAACAGGGCTTAAGTGAAACTAACATTTTTGCCACAGTGTCAACAGGCAGAATTTAAATTTCCGCTTGATTTGATGTGACTTGTGTCATCAGGTGTCAGTTTTGAGTTGGGTTGGGTTGGTTTTGACCAATCAGGATCATGTATTCAACACAACCAGGCGATAACAGTATTTCACAACCAGCAGCATTGTGGATTCAGCTTGAACTCTTCGTGTCTGTGTTGTAACAACAATGACTCATAAAGACTTCGCCTTTTTGTGTGTGTCTGCACTTCTCTTACCTCGCCATAGTCGGTTGTGACGACAAGAGTTCCATCCCCGCAGGAGTTGACTGTGGCGGGAACCAGCTGCTCCTTCTCCCTCACCCAAACACGGGCCCCCTGCATCAGAGAGACACAACAAGGAAGAGGTTTTAGGAAAAGTGATGAAAGATAGCGATTACACCTTACTTAGATAAAAACATCTCATATTGACACAAATTTATTATAATCATTCAGCATGGTGACACCAGGGAACGAATTATCCTTAAGTTCCTGAGGCAACAAAACAAACTCATAGTTGAACAAACAGCACAAAACACTCTCTGTAGCCATGATGAGGGAGTGTGGATGCTACAGGAGGATGTCACAGATGTGATACATGAAGACTTGAACATCTGTGAGAAGCAACAAGGCTTGACATCTGTGTGTGTATGTGTCCGTGTGTGTTGATTTAGGTTCAGAGGAAGTGCACTCTTCCTAGACCTTCATGCACAGACAAAGTCCTCTTTCACACAGCCAGTGACCTCTGACCTCGAGGCCTTAAAAAAGGGGGCACAGCATCGCAGAAGAGGGAGAGCAAAGGGCACAGGAAACAAGAAAGAAGAAAAAGATGATGATGGGAGGAAAACCAAAAATATAAGATTAAAAATAGAACCAAAAGAGGAATATGAAACGAAGATAAGCTACAGATGAAAAAGAAGAAGAGGATAGGATTAAAAATCAGAGACAGTGACTCTGAGAAGAGGAAGACAACCAAGAAAACAATAACTCTGACAATAGTTTCTAAGAAGATAACCCACCAGAAAGGGGGATCACCAAATCAAGAAAACCATGAAGATGCAAAAGAAAAGACCAAAAGAAAGACAATAAAGAAATGATCAAGAGGATAACCAAAAAGGGGATGATGAACTGGAGGATGGCAGAAAAGAAAACAACCAAAGAGACTTCAGAGCAGAAGATGACCAAGAAGGCAACCAAGACTGAGATGGATGACCAAGAAGGTGACCAAAATACAACCAAGAAGGCGACCAAGAAGTAAAACCAAAAAGGGCCAAGACGCAAACCAAAACTATGACCAAAATGACACTCAGACATTATTAAAGTCTAAAGCCTCAGAAGGTGTTTAAGCCCTTCATACACTTTCTGTGACACCAGATGTTTTCATCCAGATGAACTGAGCTGTTAAATTGTTTTAGCAACACATGGCTCCTCACCCTTAAGCAATGCCCGACAACCTTTTTCTCCGGCATCTTCATCCCCTTCCCAGATTTTTTTTAACCCTTTCCTTCTCTCTGTAACAATCTGACACACACACACTAATAATTATAATAGAAAACCAGTGAGCCCCAGGATATGGAATTAACCGGCAGAACTCATCCACACACACACAGTATACTATATATACACACACTGCTGGAGAGCTCAAGGTAAGCCTGAGGGCAAAAAATGTCTGAACGCTTCAAGATAAAGACTTTAGCGCTCCTAGCTTTTAGAAAACATCAACCCTTTTATCAGCACCTGAGAATGAAACACAGACTCACACATTGTTGTGTTTTTTCAACTCATCTGAGGACCGTACACCTCAGCCTCACCTATGATAGTCAGAATAACAACAAATATAACTCCAAAAATGGTCACAATTTAGGAATTGGGATAAAAATATGAATATTGTTAGAAAATCTGAAGCTTTTACTGAAAAACAAATATGATTTAAGTTGCGTTTTAATGAATATCTTGTGTTTTCTTTTGTAAAAAATAAGAGGGTCATACTGGACCAAGAGGGGCTGCAGCTGCAAAAGTTATAGTTGTTAGACTGAGAAGTGAACAAATAAGGTTTGATACAGAAATGTTTTATAGTTACTAATTAAAGACATGTAGTTTCACTTTAAAACACAAAAATGTCACAATTTTAACTGATGCAGCCTGAGTGGAATAGAAATGGTTTTATTTGTAGTAGCTATAAGATGTTAAATCATCTTCTGTTGAACATATTATTTCACTTTTTTCTCTTTTACTATAACTCCATCAGTGTTCATCATGTCATGATATGTTCTGTTTATTTAATTTTCTCCTCATGTTGTTAATTAGATTTTAGTTTCTTTGTGTTTTTCCTTGTGTTTCTGTTCCCTGTTGTTCTTGTGATTCTGTATTGTGAGTTTTCAGTTTGTGTCTGACCCTGTTTCTTTGTGTTTTATTCTTTAGATCAGTTCTCAGTGTTTCCTATTTTATTTTGTAGTAGTTTATTCCTTGTGTTTCTAGTCTGGTTTTACCTCCCCAGTTTTCCCTCCTTGGTTAATCACCCATGAGTTTCACCTGTGTCTCGTTAGCCGCACCTGTTGCTCGTTAACCAGTGTGTATATAGTCCCTGTCTTCCTCTCTGTCCTTGTGGGTTATATTGTATGTCAATATTTTGTTTGGATTTTACTTCTTCTGCTCTTGGAAGGAAGTTTTTTGTTGCTTTTTATTTTGTTCTTTTTTATAAATCATTTTTTGTTCTGCATTTGGGTCCTTTTTTGGTTATTCAACTCTGCCACATGACACATAACTGAAATATCACAACAGCTGAACTGATTGTTATGAAATTTGATACAGACATTCATAGTTCACCTTCGGTTGAACTTGAAGAAACTTTATTCATCCTTTCTTCATTGTGATCAACAAAACCTTGACCATTTAAATAATTCTGATAGGTTACTGAATGTGCCCGACGCCGCTGCATCCAGTGTCTATTTCAGAGCCCTGAATTTATGTAGTGTACTATTAGCTGGTCCGGTCATTACCCACCGAAATTACAGCGAAGCTATGATGAGCGAAAACTGGACCGTCTCGGTTTGATGTGTTCAGGTTCACAAATTTTGCCTCAAAAGTTTGTCAATGAAAAAAAAGACAGTCTCGTGTTAAATAGTCTATGATGAGAGCAATAGAAGCAGAGCACATTAGCTGTAATGTCACCCTGAAATCCACTGGCAACTAACTTTTGGCAATTAACATAATTTAACAGCCTTGAATAGGTATTTGCACGAAAGTGAAGCAGACAAACAGTCCTTGGATAAATCCTTTAAAGCATCAACTCTCACTCCTCGATGGCTAATCAAACTGTAATCTTCACTCTCCAGGTAGCACTTTCAGCCCTATCACTCAGGTGGACTTAGTGTTGTAATTTGCATGTTGATACACAAACATATCGCAGATAGTGTTGTGTTATAATATTCTGATTCATCATGTCCTGAAGCCCACCAAGACTTCATTAAATAAACCCGCTGCTTCATTTTCGTGCTGAACCGCTTCAACCTTTGCATGATCAAGCCTCATACATCTAGAATCACTGAGAACTGAAATATTCAAAAGCCTCCCCCACTCGCTCTCTCTCACTGTGTTGCCCTCTCCTCAGCAACTCTCTATATTTAGCCCCCTCTAGATTCCCTCTTTCTCTGCAGACAGACAGCCGGTCTCATCTGCCTGTCAGATTCCTGCACACAGAGCTATTGTATTAATGGTTGTTACAATGTGATTTGACCTGATGACCACAGCACGGCCTGAGGCTTATCTCACAGCTCAACAGTGCTTCACTACATCCTTGTTTTAACGTAAAATGACCTCTGACCTCAGTTAAACCTCAAGCACTGGACCTACAGCTTTAGCCCTGAGGAACATCAACACAGTTTCTTCTTATTCTCTTCATAAGCTAAAATGTGATGCTATTTTTGCTTTCTGTCCTGCTCTCTATCCATCTCCTCTTTAAGAAAATTGGCCTCCAGTTCCAGATCGATGTACTCCACCTGAGCCATGAGCAATCTCTGGGGCAAATGCAGTGAAGGGGAGACAGAGAGTTTTAAATGACCTGCCTGCATTACAACCTACATCCACCAACACCCTCGTTCTCCTCCTCTTTGTGTTCTCCTCCCCTCCCCCCACTCTATTACCGTCCCAGACAGACAGGGAATGGCCGTGCATAACAAACTCCACCATTGAAAGCTACATGTTTGTTAAAATCACAGGTTTTCTATCCATCTCTAACTATCATGATCCGTGAAATTCAAACCTCAGCCTGCAGCTCCGTCCATCACCATTTCGTCAAGCTCAGTTAAACCTGAACCGACCTCAATCGCCACTTTAGCCTCAAACATGACCCCTGACCTCGAATCTCACACCATGCACTCTGAGCAAGAGGAGTTGAAAGAGCAGGAAAACAACCTGAACAAGAATGTTACCTGATGCAAGTTCCACAAGACACAACTTGGAAGTCAGCTTTACACTGAGTGACAGTGGCTCTCTCCTTGAGACTTATGTTACAAATTTCAGACATCAAGATGCAGGTCTGATACCTTTTGTTTCTCATCTAAAAAGTGAGTGGAATCCAACATCAGTGCCACGAGTATACCAGACAATTTCACCCAGAAGATGGCGATGGAAAGACGCAAGCAGCCCCAAAGCAAGCTGAATACAGAGTGACTCAGACCAGCCTTATTGCTTTTTTCCTTTAGTACAATCATGCATTTAGAGAAGACAGCGGAAAACTATGAAGTAAAGGCAGCTTGCAATGTCCCACTTTGATTGGCAATGCTGCGTTCCAGCTGTACTTGGAATTCGGAATTTCCGAGCTTCAAGTCGGAAATTCATCTGGAACGCACTCCTGAAGTCGGATTTCCGACTTGTAAAATCTGACGATCCTCACCAACCCTGAGTTGACGACGTCATAATTCAAGATGGCAGTTTTGCATACTGTGTGTCCACTTCTGACCAATCAGATTGCGTGTTGTTGTGACGTCAGATTCAGCGCTATATCCAACATGGGCGACCGGCTGATTGTTTACATGTCAGAGAACAGAGTGCTTTTTGATTAAAGACACAAATATTACAAAGATACTGACCTGAAGGACAACTTGTGGAGAGTCATAGCGTCGGATCTCGTTGGATGGTTTGTGTGCTTTAACAGTTTGCTAAACGTCTTTGTTTTAACTTTCATCTGTGCTAACGTATGCTAACAGTTGTTACCATAGTTTCATGTGCTTATCTTATCACCTCTGATTGGCTAAAAGTGCTGACCGTTTGGCTTGAGCGTGTAATGACGTTTCCAGCTTTTCTAGCCAATCAGAGGTGAAGGAGGCGGGACTTTCCCCGGGAAGTCTTCGCTGGAATGCAAAATTGCAAAAATCGCATCGGGTTTGATGTGTATGGTCAGCCCTGATGTGTAAGGACCTTAACTGTGAACACAGTGCTATGGTGTTTGTAAGAGTAAAATACTGTGTTATGCGTTGTTTACAACTGGTATAGCTAACAACAACTAACAACCGCTGAAAATTGTAAACAGCTAACAACGGCTAATGTAGGTGTCCATCTTGGTTTTTCCGACTTGGTAACTGAAACGCTAGTAAGGCAGGTGTGACATCATTCCCAGCTCCGATATCCAACTTCTGAGGTAACTAGAACACAGAATAAGACTACGTCCTTTAAATCAAGAAACTAGTGGTGGTGCTAGTTTCAGCTAACTGGTTCTGGGTCTTGCCTCACCACTATAAATGCTACTGTAAGCTCTGCTAAACTGCCATATGGGTAGTAAGCAACATGGAAAGAAACAGATGGTACTTGAAAGAGCTACACATCTGTATGGAAACTGCATGTTGCTGAACACAATGGAGGCCTTTCATGCAGGAACCTGGTTGCATGCATTAATGTTTCTGGATGAATATGAGACAGGAAATGGGAGATTCAAGAGTCCTGCAACCTAACTGGTATTTTAGAGGAGAGCCAAAGGCTCTGGGGACTCTTAATGTATGATTATCTTAAAAAAAAAATCTATGTAATAATCATTATAAGCCAGACTCCTTCGCCTGCTTACTTTCAATTCTTGCTTATTAGAAAGGACATCCTTGATAATCCCAACAAGGGCAGACTCTCAATCTGTATCACCTTCAGACAAAGGCATGACTTTAAGAAACCAATAAAGACAAGGACACCTTCAGTGTGGGGAAGCATACTTAGATCTTTGTGGTTTGATTTCCAGGTAGGGGGCATGTGGATGGGTTTATGCGATGATGTAAATGAACTACATCAGAGTGAGATTTTGCACTGTTGATTTCACAAAGACAACAAACTGGAGATTAAGAAAATCCTGACCGTCTAATAATCTGTCATCGCTCAGCATACAAAGACAGCATCCCCAGAGCATACGGCCCAGACGCCCGAACAGCTGTGAGTGTGTGTCTGATAAAGGCCTTGTTTCTGCTCGGGTGAACACATGGACGGCTGTGCCATTTGACTGAGGCATCGCCTCAAAGACGGTCTCTGATGACAGACACCCCCCCACACACACACACGCATGCACACACACACCTTCCTCACCCCTTCTCTCTCAGAGACACTCATGCCCCAATGAACTCCAAACACATTTTCAGTTTCAAACCGCACATTCAACAGTCACTTGAAACGCTCAACCCAGTGTTGTAGTAAATCCCAGTCAAGTCCTTGTTTTCATGTCCTCTAACTTGACATCGACTTGAGCATACAGACTGAGAGGGTGGAAACTTGCTGAGTTAGAAGCACGTAAAAGATCCGACCCGAAAACACTCAAAATTAACTTAATGCGACTCCGTGACACTGCCCCTGCGTAGTCGTGTCCTCTTTTTGGGAAATCAGACTTTGGTCACAATAATGGCGACAGAGCCTCAAGAAGTTAGTCCCTAAAATTTTAACAAATGATTCATCTTAAAGGGAACCTCTGCCAATATCTGTTTCCAAAATGAATTCAACAAAGTTTTTGAGATGTTACATTTAAAATTACAATGAAATATTACTCTGAGGGAAAAGGAGCCAAAGCAAAATTAATATGAATCCATCTGATAGTTTAGATATTACGGTTAGTGAAATCTCAGCAGCAAAATGTTGGCTATAAAGAGAGCCAGAAATGCAAGTAAAAAAAAAAAACAAAGAGACAAAGGAAGTGAAAATAATCACAGAGAACAGATACGAATGACAGAAACAGACAAAGAGAAGAGGAGTGACTCACAGCAGATGAAGACTATCTGACAACCTGGCTGATGTAAGATCAGTGCAGAAAGACAAGACAGAAACCGCGTGAAAAAAAGAAAAAGGATAATGGTGGTAATGATAATACGAAACACTGTAAAACTTGAAAACTGGGCCAAAGGTTAAAGGTAGAGAAGACTGAAGAAGACACAGGATGACAGCAGCAAGACGCAAATGAATAAATGATGAGGAAAACAGCTGACCAGTCTGCTGCTAATGGAGGAAAACTAAAGATCAGCATGAAGGAAGGAGGAACCAGCGGGATCACTCTGGAGGGTAAAGGTCAGGAGGGGCATTGAGTAATGGCTTTGACTGTGTAGTTACTTTAACAAGCTTATTAACTACAGTTACATCCACCACCAAGACTTAACAGCACATAATACAGCCAATCTAATGATGTAAAATTTACTTATCACATCCAGAAATGAAATAATCTACGATGACAGTAACCAATGAGCCCAACACTCTTTCTTCTCTCTGTCTGATAATCAAGACTCTAAACGGTAAATAACCAACTTTTACATTTTTAAATGAAAGTCAAAATCAGTCCCCAGGCTATGTTAGGCTGCCCTGCAGTGATGGATGTCTGAAAGAGGAGGTGGGTGTGGTTGCGAGTGCTGCTTATCAGAGTTAATCGTGCGAGGGAGGGGAGGGTCCTCTGGATAATATGGTTCCTGTCAGTCCTGAGTGAAGAGCTGTGATTAATGCTGTTTGGCGTCTTTAAGTGCAACCGTGATCACTGTGTTCATGAGATAAATCCACTGAATGATCATGACTGAAGTCATTCAGTTCAGTCAAAGACAATTTAAATAAGTAGTGATGCAGTTTTGTGATTTTTTTCTTTTCAATTTATCGCATTTTCAAAGAGCTTGGTCAGTGTAGCCGGCTGTAAGTTGGACTCGTTTCTAGTGAGAGTTGGACTCCGTCAGGGCTGCCCTTTGTCACCGGTTCTGTTCATAACCTTTATGGACAGAATTTCTAGGCGCAGCCGAGGGGTGGAGGGTGTCCAGTTCGGCAGGCAGAGGATCACATTGCTGCTTTTTGCAGATGATGTGGTACTTCTAGCTTCATCGAGCAGTGACCTTCAGCTCTTGCTGGAGTGGTTCGTGGCCCAGTGTGAAGCGGCTAAGATGCGAATCAGCACCTCCAAGTCCGAGGCCATGGTCCTCAGTTGGAAAAAGTAAGATTGCTTTCTCCGAGTTGGAGGGGTGGTCCTGCCTCAAGTGGAGGAGTTCAAGTATCTCTGGATCTTGTTCACGAGTTAGGGTAGGATGGAAGGGGAGATCAACAGGCGGATCGGAGCGGCGTCAGCAATTATGCGAACGCTTAACCAATCAGTCATGGTGAAGAAAGAGCTGAGCCGTAAGGCGAGACTCTTGATTTACCGGTCGATCTACGTGCCGTTCCTTACCTATGGACATGAACTTTGGGTAATGACCGAAAGAACAAGATCGCGGATACAGGCGGCCGAAATGGGTTACCTTCATAGGGTGGCCGGACTCAGCCTTAGAGATAGGGTAAGGAGCTCAGACCTGGTAGGCACTCAGAGTAGAACCGCTGCTCCTCCACGTCGAGAGGAGTCAGCTGAGGTGGCTCGGGCATCTGGTCAGGATGCCTTCTGGACGCCTCCCGTTGGAGGTGTTCCTGACATGTCCGACCGGGAAGAGACCTCGTGGCCGGCCTGGCCTGGCCTGGGAGCGCCTGGGAATCCCCCGGAGGAGCTGGTGAAAGTGGCTGGGGTGAGGACCGTCTGGGCTTCCCTCCTGAAGCTGCTGCCCCCTCGACCCGGACCCGGAAAAAGCGAAAGAAAACGACGACGACGCATATTCAAAGAAGCCAGCACTTACCATTGTGTTGGGTTCTTTAAATTGACAGTAGACACTTCTCCTGAACAAAAGAGTGTACTGTCCTAAATCATGAGTCTCAAGGCAAGTATTCTCATGTTAAATATACAACCTCACAAGCTAGATTTCTGATGCTGAGACAGATTGATACTGGCTGCAAAAGTAGCCAATCCACCACACTACAAACAGTGGCAAACAGTTTTATAATGTCATTTTCCAGTCTCAAATACTACAGTTTCTTTGCACTTTCACATACCTTCCTATTTAACACAGGAAGTTGGGAAGTGGACCTTTTCCCAGTATTGAAAAAAAAACTGGGCATTAACACTGGGAGAGAAATACCTCTGAGCATGGAGGTCATAGAGGTCACTTAAAAAAAGCAGGTGACTATCAGTCAGTGTGTCAAAGGGACTCCCAGCTTATGTTGCTTTTCTCTCACATCGCTCTCATCCATTTCCTCTAATGCTGCCTCGTCTTGTGTCACAGACCTTTAACTGTGTCAGTAATATTCCATTAAAGGTGATAATACAATCAGGACAGCAGGGCTTTCAGCAGATTACAGCGGCTGGAAGGAGCACAACAACATGTGTTTATGCGGACGTGCGGGCAGGCGGGCGGGTGGTTGTGGGGTTGAGTCTGTGACACCTGTCCTATATGAGTCACATCTGTCACAGAGATTACGGAGATATTAAAAAAAAACTGACGGCAAAAAGTCACAGATTTAAAGTAACATGAATTACTGCATGACATGTATACACACATAGTGAAGGTACTGGGTGAAAGTGCTCATATTTATAGTGATTGAGGATAACAGATTTCAGCTACGTTTCTATTTGTGCTTTTTGTTTTTTCGGGATTAAATGAACCTTTACAAATACAGCCTTTTAACCTGACAAACACACTGCAGAGTCATCCAAAGTAGACCGGATCAGAGCACACTTTCAAATAATAACCAGGATAAAGGCGGCAGATAGAAACAGCTGTTGATGCTCTCATGTAAGTGTGTTAGAGTGTGTGTTTGCACAGTGCAAATCCTCTTTGAAAGGCCAGTTTTGAGCAGTCTGCTAATTATCACTTTCTCTCTCATCTTGGATTAAACTACAGTCACACACCCCCACCCCCACTGGCAACCCTGGCAACAAGACTCCACGGCAACTGTGTGGAAACGGGGCACCATGGAAACAGCCTCTCTCTCCCTTTAGCATCTGTGGATGCTGGGAAGTGATGTCCACACAGAGAGGATTGTGGGATATGCAGTCCTGTAAGGTTATGTTTACATTTTATTGTTACATATAGATTTTTTTTTCTTATTTTTGAGTACTAGTCTGGGCTATAACTTTGAATTCTTTGGGATAAACTTGTAATTTTGCAAATAAAAATTTACCTGACTTTGTACAGAATGTCAACAGTGATAAAACTATAGGAAGAGCCTCTTTAAGAATGAGGAAAAAACATTAATTTTTCAGAACTCATCATTATGAATGTCTTATAAATTCACATTAAGTTTATTGTTTGACAAAAAAAATCAATCTAAGTTTTTGTATGTTCTATTTGTAGCTTAATTTTTGATTGTTGCTTGGACAAAACAAGATAAAAAATATGAAGGAGGTTAATTAATAAGGAAAAAATCCCAAATACTACTCTAGATTATACTAGTATTTGTATCAGACAGCCAACAGTCAGGTTTTTTGTAATTTTTCTGACTTTCAATGACTAAATTTTAGCACCATGCAATGTCCTGAGAAGGAAATGTGTATCATCAAATGTGTTGTTATCACACTAGGTGTGGCAATTCTTAATATATAAATATTCTGCCATATTTAGTTCCAAACCAGCCTATTCCAAAGCCAAGGATTCTGGGAGATGTTGTTTTTCTTTTAACAGTGGAGAACAGCTTTAATGTGGTTTGACGAACGCCTACACACGCAGAATAAGGAGGAGGAGAGTGAGACAGAGGATGTAAGAAGGAGAGGGAAGAAAGAGCTGGAAGAAGGCCAGAAGAAGGAGGTAGACAGGCAGAGAAACACTAAAAGTGGTCGGTTAACTGAGATGGAGAAGCACCAAGCAAGTGGCCGCAGGGTGAGCGGGAGAGAGAGAGCGAGAGAGAGAGAGAGAAAGAGAGAGAATCAGAGCTGCTGCAGCTCCTGAGCAGAACAAATGCGTTGAATCGCTGCTGAATATAGGTCACACATCTCCAGTGACTGTTCCCTTCCCTCCACTGAACCAGCTTCCTACAGTAAGCACTACATACAAAACTGAACATAATTTGGACTACAACCTATTAACACAGGCCGAGTGAAATCCATCACAAAAACCAAAAGGACTGACACCTCCCACAGTTAAAGTCAAAGCATTTAAAGCGAGTACACCTTCAGGGTTTATTCCCGTAAATATGCCAAGGCTTAGCGGTCCTACAGAGTGCATCAAGCTGATTAATATTTCACTGCATAGAAAGTTCTTTGCATGAGAAAATCAACCTTTTATTGCTCCATAATCTCAGCATAGTACCCAGTCAACAAACTGCAGCGTAATAAACGACTATTTACAGCCTGTTCTTTCGAGGTTAACATCAGAGCAGCCAGGAGACAGAGAACCGTGCAAAATAAGACAGAAAGTGAGGTTATAAACACCAAGCTATGATACAGAAATAGTGACAGCTGTATGAGATTGTGTGTCAATGCTGCTCCTTCCGCTTTCACACCTGTCTGCCTCCATGTGAGTCACGGTAGCTGAGTGCGCCTGTAATCCAGCACAGATCTATGATACACAAATATCAACACAAATACAAGATGCCACTCAGAGTTCAGATGTCACCCAATTTTGCCTAGGTATAAACACAAACAGACAGAGAGGTGAAAGGAACACAGAGTACCTCACTACATGTTATTTTTTTTGTCATCTAGCAATTTCTGGTATGAAAGTATCACCTGTTAAAGTGATTACATTACAATGGTGCACCTTTTATGGTGTTAAACAGTCAGACTCAGTTTTAATTGTTCTAACTGAGACAGCAATCTCACCTCAGTGTCCACTAGTAATAGTTATATTAATTGTTGCCAACTGTGACAGGTTCATTTTAAGGACGTTAGCGCTGTCTGCGTACTCTCACATGATGGCAAGATTCACTCAGTGTTAAGAAAATTGGTAACACTTTACAATAACCACAACTTATAAATGGTAAATAGACCATTTAGCATATCGACCATGAATGAATTGTAAACTTTACAATTGTAAAAACCTAACCCTAACCCTAACTTTACAGTAACCATCTATATGCAATCAGTAATGCATATAGATGGTTTAAAAAACAAATAATAACCATTTACAAAGTGCTACTGACACACATTTCAATATAGATGTTTTACAACCAATATTTAAACCCTATATAAACCTTTAATAAATAGTCCATTAATAATTAATGAAAATTATTAGTCATAGTTTCATTGCTTGTTAATGGTAAAGTAACTATGAACTTACATTAATAAACTATGTATTTAACATTTATAAATTATGGGTATTGTAAAGTGTTGCCAGAAAATTTTTGGAGGGATCACACTCAAACACAACTTTTTAACTTGTTCATGTTCAATACTTCAGTGTCTTCCATTATAGTTTACCTATTTGATTTAAAAACAAGGGGATTTTACAGTAGTCCACTGCCACCTGATATTTCATGCTCGGCTGGACAGCCAGCGATCCTGTTTTCTGCCTGGGTTGAGAGAGAGAGAGAGGTCAGCTGTTCACTCTTTTTGGTTAGAGGGAAAGAGGCAAACGCAGTGATATTAAATCGGTGGAGACAGCATAGGACTGACAAAACTAAGTGGATGTCTAACAGACACCTCTCAGGAGGATTGATTACTCAACGCCCCAGCGTATGAAGTCATGTTTCTGGGTATCAGATGCGCTGCTCATGCAGGACTGCAGGCTTGAGCATCATAACTCAATAAGTCACTCCATTTTCAGGTCTCACATAGACTTCCATAGTCTGTGCTGAGCTGGGTGGTGCTGTTATGGTCAGTGAATCGATGCTGTATGATCAATATAATACAGACAAACTGATGTGAAATGTAGCACGGGACTGATCTGTTGCTGCTGATCCTCTGAAACTAGCTGACATGATTGTGTCGTGCCCTCATTAACCTTTTTGATTGTAATATTGACAAAGTTATGCAAGATTAGGGCTGAAAATGAAAGTCCTTGGATCTAACAATGGCCTTGGTACCCACACACACACACACTTGTAAATGGCATGACATCACTGCCAGTGTGAGAGGCATTTAAACCCATATCAGATTAACTTAAAGAGGGGGAAGCATAAGTAGCTTGGAGAGGACGGATATTGGCGTCACAGTCCGGGGAAAAGAGTGTTTCGTGAGATTGTGCATATGTGTGTCCTGAACATGTCTGTGGACAAGAGCACAGATGACATACTTGTGACAGGAGGGAACAAGAGATGAAAATATGGAAAAATAAGGCACCAGAGATATGCTGAATGAGCAGCAGGATCAATTAATAACCCCTGATTTAACTCCTTTTCAATTACATACCAGTTGTTTACCATTGATTTCCCTCTCGTCTCACCTTTTCAATCCACACACACACACAATCTTCATCCTCCTCCTCCTCCTTCTCAGTCCAGATAGCCACCATATCCCCCTCCCCCTCCTCCTTCACCCCCTCCTCATTCCCCGCAGCCCTGTACCACGCCGATACCCACCCATATCCCGTCTCCATCTCATTGAAAGCGAACTTAAAAAAGCACAAAATGGGTCTTTTAACAGCAGCACGACGCGGGAGGGTTGTTGCTGTTGTTGCTGCTGCAGGCCAGCACGGTCAACCCCTCCGTTAACAGATTGGCTTTAATCCCGAGTGCCAACTTTATGGATGTGTGTCAGCTCTCGTTTGGCCAATTTATCTGCGGCTCTGCTCTGAATTAATGCAACACCAAGCCGGCAGCCAGGCCCCGGTGCTCTGCAGTGATGATAACCAAGACGATGTGTTTGGTTTATTTCCAATCAATACAGACGTGCCGTTTTAAGGCACAGGCCTATTTGTGGTGGGAACAGATTGGGGGGGACCGGTTCCAGTCGATGGAAGCAGAGAAACACCTGCCGTACCGAGAATGGTGTAGATCAAAAGGAAAATGCGTAAAAGCATCATGCAGCACAGGCCGTGCATCGGTGAAAACGCAAGCTTTAGCGTTGAATCTGTCATAAATGTGTTGCTCGATAGCAGGGGACACGTATAGTCGGTGGCTTACCTCTGTAAAAAACGCCTCCATCCTGCCTACTCCTCCCAGACGACGCGCGCCCGGCCCCGCAGAGCGCAGACCCCGGCTCCGGCGTAAATCTCACCGACAGAAGCGTGAGCGTGGATGTCAAGACCGGGGAAAGGTAACGGTGCGTCCGTGTTGGTGTTTCCCATTCACCAAGCCTTCGTCTTCATCCTCGATATGGCTCAAACACACCTCAGCAGCGTCCGCGCTCTCTCTGCGCCAACAGCCACATGCGAAAAAGGAGCTTGTGAGCGCACTGGTTCTCCAGGCCGTGTATGTATGTGTGTGTGAATATATGTTTGTGTAGATGTGTGTGTGCGTGTGTATGTGTGTGTGTGTGTGTGTGAGGCTGTGAGTATGGTGCGTGGGGTTGGAAGAGAGGACCAGTACAGGGGGAGAGAGTGAGCTCGATGATGCCCACCGCACACACCGAAAGGGGGGGCGGTGCAGACAGCCTCCTGCGATGCAAACACACATGCACATGCATACACACAGCCAGGAGTAGCAACGGAGTAACTGTGTGTGTAAAAACCAGGTTGCTGTAGCCAAACACCTCCATGAACATCCAGATTTTTTGCCTGTTAAACACCAAAAATGAAGAAGTTGGTTGTTTTATGTGACTTACAGTCGATGCAACAGTGGATTCCAACTGGAATAAGACTCACAAAGCAATATATTTTTGCTCAATAAACTCAGCATAAAGAGTGACTCATCAGGAAGTGTCTATAAGCAGCTGAAATACCTGTGGTTATTTCCCCATAGACAATTTTTACATGTAGATGTTCAAGTTTTGGAAAGTAATAAATTGTATTCTGTGGAATTAATGTAAATTAAAAGGGATATTCCGGCATAAAATTAAGTCAAACACACCATGACACCGAGTTAGACACACCGTCAAGAGATGAATGTTGTCTTCTCTAGTCATACCAACTTTAGTAACGACCACAGACAGCAATACTGAGAGCCACGCGCTCAACCAAAAAGCCACTCTATAGCCACAGATAATGCTCAGAACAGCACCTAACTTCATCAACAGTACATATAGGGTCCTAGCCACAGTACTAGCCACCAAACATCTTTTTAACTTTGCCTGATTTCATTAGCAAAGAGACTAAACACAACTCACCTACGCTCCTCCAGCAGCCACTTGTTTGTAGCGAGACCTCCAGGCAAGTCCATCGACTACAGCGGGGTGACGCAGCTCAAGGAAGAACATTTATGATCATTTCTTTATGGAAATGCATTCAGACTGAGACGCTAAGGCAGAAGAGCTACCACGTCTGCAGTAGCCTGGCTGGGCCTTCCATTTGCGTGACTCACTTGCCGTTCCTTCCCACAACAGTCTGGACTTCGGCCAATTGGGAGCGAGTATTAGAAATCAAAAAATAACCAGGCCAATCAGTGACTGTGTTTCCACTGTTCCTCCGACAACAGGGAAAGGCAGCCCCTGATTAGTCCATGTGTAGATGGTGACGTCTAACACATGCTGCGACTTTTCAAAGCCCCGTTCATTCAGAACGCCGTTTATTCTGCAGCGGACTTTGCAAAGTCGGCAGAACTCGTTTATATCCACAGAAGAAGACGTAAAAGACATTGTTCGCTCGCACACGTTGAAATATCACCAAACCTTTACTTGATGCTTGAGAGCCCTGCAGGGAACACAGTTGCGCACTGTGATGACGTCAGATGTTTGGTTACGGTGATTGGTCACAGTAGTCTGTCTATCAAGGAAAGTACTCCCGCCCCCTTTTTAGGGCTCCCTATTGGCTGAAGTCCAGACGATTGTGAAAAGGAACGGCAAGTGATTCACGCAACTGGATGGCCTAACCAGGCTGCGTCTGCAGTGCGAAATGACTAATATGGTGATTGTTACTCCAAGGAAATGATAAAGTAATGGTCATAACTGTTCTTCCTTGAGCTGCGTCACCCCGCTCTAGTCGATGGACTCACCAGGTAGGTCTTTGAAGCCAGGGCTGTTGGCTGGCCGGTCGCCACTCGCCGAATGCAACTAAAATACTCCCGTGGCGACTTAATTTTGGAAGGCTACATGCCACGGGGCGGGTAGATGTTTGTCCAGATAGTCATGCAATAAAATATGCACACTGTGTCACAACGCGTAGCTATAAAATTATAAATTACGACGGTAGCTAACGTCAGCGGCTACTGATTTGTTGTGTGTCACACTGAAGTGGGTCTTTGAGCGGAACCGATGAGACGCCTTTTAGTAGTGGAAACACGACTTATACCTGCCAACACTCCCGTTTTCCCCAGGACTCTCCCATATTTCAGACCTATCTCCCGTCCACCTCCCGTATTGTCATTTCTCCCTGGAATCTCCCGTAGCTTGCTTGGTCCACGTTCATTCATGAATCGGATCACGATATTGGTCCAAAGTTGCCAGGTTTCCAGACAACTTAAGATTGTCCTGTGTTTCTGCTGAGCCTCACAGACACTGGATTGATACTTTTACTTTACAATTTGGGATGATTCAGGTCGGTTTAAGCTGCAAAATGAACACTCAAATGAAAGGGAAACAAACGTGAGATAGCCTATATTATTTAGGTTGATTGTCTTTCACCATCTTGGAGTGAGTATGAGTGTGTGGATACCGGCCAACAGGTTTATTTTACCCCGGAATATCCCTTTCAGTCCTCTATTGATGTGGACAAAATATAAACACAGTTCCTACCAAATGTCTTTCCAGTGTGCAAAACACAAACTAAGTGCCCTTTGGAGTTTGGGATACCCCTCATAGACAAAATATGGACAAAGTGCCTTATGGATGCCTTTCCAGTTAGGCCGTCTCATTGACTTTCCACCGGACAAAACATGAAAAAGTGCCCTTTTGATGCCGCTTCATAGTTAAAATGCAAACAAACTTGCCCACCAGTAGGTTAAAGATGGTCAAAGTACCCTTTGGATGCCCTTCAGTTTATAAAATGTTAACTAAGTTGCCCTAGTAATAATTTTACCAGTGTGTGCCGACTATGAAGTGCTCTAGCATGGTATACTTTTAAAGCATGTAGATAGTAAAAGACTTAGTCACTCCATGCCTATTCGTATGTTACAGGGTAAGTTGAGGCCCCTGTAGGGTGAAAATGATATCTTCTTGCACAAGCACACATGTATAATACCCATTACACTTGGGACTGGAGGTGGGGGGCACCCCAAATCAACAATGATAACACATAATGACTCTCTAGTATCTGTGAATGAGGGAGAAATAGATGAGCAGCTTGTGATTGTGATTTGGACTGTGTGTGGTTATTCTCCCTTTCAGAGGCCGGTCTGTGGGGGCCAGGTGCAGCCATCAGGAGCTCAGCAGGCTGAGGCCTCTGTGGGGTTAAGTATTGTGAAGCTCAGCCTGTTCCCTCTAGAGCCCTGAAGGTACAGAGCGGGGGCCTCCTGTATGCATGTGTGGAAGTATTATTTATCAGCACCCTCCATCTTCATCAGGGGGACAGATCAAAAGCTAGGGCCCCCTTTTTTGTTCAAAGTGTGGGTGTATCTGAAGGGGCACACACATACACACATACTGTACACACCCACAAACACAAAGGAAATGAGACCTGATCTTTGTAATCTTTAATATGAAGTAGCCTGAAGGAAAGGAAAAAAAACTTGTGTTAACCTGAAACTCCAGCAGTTGAGGCCATTTCCACTTCATCACGCACTCACACAGTCTGGACTCAAAAAATGTCTCATACCCCAAAATATTTAGAGCCTGACGCCCCTCCTCTGTTCAGGAACAATCCATGCTAAGGTACCAATCATGTCAATAATGGAAGCGATGCATTCAGGTACCCATGCTGTTTGTTGACACAGAGCTAATGGAGAAATAGTCTTATCCTTTTTTGTTGTTTTGTTCTTTTAAGATTAAAAAACCATCAATTTCAATTCCAGCCTGTTTCACCACCAAGCAAAACCTCCTGAAATCAGCTTTAAAAAAGCACACCAAAATCGACTTAATATCGCAGGAAAATGGGGTAAATACAGATATGGATTTTCCGTGTATATATTGGGGAGACTGTGGTAGGTATCGGCGCAAATCTCTGACAGTTTTAGACCAAAAGATTAAATGATGAATGTAGAAAACTGATTAATAACAGTGACTTCTGTTGTTGGTTTCAGCCTTTGAATCAGGTATGCAGTTGGATTTAACCTGATGTTATTGTGGCTAAGCTCTACATTTCACTGAAAATCCTCCCGTCTGGAAGACCAGGACTTATGAAACAAAACCATAGGAAATATTTCTGATCTGCATGGAGGTCGTTGGAAAAATGCATAGAAAAAGTGTGGACGCTTGTGTTTTTGGTAACATGACTATAAGAAAGCAACTCATCAAACATGCACATATGTACAGGAACGCACAAATGCATTGAAACACAAAGACATCTGAAAGTCTGGGCTATTAAATTCTCATTGCCATGACAACACCAGGGACTGTGTGACCTGCAGTGGTGAATTGTGGGATGGACTTTGTTCCCAGCAAGTCAGACGGAGGACTCTGCTTACTCATCTGACCTCAGCGCTCTGTGTCTCTTTCTCCTTGATGTCTCTTTCCCCCTCTCACTGTTACAATGAATATATATACACGTGTGTGTGTGTGTGTGTGTGTGTGTGGGTTAGAGATGGTGTAAATCAGAGAGGAGTGTGTGTTGTGGACAGATCATCAATAGGTTCGTTGGTGTTCTGAGTGAAAACGCAGACAGATTACCAGAGATCTCAGAGCCGAGCCCACCCATCCGTGCTGCTGACTCTTCATCCTTTCGTGAATATTTATGGATTCACACTCACATATATGTTACAGCGAGCATGCAATTTCACAAATGTATGAAGTAACCGGTGAGTGCACGTGTCATATGTTGCACATGCTAGTAGACATCATTCACTATGTCACAGCCAATCAGTTTTATGACCGGGGCGTCCGTAAATCTCTTCACATTTATTGCTGTCTTTGTCTTTTCGTGGCTCGGCTGCTGCGACCCTCTTGTGCTCTCTCGCTGCAGACTCATCGGTTTATGGCTGTCTGAGAGGACACGCTGAGTCAAAGAAGTGCAGCGACAGTCCGGGTGAAATGCTCTGATTGATTGTCAGCCTAAATGTGTGCTGGTTAACTGGTGAAATGGGACAATCCAAAACAGGGCCTGAGGGCAAAATTCACACTACAACAAGCTCAGTAGTAACAAAAGAGGCATTGTTTGGTCTCATTACAGTACATTAAATCGTGTTCTCCAATTATCTGTTTAACATAATCAAAAGTTATGAACATTATCATTCTTATATCAAAGTATTTCAGCTCCTAAATCCTGTTACTACTTTGGATAGTGATTTAACAATAACATAGGTGAGAAAAATATCTTGTGCTCTTTTTAATGTTGTTGTAAACTGTCCAGCAGTTA